TCTCATATAAGGAGAATTTCACTCACGATCATCTTTAGCCCTCATCGAGGGCTTTGAGTCTGACCAACAGTTTTTCCATACGACATAGTCATCTATAGTAGCGTATGCAAAAACTTAGTATGATGTACAGACGTTAAGTAACTTAAAAATTGTGTTAAAATGTCCATGTTTTTGCCATAAAATACAAAGTTTATATAGGGAAATACAACTGGTCAGTTTTGACCCATTTCCCAATTTTTCCAAGACATGGCGAGTTTTTTGTGACACCCCAAGGCCTTCTTCTACCACCTCACAAAATTTCAAGGGGGGTCGTCGTCGGAAAAATTTTTTCGTAATAGAGCTCATATAAAGAGAATTTCTCTCGCGGTCACTTTTTAGCCCTCGTCGAGCGCTTTGAGTAAAACTGACAGTTTTCCCTAAAGGTCAAGCCATTTACCTAAGAGTATGCAAAAAAATAGCCAGATATACTGAGTTTAAGTACCCTAAAATCCGCGTTGAAATGACCCTCTGTTTTTCCCATAAAATACAAAGATTATATAGGGAAATACAACTGGTCAGTTTTGACCCCTTTACGAAGTTTTCCCAGATATGCCGAGTTTTTTGTGACACCCCAAGGCGTTCTCCTACCACCTCACAAAATATCAAGGGGGGTCGTCGGAGGAAAAATTTTTTCGTAATAGAGCTTGTGAGGATTCAGGTGTTTTGATGATGGTTACCACCAGTTGTGATGGTACGAATGTTTTACGATGAATGAATGAAGATGACAGAAATATCCAACACAGATTCCAAGTTCAAATTATAAAATGTTCTTTATTAACAAAGATATATATATTCAAGTTTCTACCTAACTAGCCTGTTAAATAATATCTACTACCACTACTATTACTAACTCTACTAATACGCCCTTCCATGACCAATCCTACCACTATCTACATTCTAACTGTTCTCTACATAACTACGTCTGCTCCATTCTACAACCTAATACCTTCTGCACTGATCTACCTACTGCCCACGCTAGCTAATCATGATCTCTCGGCCTAACAGTGGCCCACGCTTCACTGGTCAGCTGACCGTCCCACGTGACCGGTCAGCCCTGTGTGCCAATTGGCCTCTCTAACCAACCAACTAGGCCTATAGTCTGTTTCTGCTAATCTATATCTGCTAAACATGTCTGACGTAATCTTGCGTCATCACAGAGCTCATATAAAGAGAATTTCACTCGCGGTCAAGTTTTAGCCCTCGTCGAGGGCTTTGAGTGAAACCGACAGTTTTCCCTAAAGGTCAAGCCATATACCTAAGAGTATGGAAAAAAAATAGCCAGATATACTGAGTACCCTAAAGCCTGCGTTGAAATGAGCCTCTGTTTTTCCCATAAAATACAAAGATTATATAGGGAAATACAACTGGTCAGTTTTGACCCCTTTACGAAGTTTTCCCAGATATGCCGAGTTTTTTGTGACACCGCAAGTCGTTCTCCTACCACCTCACAAAATTTCAAGGGGGGTCGTCGGAGGAAATTTTTTTTCGTAATAGAGCTCATATAAAGAGAATTTCTCTCGCGGTCACTTTTTAGCCCTCGTCGAGGGCTTTGAGTGAAACCGACAGTTTTCCCTAAAGGTCAAACCATTTACCTAAGAGTATGCAAAACATTAGCCAGATATAATGAGTTTAAGTACCCTAAAATCCGCGTTGAAATGACCCTCTGTTTTTCCCATAAAATACAAAGATTATATAGGGAAATACAACTGGTCAGTTTTGACCCCTTTACGAAGTTTTCCCAGATATGCCGAGTTTTTTGTGACACCGCAAGTCGTTCTCCTACCACCTCACAAAATTTCAAGGGGGGTCGTCGGAGGAAATTTTTTTTCGTAATAGAGCTCATATAAAGAGAATTTCACTCGCGGTCACTTTTTAGCCCTCGTCGAGGGCTTTGTGTGAAACTGACAGGTCTGCCCTACGGCCAAGCCATTTACCTATAAACATGCCAAAAATTAGCCAGATGTAAAGAGGGTAATTGCTTTAAAATCCGTTTTGAAATGACCCTCTTTTTTTCCCATAAAATACAAAGATTATATAGGGAAATACGACTGGTCAGTTTTGACCCATTTCCCGATTTTTCCCGGACATGGCGAGTTTTTTATGACACCCCAAGGCATTCTCCTACCACCTCACAAAATTTCAAGGGGGGTCGTCGTCGGAAATTTTTTTTCGTAACATAGCCCATATAAGGCGCCGGTCAGTCGAGGTCAGTTTTGACCCCCTCTCCGTAGACTTTTCGGCCAACCGTCACCGGCCTTCATGTTCTATCGCCCGAAGGCACCATCGTGCCAAATTTCACGCGCCTGAGGCGCCGGGAAGTACCCTATCGGGCACTTGACCTCTTTGCTTTATATATATATATATACTAGGCATGCTGCCCAGCTTCGCTTAGGCTTTCGAAAACATTGAGAATTTGAATGCTTAATTAATTCGCCCATATAAGGCGCCGGTCAGTCGAGGTCAGTTTTGACCCCCCTCATCGTAGACTTTTCGGCCAACCGGCCCCCGTGTTCTGTCGCCCCAAGGCAAGATCCTGCCAAATTTGAAGCGCCTGCGGCGCCGGGAAGTGCCCTATCGGGCACCCGACAACTTAGCTTTATAGATCATCTAGATCAAGATCTAGAATCTCTAGATCTAGAATCCAAATAGATAAAATAATTTTTTTTAAGTTTAGGCCGAGAAAATCGTATTGTATACATTTCATAGCGTACATAGATCTAAATCATATTTGAATGAAATAGTTCACTTTTTAAAATTTTAATCTCGGAAGATGACGTCATCAGTTTCGTGCTCTTGTTTTAGTGTTTTAGTGTAAACAATATGCGACGTCATTGTTAAATGCGTTCTTGTTCCAAGTTTATACACTTTTCCGGTTGCATAAATAATACTGTTTCTCTATATTCGAATACGCCTTTATTTTTTATTTTTCTTCTTTAAATAAAATTGTGGTTATACATTTAAAACATCTAATATATTATTTTCAACAAAAATCCGTAAAAAGTTCTTCATATATCGCTGCCGATTCTGACGTGATGTCCGGCGAAAATATTTTGCGGACAGACAGAGAGAGAGAGAGAGAGAGAGAGAGAGAGATGTGCGAACGTGGGGTTTTATATATTAGGATATATATATATATATATATATATATATATATATATATATATATATATATATATATATATATATATATATATATATATATATATATATATATATATATATATATATTATATAGTACTGAGTAAGTGCTAAATCTAAGTAAATTTAGTATACAATAGTCTACAGCTTGACTATGTTACTATTGTTACAGATTGTGACACTATTTTTCTTCTATAATTCACATATTATTATTGTAAAAATATGAAAGAAAAACAAACCTAAGCTCGTGTAAGAACCAACAGTTGACTAGAGTCTACCAACTAGATGTTAGGAATTGTTCTTTTAACTAATTATTATACTACAGTAAAGTCACTATACTGTAGTCCCAGCTAACGTCATGGTCATACCGTTGCATGGTGTATCAAAACTGTTACATACCGTAATTGGACATTATCAGCACAAATATAAAGAAATAGTATGCAAACAACTTATTTTTAGGTAAAATTACTCACCCGAGATTGGTTAATTTTTTTTCAAGAAGAAAACACGGCCTGTGAATTTTTATTATTTTCTCAAAAAACACATCGATCACAGCTGTCCGACCAGTGTAAAAAAATGAAATCAAACTCGAATTGTGTGAGACGAAACACACATATAGTCTGTTTCGGGTATGAATTTGGGTCAAAAGTGATCAAGCTAGAGTATGGCATATTAAAAACTCAGATTTTAACATTTGTGTAGATTCAATGGGGGTTATTTCACATTGTATCAAAATTGATACAACATTAAATGAAGGGTACGACTTCAAAATTTAGCCTTTATTCTCCAAAGCAAATTTTTAAATGCTTTTCTGGCATATCTAGCCTTGGCCACCTATAGCATGTTTATATAACATGAAAACCCGCCATTTTTCTCGTGGTAAACATAGCCTAAAAATGGTCGGAAGTCATGCGTCCGGTCCGGACGCCATTGTTGTTAGCAACCAACCACGCCTCCAAGTTATCGAGTAATCCTACTATATCCAGTTCTAGAAACTAGATAGATAAATCTCACGTATTCTCGAATAAGATGTTCATTGAAGCTAAACAAATATTTATATAAATAATTAAGGCCTGAAATTGATTCTAGATCTAGAATTTACGTTAAGTCTTGTGACCTAGATTTAGATCTAGATCTAAATCTAGAATTCTAGATTCATAACGTTTTCTTCCTTCGACAGCTGATCTGTAGATATAGAGAAATGTATTGTATAATAAAATAAAAAGAAGTGTTAAGAATTGATAATAGTGTTAAAAAGTAATAAATACAGCAAACGGACGTATTGTTAAATTTATAGAAGACAGAAAATTAGCTTTATAACGCGTTAAACTTTTGAATGAGCCACAAAGTCTTTGATGGAAGCCGCCATTTTATTGTACTAAAAAGTAAACAAATCGTGCGATGTCACTATTCAGTCAAGTAAAGTCTATGTTTTAAACTTTCAAAATTAATGTGGTTAATCTACCTATGAATAAATCAATAAATTAATTAACGTCTTTAAATAAATTTGTGATTAACAGTCTGCCTGAAAACAAACATTGTTCTCTACCTACATACTATTTTACAGCTCTCCACGTAGAGCAGATTTTCTCCAGTATTCAATCAAACAAAAAAAACAAATAAATATTCAAACGTAAACAAACTTGAGTTTTAGTAGTATAGAGATAGGTAGGTAGGTAGGTAGGTAGGTAGGTGGGTGGGTAGTTAGGTAGGTAGGGAGGGAGGGTTAGGGTGGGTGTGTTGGTGGGTGAGTGGGGACGGACGGACAGACAGACAGACATACAGACAGTTGATTAAAATAAAAAAAAAAATTCTAATTGCAGGTGGAAATATCATGGTGAATGAGTCGATGGGAATAAAAATAGTGGATTATGGCTCATGTTTTTATTCTGAAGTCGCTGATAAATTTCAAGAAAAAGCTGAACAAGATTTAACTATCATAATGAACACATTTTTTGAATTTTGTTTTGGGAGCGATTTTAATTTTGAAGAAATAAAAAAATCTACGCTCTGGAAGAAAAAAGAATATAATGTACGTACTGTTATGATCATCAAATATTGAAATAATAAGCATGAAAGTATATTTAATCATACTAAATTTTTAAAAAAGCTTTCTAAAAATATGGCAAGCTATACAATTATAATTACATTTGTAAACATTAAAGCTGTTTGGGAACCATCGATTACAGTCATTTTTATATTTTGTACCGAATATAAGCCTTTGAAAAGCTGATTAGAATTATTTTATTAATTCAAATATTTTGAAAAACTGCCCTCAACCTCTATTTGAAGACAACATAAACGGCCGAGGAGAGTAAACCATAAAAATCATAACAATTGTTTTCCAAAATAAAAATACAAAATTGTGATCTATGGTGAGTAGCATAGTATTGTAGTTATATTATATAACATCCCCAATCACCACAACACCTTGACTCTAATTATCCAAATAAAAATTAAGTGTTTGCTAACATTTCTATTATATTACTAGTTATTATTTCTTCGACTATTTCTAGCCTTATTAAAACCGGTAGTTATTTATTTGTTATTATACGAGAGTTATAAAATATTCAATTTTGGTTTTTATAAAAAAATATGCTTTCTGGCAACAACAATTTGGAACTATTTATAACCAGCTTTTTAAGTCTATTGTGTGAAGTAAACTAAACTGGGCTCTTAAACTAGTTTTAGACATGTAATTTTTCTGTTTTTTTTATGGAGATCTGCTCTAGATAAAATTAGAGTAAAATTGTCTTCTGAAAAAAACTATATTTATTTGAAGGACTTTTTTTTTGTATAAAAAAGAAATATGCTAAGACGCAGATGTTATGGAGAATTCGCTCCATGTTAAAAAGCTGTTTGTGCTGATTGTGTGATGTGCATAGCCATCATTCATTGTAGCTCAGCTGTGCTCAGGTCAATGCAATTAAATGAATTTAATGTTGTTATTTTGACATTAATACTTCTAGATAATACTAACTACAACATGTAAGGTTCTGGAATTTTAGGAGGTTTTTTTGGACGTAGATGAACGGGTGTTATCTATAATATAAGCCTGGGGAAGTTTGTCAGTCAGTCAGTCTTCGCTAGATATTTTGAAACTATAAAGTTAGACACCTTTTTTTAACCTTTCGTTTTTCCATTTTTGATGTTCGAAAATATGTACATAATCTGATGTTGATGTAAAATAAAGTTTCGCTTTTAAACCTGACGGTCTATGGGGCAAGTGAAGTAGAGTTCACCTGTTTCTGTGACCTTTCAACACTATGATCAGCCGCCTTTACTTTCCCTAACGTCAGTTAGGTACCCATCGGAGTTGGGTGGACTCACTGACTTGAACCCTGATTCGAACGCGAGACTTTCGGGTTAGCAGTCCAGCTCTCTACCGCTAGACCAATCCGTTAGACACCTACATGCTGTAATTTTGCTGAATCTGTCTTCTGAAATTCTTAATTAGGGTTTATTTATATAACAACTTAAATTATTTGATTGTCGGCAAAGTTTTTTTTACATTTGCATACGTCATCAAACGAACGTTAAGAAAATATTAAATAAAAGCAAGTTGCTAAAACATATTAAACGGATCAATGTCAAAAAATAATTTCGCTTATATGCCTAGAAATATGGGTTTGTATTTGCTTTGCGCTGTGTTTGTATTTTCTTTTGGGTTTCTGTGTGACGTTTGTTTGTGGGGTTTTTTGTGTTTATGATTGCATTGTGTTTGTTTTTTCTTTTGTGTTGTGTTTGTTTTTGCGTTGTGTTTGTTTTCTTTAGTGTTTTTGTTTAGTTTTGTTCTGTTCCATAGTTGGTACATTTAAAAAGATTCACCGTGGCGAAGCACGGGTAAGCAACTAGTAATATAATTAGCATGGATTGATAAAGTTCAACGTGGTAGGTAAAATACGGATATTTTACATACTGCCTTTATTTATTTAATACTCTGCACGTACTGTTTACTAAATATGTTTACTCGATAACAGTTTACATTAGAAGCAGCCCATAACATGTAGGATAAATGTCCTCTATGTTTACTTCTATCTTTCCATTTGCGGACAAGCTGGTTCGTATTATAGGCGTTTACTGAATTGAATCAGGCGCGTCCACCGGCGTTTCATGATGTTCGATTTGGCGCCCCGTACTATCCTGTCAGCCCTATGATGCATACTTTCGTTTTATACTGTGCGATATGCTATAGATATGAAGAGTCACTTAAGTCCTTCACTAAATCAAAGCTAGAGCGTCCTCCGGTGCTCGAACTGAGTTCCTGTGAGCGCTATGGCGCCTACTTTTGTTGAAATGAATGCAATAGATTATGGATAACTTGGGGTATTATAATTGTTTATTAAATTGAACTAAACGGTCCCGTTGGCGCCCCGGCAGGGTGCGACTTGGCGCCACGGGCTAGACTGTGAGCAATATGCGTTCATGTTTGCATTTAAATATGTATTTATGTTATACGTTAATGTTTGCTTTAAGTTTGGCGTTTATGTTTGTCTTTGCGTGTTGCGTTTGCAGCTTGCGCTAGCGTTTTCGTTTGCTTGTTTTTCCGTTGGCGTTTGCAATTGTGTTGCATTTTTGTTTGTGTGTACATTTACGTTTTATTTGTGATTTTGTTTGCCTAAGTATTGAGTTTGTGTTAGCGTTTGTGTTTGCATTTGCGGTTTTGTTTTTGTGTAGCGTTTGCATTTGTATTTGCGTTTGTATCTTACATTGTGTTTGTGTTTTCTTTTGTAATTGAGTTTGCTTTTGTATTTGTCTTTCATTGTGTTTGTGTTGGCGTTTGTGTTTGTATTTTATTTTGTGTTTGCGTGCTGCGTTTGCAATACGTTTGTGTTTGCATTGGTGTTTGTGTTTGAGTTTTCTTTGTGTTTGTATTTGCCTTTGCGTTGTTTTTGTTTTGTGTTTGCGTTTGTGTTTTCTTTTATGTTATTGTTGCGTTAGCGTTTGTGTTTGACTTTTCGTTTGTTTTTCAGTTTATGCTTGCTTTGTGTTAGCGTTTGTGTTTGCATTTGCGGTTTTGTTTTTGTGTAGCGTTTGCATTTGTATTTGCGTTTGTATCTTACATTGTGTTTGTGTTTTCTTTTGTAATTGAGTTTGCTTTTGTATTTGACTTTCATTGTGTTTGTGTTGGCGTTTGTGTTTGTATTTTATTTTGTGTTTGCGTGCTGTGTTTGCAATACGTTTGTGTTTGCATTGGTGTTTGTGTTTGAGTTTTCTTTGTGTTTGTATTTGCCTTTGCGTTGTTTTTGTTTTGTGTTTGCGTTTGTGTTTTCTTTTATGTTATTGTTGCGTTAGCGTTTGACTTTTCGTTTGTTTTTCAGTTTATGCTTGCTTTCGTGCTTGCATTTGTGTTTTCAATGTGTTTTTGCTTATGTGTGCGTTTGCGTTTGATTTTGTGTTTGTGTTTGCCTAATTTTGTGTTTGTGTTTGCCTAATTTTGTGTTTGTGTTAGTGTTTTCGTTTGTTTTTTGCGTTTGCATTATGTTTGTGCCCTTTTTTAAATTTTTTTTTGTGTTTGCCCATGCGTTGTATTTGTGTTTGCTTTAGTGTTTTCTTTTGTGATTGCGCTGTGTTTGTGTTCACTTTGTGTTTGCCTTTGCGTTTTGTTTGTGTTTACCTTTTTGTTTGAGTTTTGTGCGTTTGTGTTTGTGTCTGCATTGCATTTTCTTTTGTGTTTGCGTTAGTGTTATCTTTTGTGTTTGGTTTTGTTCTGTCCTGAAGTTAGTACATTTTAAAAAGTTTCACCGTGGCGGAGCAAGGGTATAAAATTAGTTAAATATACAAAAGTATATGTAGTGCAAGATTAATAATTACTATAGGCCTGTAAAAATTACTATAATTACTATACTTAATAAGTAACCAGTGTTTGTGAAAGTTTCAATTTTATATAGTCCTCCAAATAAAAAATATAAAATAAAAAAAAAACGGAAACAGGTATGCCTTACGTCAAACGTCCAAAAAAAAACCCAAAAAAATTGTTTTTGCCCACGTCGCCCCAATATAGTAGCTTTTCACTTCATATTTTTATAATAAAAAACCGGAAGTGATCTTCTTTAAACTTACTCGAATATCCTAATTTATAAAAGCCAATAAGCGCAATTCTCTCTATCTTTCTCTGTCCACAAAATATTTTCACAAGATATCATATCAGTACCTTCAGCGATATATGGAAAACTTGATACAGACTTTTGTTGCAAATAATATGTTAGATGTTTTAAATGTATAAACAAAATTTTATTTAAAGAAAAAAAATAAAAGGTAAAGGCATATTCGAATAAAGAAAAACAGTTTTAATTATGCAACCGGAAACATGTTTATAGTTGTGACAAGAACGCGATTAACAATAACGTCACAAATGTTTACTCTAAGGAAAGAACACAAAACTAATAGCGTCATCTTCCGATTTTAGAATATAAAGAAATGAACAATTCCATTCAACTTTGGTTTAGATCCACGTAAGCTATGAAATGTATACAATACAATATAATAAAAAGCTATTTCAGGCCTTAATTATTTTTATTGAAATCTTTGTTTGTTTAGCTATGGAAAGGGCTAATTTGGGATAAAATTTAATTTCAAAGAATAGGGCCTATTCGCGTAAGATCAGTTTCTTAAGTACCTCTTTTATTCTCCAAAAAGCCATAGTGTCTAAATAGCTGAGATAATAGTGTAATTAATACCAAGCGGGTGGTATGGGTTTGAGACACACAAAGTTAAAGGCTATCTTAAATATATTTTTTTCTTTTTTCTCTTTTTATATGTGAATGATAAAGTTGCCTTTCGGAACTCGGCGAGACACGGGGCAGGTGAAGTAGAGTTTAACTGTTTCTGTCTGTTCAGCATATGAAGGGATAGTGTGGTCAGACCCATGATCAGCCGAAATATATGTTTTTAAAAGACAAAAACAAAATAACTACAATTGAACAGCCGGGTTTTGAAAGAAATCTTTTAAGTCTGTCAAATTTAAGTATTTTAATCAGCGAGTGCATTTAATATGGTATTGTGTTGACTAATACTGTATATAATTTGGTTTTAATTTTTCTATTAGGTATTGTTATTTTAAAAAAGCATAAATATAGAAAGTACATAAAACAAAACCCCTTTTTTTCATAATCTTAACAATGTTTTATTCCATTGCTCTTTATCAATAAATTTTTTCTTTTCCTAGGCTTCCGATAATGACATTTTTAAAAGCTGAATTGCAATTTATTTCATTACTAACTTTCCATAGGTATATACATTTTCTTCAGGCATCTCTACCGTTTCTTCCCCTGTCACCTCCAAACGCAATCCGAATCCCCCCCCCCTACGCACACAGAACCCCCACACCCTCCGGACAGTTTTAAATGCCGCTCCCCGGAGATAAATATCTAAAAGAAAAACTGGGTAGCCTTTTGTAAAGCGAAGAGAGCTAAAAGTCACCAAAATTGCCCATATCAAATTTTCAGCGATTTCCGATAACCGGAAGTGGAACTTTTTCTACTTTCAATTTTTCAGAAGCCTATAACATAAGTACTATTTCAGAGAGATACATGAAATTTCACATATAAGTTAAAGATCTAATTCTCTGCCTTCAGTCAATTTTTAAGAAACTTCCGTTGACCGGAAATAGCAATTTAGGCTAATTCCAATTTCTCAACAAAAAAAACGCATGTAAATTTATTAAAAGTATTAATAATATTCCGCACTATTATAGAAATTTTATTTGGCGTTCACTTGGTGTGCAATTGTTTTTTCTACGAGATTCTATTTTTAAAAGTTTAAGTAATTAAAATTGAATTAAAAATGTTGTCTATATCCCTTGTTGCCGAGAAAGTTTAGTGGAGATCACTCCCGGTTTATTTTTCTGCACGATTACAATGCTTTCTCTATACACTGTATACGAGAAAGTAAAATAAGAAAAGCCAATTGAAATTATGTGCTTATTGTTTTAAGTTTAAAAAAAAAACTTGGGCTTATGCTATTTGTGATTGTGTTGAGTTTAGGTTATAGAAAAAAAAGTTAAAAATGAACATTTTGAAACGTCTTAACTTGTTTACTACTTATAATAAGTAACTAATATAAACAAATTTAATATCTACTGTCTTAAAATCTTGAGTACTTAAAACAGCATTTCTTTTTTGTTAAAAAAAAAACAACCTCGGTGACTGTTTATAAAAAAACAGTACAAACAGGCCTACTGGAAATAACAAAGAGAAGAAGATCCAAAAAGAAAAGCAGGCTGAAATCTTAGTTAATTGGCCCATGGCACGCATACCATGTTGACTTGTAATACTTAATTGTGTTTGAGGTTATCCCCTTTGATTTTAAAATAACAAAGAAGTAGTAGACGTAGTTGCAATTTTCATGTGTTGACTTACTTGACTTAGTCCTCTTTGCTCCTTATGGAACACAGGGCCTCCACCATTTCCTTCCATTTCTTCCTATCCCCGGCTATTAATTTTGTCATATCCCAAGACATCCCTGTTGGCTTCAGTTCTTCAAGAAGACTCCGCCTCCAGGTTTGTCTTGGGCGCCCTCTTTTCCGCTTTCCCTGGGGTTTCCACTCAAGCGCTTGGCGTGTAACATTTATGTGAGCCTTTCGCAGTGTGTGACCCACCCGGCGCCACTTCCTCCTTCTTATTTGCACACCTAAAGGCTCCCGCGTCGCTCTCCATATGTATATGTTCGTCACTTTGTCCTGCCATCTCAGTTTCAATATCTGTCTAAGGCATCTATTCATGAAGGTCTGTATCTTTGCTGTGCTTGCTTTGGAGACTCTCAATGTCTCTGCTCCATACAGCAGAACTGCCTTGACGTTAGAGTTGAATATCCTAATTTTTGTGGTAATGGAGATGGCCGACCTTTTCCATGTGTTAATAAATACATTTTCTGAACATTTTCTTAACATAGATGGAACAACTTAAAGATATGAAAGTGGAAGAACGTGATGAATTTCAAGCCATCATGCACATGGTTGAAAACACATGGAAGGGAGAAGATGAAATGACAGAAGCTATAAAGCGTCTAGAAAATCAAAGTAAGACCTACTTTAAACATTGATAACACTAAAACGATTGACTTCGAAATCACGCGGGCTGCTGAGGGCCCTATGATACGTTTTTTTTTAATAATGAGGAAAATTAACCAAGGTTAGATTATTAACACTGTGTTGTTTCCTATTGTCCGTAAAAGATTCAAATAATTCCAAAACCTACAGCTCTCAAAATAATGTAAATATTTACGTAAAAAATTTAGTTTATAAAGGAAACTCAAATAAAAAATAAGTCACTAAAAATAACTTTGTAACGCGAGGAAATCCGCTGTACGGTTTCCTCACTTTGCAAATGATGCAATAGGCATCTATTTTTAAACGATCCAATCAGAAATTGAGATCGAGTTTCTAATAATATACCATTAGAAACGCTATCAAATTGCATCAGTCACACTGATGTTTATAACACTTCAAAAAAATGTTCATGTTAAAAACCCTTTTGATTTGTGTAACTTTAGCTAATAATGCAATCTGCATCATTGTTTCTGGATGCTATGTGGCGCTCTGGGTTATCATGTTAGCACATTGGCACTTAGTTATTTTTAAAGAGCCAACAGCCCTACGCTGCGCCTCTGCGGTAGTGTTATTGGGGGGCTCCTGAAAGTGCCTCTCTCTGTTTCTAATACATGGGTGGTTAGGATGTTTGTTATACCTCATTATTTCGGTGAGTGATTAACGAACATTCAAGGATTTCATTTGGTAGTATAGGTAAACCCGTGTCCCGATAACTATGATACAAGCGCAGGCATTGTTTACATTTAAATAACACAGTTTTAGAAAACAAGGTCACACGTCTAAGTACATATGATTGGCAAATGAAATCCTTCTAATATAATTCGTCACTTTCTTCTATCCCCGCGATAACGCGCGGGGGACGGGTACGCTAGTATCCTTATTTAACACAAGTTGGAGTAGTTTGATAAGTCTGCCTACTAATTTGGTCACATGTTTAATTAATTCATAAAAACATTAGTCAGGCGACCAATTAAGTCAAATTGAATGTCATGATGCATTCCTTCATGTCTTGACCAAAGTACCAATTACGAACCGTATTTGTCAGTTAGAAGTGCCTGCAATTTCGCTCCACCGTTTCGATCTAGACTGACGACAGACTGACGAGGAAGTGAGTTAAATAAAAGCTTGTAAAAATACTATAGTTGAAAAACTGGACTATGCAATTTTGTCCGGATGTTTGCATGTGTCTATAAACACGATAACTTGAGAACCGTTACAGCTAGGTTGATGAAATTTCATATATCAGTATTATATACAATTTCTAGATCTGTATCAACTTTTCAGTGTTTTTTTGATAACCGGAAGTAGCACTTTTTCAATTTTCAATTTTTCAAAAGTCTATAACTTTAGTACTATTTAAGTTAGATAAACGAAATTTAAAATATAAGTAAAAGATATAATTATCTGCCTTTATCAAGTTTTTTCCGTTGACCGGAATTTGTAATTTACGCTATTTCCGATTTCTCAAAAAACGCATGTGAATTTATAAAGTACTAATAATATTCCGCACTACTACGCACATTTTAATTAGCGTTCACTTGGTGTGCAATTCTTTTTTCTACGAGATTCTTATCTATTTTTAAAAGTTTAAGTAATTAAAAATGGTTTAAAATATTGTCTGTATCCCGAGTTGCTTTCCCCCTAGTGATATATAAGAACGTTCGAGAAAATTTAGGGGAGATCACTGCGGTTTATGTATATACATATTATTCCAGATTTGTAATTTCTATCAACTCGTATGTTTAGCGATTCCCGGTAACCGGAAGTGGTACTTATTCTACTTTCGGTTTCTTAAAAGACAAAAACTTGAGAACTGTTAAATTAAGTTAGGTAGACGGAATTTCATATGCAAATTTTGAATTGTATGATCTTAAAATTTGATGAATTAAATTATTTGATGACCTCAGAAAACCGGAAGTGATCCTTTACTTTAAATCTGGTTTCTAAAATACCGATAATGTGAGTACCGGTTCAGTTAGTTGGACAAAATTTCATACATGGGTATAAAATATTACTCAATTGATTCCCTTAAATTTTAAGTGATTTCCGGTGAGAGGATGTAGTACTTTACGCTATTTTCAATTTCTCAAAACTATATGAATTAGATAATTTTACATTACTTTTTCTGAGTATTTTTTCTACGTGATTCTATTCTATTTAGACAGAAAAATTGGTGCTTTATAATGCGGTATTTAGCTTTATTACAGATTAATTATATAAACTCAGGATTTTATTATTTTATAGAATACTCTCATAAAGTATATTCTAAGAAATTTTCACTTTCTTGTATTAACGAGCGGCTTTGTCACAAATTTCTATATTTCTTTTGCACAATTGCACTGAAAATGCCACCCACCACCCTGTTTAGGGGAGATGACTCCCGGTTTATTTTCAATAGCTGTTATTGTCATAGAATTAGAAGAATCTGTGTCCAAATAAAGCTAGCGACCCGATTCTTGATAGCCACTATGAATTATTTATAGTATTGGCAATTAATTGGTTACATTGATATTGTTTTTAAAATTTGCTTTGTTATTTATTACCTGCTTAATATTGCTTTGATTGTTTAACAGATTTCAACAAATCAATAATACAGAAACTGTTGTTAAATCATGAAGATTATAAGGTAATTCTTTAAAATTACTAGCCGTCCCGGCCAGGCCCTGCACTAGCCTCTGAAAAACTTATCTGTAATTAACCATGACTTGTGTGTTATTAAGCAGCATATACCAGGCATGGACGTTTGACAAAAGAGCATATAACCCTAAACTTAACTCTAAATTTAAACTTAACACTAATCAAAACTAACCAAAACCAAAACACAAACACAAATACAAACAAAAAAACACAAACGCAAACCAACCAAACAAACAATAACTCAGAAAAGGATGCAATAGCTAAACGCGAACATAAACACAAACTTAAATGCATACTTCCTATAGCTTAGATCAAAATTAAACCATACCAGGGAGCCGGTGCCCCTCCTGATTAAATTTGGTAAAAGATTGTAATATCTCAAAGTATACATAGTCTGAAGCACGAAAGTTTGCGCCATAGCGCTCACGGGAAGGCTCGAAGCGCCCAATAGCACTCTATTGGGGCTCTTGAAAACACCCTGGATTCAACTTAATGAAGTACTTTAGTAACCCTTCTTATCCATAGTCTATCGCTCTCTTTAAAACGAAAGTATGCGCTCACAGGATAGCCCACGGCGCCAAATCACACCCTGCCGGTGCGCCTGCGGACACGTCTGATTTAATTCAGTGATCGACTATTATACTCCCAGTTTGTCCTCAAACCGAAAAATAGAACTAAATATAGAGAACATTTAGCAGCGGTTTATAAACTGTTATTGATTAAAAATAATTAGTAAATAGTACTTTCAGTGTATACAATAAATAAAAGGCAGTATTTAAAATATCCGTGTTTTATCTACCACATTGCACTTTATTAATCCACGCTTATTATATAATTTTTGTCCAACATCAAAACAAACTAATAAGCAGTATTTTTGTCTTCCCGATTTAAAGTTTCTGAGCATGGGAGGATGATGAAAACCAAAATAATTAAAATGCTTATTTCTAAACCAAATGCTATAATATTTATCCTTTACTTATAACTTAAAATAGTCGAAAATTTCATGCCGTTGCCATGGTGATTGCGGTGATCTTGGATTTTTAAAACAATTTTAACATTGAAATAACTATCTTAATTATTGTAACCCCATGTTATGTTGAGAAAACTAGAAGTTTTGAGTTTTCTTTCTTCTTACATAGACGAAAAACTGCTAGTTCATTTCACAATTTTATTTATAATAGTAAAATCCACAAAGAATACTGATCATTCATTCAGTAATCAAACATCCAACGTTCGATATAGCACTTATACATAGAGTGCGTGAATACACAAGATAAAATCACAGTAATAATATTGGATACATTTCAAGTTCTAATAGTCAACACACATAGCTTCCCCTTGTATTCATCTAGGCGGCCTCCTCGAACATCTCATTTACCCCGATTATATAGACCTAGATTCACTCTCTTCAGTCAGTGAGCGATCTCCAAAAAAGCATGCAAAATACAGTGATTGATCGCTCACGCATTCCATTCCGATGGCCAGGTTTTTAACTATCCAATACGTTTAACTCCAAATAAAATTCATAAGAGACTGTCTGTTGAAATTATTACTAAAATTGATCACAATTTTCTCTGTTTATTCTGTATACATATTTCAACAAAACTGATAGAACACATTTTTAAAAATCTGTATTCTTTTTCTTTAAAGTTAAAATTGTGTATTTTTTGCCCACATTTCGATTTTTTAAAAGTAATTTTCAGAAAAAAATATTTAAAAACAAAAGTATTTTAAAATTTGATAATGTAATCTATCACGACTGTTAGCAGCTTATATCTCTATAATCCTACAAGTTATTATCGAATTTGCATAAACCATCTTTCATTGTTTTTTATGTTAAAAGGGTAAATAAAACCCAATATAATCACATGACATTTTCACCAATTTTGTTTTTTAAATTTTAGATTTCGTTCTTTAAGTCATAACTATGTACTAAATATTATAGCATTAGGTTTTGAAATAAGCATTTTGTTTATTTTGGTTTTCATCACCCGCCCACACCCTAATGGAAGTAATATTTGTGTAAGATTTAGCAAGGAAAGTAATTGGTACTAAAGGGACAAGGGGAAGTACTTTGTACACGTTTTTCAAACACAATTTTAATTTTTGTTAAGGGTGATTGATTTCCTTTAATTTTGTTCATTCCGCATGACGTTAATTAAAGTGATAAGTTTGGAAAATGAAACTTGTTTTACAAAATCATCAATATTTATTTTTTTTATCATTAATCAAATTCATTTTAAGAATATTATACTATGACCATCGTGTTTTTTACTCTTGAAAACACTATAATTTGTATAACGTAGTGATAATATATCCTTATTGAAAAAACCAAGTGTAATCCATAAATGACATCTCGCTTCTGGTGTTGAGAGAGGGGATGACTAGAAAGTGTCATTTTATGTGGAAGTGGGGGATAGCCAAAATATGTATGTCAACTATTGATATTCCTTGTAACAAATAAAGCCTTTACAATTAATATACTCTACACGGAATATTACCAGAAATACAAAGAAGAACTTAAAAATGAAGTTGTCTTTGCTTCAAGCACAATTGCAAGTAAGGAGCTGATTATATGGTATGTGTAATTTTTATTTCATACAAATATATCTTACAATCATTTACAATTAACAAACAAGAAAGTGATAATCGAACATAACATTTAAAAGATTCCAAAATAAATTATTTAATTTTGATAAAAATTAACAAACGTCCTAGCTCCAGAGAAAGGCGTGCAGTAAATTCTAAACAAGACCTAGAGGAGCTAATATGCAGATTTGAGAAAATTAGAGACAAAGAAATACCACGTGGTTTTATTGTGAATCCTTATATCGTAAGTTCTCATTACTTTCATCGCCAATAGAATATTACATATTCTGATGGCTTGGAAAAAATTCACTTGTAATATATATATATATATATATATATATATATATATATATATATATATATATATATATATATATATATATATACATATATATATATATATATATATCATAAATATATATATACATATATATATTTATACATATATATATATATATATATATATATATATATATATATATATATATATATATATATATATATATATATATATATATATATATATATATATATATATATATATATATATAAATAACATAAATATATATAAAACAAAAGACAGACAGACAGACAGACAGACAGACAGACAGACAGACAGACAGACCGACAGACCGACAGACCGACAGACCGACAGAACGACAGACGGACAGACGGACGGACGGACGGACGGACGGACGGACGGACGGACGGACGGACGGACGGACGGACGGACGGACGGACGGACGGACGGACGGACAGACAGACAGACAGACAGACAGACAGACAGACAGACAGACAGACAGACAGACAGACAGACAGACAGACAGACAGACAGACAGACAGACAGATAGATAGATAGATAGATAGATAGATAGATAGATAGATAGATAGATAGATAGATAGATAGATAAGTAGATAGAAGGATGGTCCCAGAAAATGTTGTTCGTAAGTTATGTAAATGATGTAAATTCAATTGAACTATATAGCCCTAAAACAAGAAAAAGCACAAATGACATGCAAGATTATTCTGTCAGTAATAAAAGGGGAGAGGAAAGCATTTTTAGCAAAGTGGCGTCTATTTGGAGACTTTTTAAAATCGACGTTTTAGACAATCAAATTTGTCAGAGATTAATTTATTTTCGGATGGCACGTCGATGTAAATTACTTGCAAGATTTCTTTTAATGCAGCAATTATTTAAGCATATAGATCTAGTACTAGACATGGGTTAAATCATGATACCATTAATGAAGTATCTATGTAAACAACGCTATTAATAACAGCTGTATTGGCTTGCCATTCTTAAAATAACCATTACGATGAATTGCTTTCTGTAAGCCATGACGGGGGGTGGGGGGGGGGGGGACAATATCTACCTCCCTAGGCTTATGTATTACAACTAATCAAAACCAATGCCGTGAATAATTCACTCACATGAGGTTGGAGGCAGAAGCCTAAATATTAAAAAAAACATGAGTAAAAAAATAGACTTTATAATAAAGTCTGGCTGCCCAACGTTGTCTGACATAACCACAATGGTGACAACAAGTAGATACATGGACAGAAAAATTTTGCCCAAGGCCAACACGCATCATATAAGAGAAAAATAAAAAGAGCAACTATCTTACCAGGTTTGCAGAAATGAAACAGCAAAGTAAAACTAATGGATGGGCCAGCGATGATTTTTTATGCTTCGGATGGTCCAGGCTCTGACCACATAGACACCTTCCTCATCCCCTCGACATTGAAAAGAAAAGGAAGCTCTAACTTTCTAACAAAACGGACATACATACACCTTGCATACTGCGCTTCCAAAATTAGTCCCTAAACCACTGATAACAACCAACACATCACGAAGAACTCGACAGAATTAAACAAAAAGACATAAATTTTGACAACAATATAAACAAAATATATATATACAAACTAGCTGTAGACAGCGACGTAAACAGATACACAGCGGCGCCATGATTTGGGACTACATAACCAAAAGCACGAACAGTTTACAAAAGGAAACGATACATTCGCCTTTGCAGTTACAGATAATAATAATAATAATAATAATAATAATAATAATAGTAATAATAATGATAATGATAATGATAATGATAATGATAATGATAATGATAATGATAATGATAATGATAATGATAATGATAATGATAATGATAATGATAATGATAATGATAATGATAATGATAATGATAATGATAATGATAATGATAATGATAATGATAATGATAATGATAATGATAATGATAATGATAATGATAATGATAATGATAATGATAATGATAATGATAATGATAATGATAATGATAATGATAATGATAATGATAATGATAATGATAATGATAATGATAATGATAATGATAATGATAATGATAATGATAATGATAATGATAATGATAATGATAATGATAATGATAATGATAATGATAATGATAATGATAATGATAATGATAATGATAATGATAATGATAATGATAATGATAATGATAATGATAATGATAATGGTAATGGTAATGGTAATGGTAATGGTAATGGTAATGGTAATGGTAATGGTAATGGTAATGGTAATGGTAATGGTAATGGTAATGGTAATGGTAATGGTAATGGTAATGGTAATGGTAATGGTAATGGTAATGGTAATGGTAATGGTAATGGTAATGGTAATGGTAATGGTAATGGTAATGGTAATGGTAATGGTAATGGTAATGGTAATGATATTGATATTGGTAATGGTAATGGTAATGGTAATGGTAATGGTAATGGTAATGGTAATGGTAATGGTAATGGTAACGGTAACGGTATCGGTAACGGTAACGGTAACGGTAACGGTAACGGTAACGATAACGATAACGATATTGATAATGATAATGATAATGATAATGATAATGATAATGATAATGATAATGATAATGATAATGATAATGATAATGATAATGATAATGATAATGATAATGATAATGATAATGATAATGATAATGATAATGATAATGATAATGATAATGATAATGATAATGATAATGATAATGATAATGATAATGATAATGATAATGATAATGATAATGATAATGATAATGATAATGATAATGATTGATAATGATTGATAATGATAATAAAAAATAATAATAATAGTAATAATAATAAGAAATAAGACACCCCAGACATTCACACTTAATATTAAGTAATATTTTAACATAAATAAACCAGGAGTAATCTCCCCTAAACTTTCTCGAATATTCTTATATAAAATAACAGGGGATGGGAACTCGGGCTATAGACATGATTTTAAATCCATTTTAAATACTTAAAGTTTTAAAAATAGAATAAAATCTGGTAGACAAATTAATTGCACACCAAGTGAACGCTAAATAATAAAGCGCATAATAGTGCACAATATTATTAGTACTTTTAAAATTTACATTAGTTTTTTGAGAAATCGAAAGTAGCGTAAATTACTACTTCCAGTCAACGGAGATTACTCAAAATTTAACAGAAGGTAGAGAATTACATCTTTTACTTACATGTGAAATTTCTTTTATCTATCTGAAACAGTACTCAAGTTATAGGCCTTTGAAAAATTTAAAGTAGGAAAAGTACCACTTCCGTTTATCGGAAATCACTCAAAAGTTGATACGGATCTACGATTTCGATAAAATACTTATATATGAAATTTCATCAACCTAGCTGTAATGGTACTCAAGTTATCGGTTTACACACGGACAGACAGACACACAGACACACAGACATACGGACAAGATTGCAAAATTATGTTTTTCCGTATCAGTGAGATGTCAAACGTCAGATTTGTAAAAATCTCCATTTTTTTTTTTTTGCACGATTACAAGACTTTCTCTATACTTCGTATATACGAGAAAGTAAAAAAGAAGGAAACAAAATAAAGAATAATACTTGAAAGTATTAACAATTTTAAGGACATCGTGAATCCCAAAGTTTAAGAGAAGCTATATTAAATGAAGGCAACTTTTTGGAACTTATTAAGCTCCCATCTAACAATGATGATTTGCTACAACAACATTTAAATTTTCGGTGACAGTAATGCAACATACTTAAGTCCACGTATATTCAAAACGACCTAATAAAGTCTATCAGCCCACATTTTAAAGAAAATAGGTGAACTTAAAATAGCTAGTTATTTCGAAGTGATTGTAGATTCAACTATCGATGTTAGCAGATATTTGTCTAGTAGATATTTTACAGAACACGGAGACACCATCGAAAATGTATTCAATTTAGCGAACTTCCAGAAGCTAGTGTAGAGGTGTTTTTTTTTTCAAATCGCTCTTACAGCATTCACAGGTTTAGGGCTGTCAATGACCGTGTGCTACTATCAGTGATATGATGGAGCAAACGCTATGTATGCTGAAATATCAGACCTACAAAAACAAGTTAGGGATATAGCTCCATATGCAATCTTTACACACTGCAGGGTTCATAATTTATAAATTACAGTATAGAACAAAATTGTTATCAAATATATTTTAATAGGACATAGTAATTAATGTTTTTCCCATTTAATTTCAAATAAAGACCCTTTTTGAAAACTGAGCAAAAGCAATATCTGCATTTACGCGTCTTATGCATTCAAATCTTTAGAATAGATATTATGCTATTGTAAAGTAAAACTTGATGCCCGAACCTGACTACTCATTATATATGTGAAAACCTGGATTCGCCTCTGGGTATACCTTTGCTATCTATAGTTATTGCCAACTTACTACACAGCTAGTTACGAAATACAAACAGTAAATGATTTATTGTCATTACTTTCATTGGACCTATGCTGTATGTGCTATTCTCTTTTACTGACTAACGAACATCAACACATAGGGTCTTTTTCTGACAACGCTTCACGCTGACTACCATTGTGTAAATCAGAACACTACCCAGATTTCCTGAGGCCACATGCCTTGTTAACAATCGCTCTCAAGAGCAAAAAATAGTTTTAACAATTGCGGACCACCAGGGCCCGACCAAAAAAGATTTTGATCATTCGCCTTGGCTGGTAACACTATGGTATCTGCTATATAATTATACTTAACGAGCCGGCCCGCGGCATAACATCCGCCGCTATTTAGTTGTTTTTTCTACTTTTCAGTAATTCATCATTTGTGAATTCGACAGTACCAACGCTGACACTGAAAATATTTCTTTAAAACACTATAAGTAGATCGTTAAGGACCATAACCCCCCTTCCTCCCCCCCCCCCCCCCCCAACGTTTAAAATCGTTTCAAACTAAATTATCTGCCCCTAATAGCCGTCACTAAACCCGACTCCACGAAGGTAAACAAAGCGTGAACCACAGCTCACTAAGACCATGTAGGGTTGGGGATGGTAGGGAGCGCGTTTACGGCTTGTTTTCTAGCGTCTCCCAGAAGAGAATTGTATATATAGATTATATCTCTCTAACATTAATTGGTAGTAATGGGAATCAGATTTATTCTTTATGTCTAATAATAATGTTTTCAATGTATGTGAATAACCTTACCCAAAACAAAAAAAATCAGGGTGGGGAGGGAATTATATTAACTATTTTTAATGTTGATTAAACATTAAAATAATTATTATACAAATAAAATATAAACAAAAATAGACTCTTTCTTTAAAAAGCGTGGTTGTCAAATACTAACAGAAAAGGTTGTAAAAATAGTGTTGTTAATAAATAAAGTTGACCAGAGGTCTTCTGTCATTCACTCGACCCACCTTGCAGTGACAATATAAAATGTATTACATAAACAACAGCCAGATTTAGGGACTAATCTGTGAGGGCACTTGTCAGGTTACAGATAGGTCAGTTATGCAGCCCTAGAAAAATTGATGATTCTAAATGACATTCAATGTTTTTGACAATATATTAATTTCAATAACAGATCTCACGTAATTCTGTGGAATTCAACATAGAAAACTACATGGCCGTAAGTGGTGCTGAAACTTGGAATTTATCATCAAGATCACCTGTACTAATACAAGCTCATAGTTTGCAAATTGAGTCGGTAAAAATAGATTAGGCCCAATGTTTTTTTTTATACATTAACTGTTTATGTAGACATGAATTACAAACCAGTAATTACAATTGGTACATTTAATTTATTTGTTGTTGTAAACATAAATCAACAGAAGGAGATAAAAAACTTTAATGGAGACGAATTAAGATTTATGTATGACTACAAAAAATCGGAGCATGTACTAACACTTTATAAAGTATCACATATTGCCAATTATGTTGTTATTGTGAAAGAACTAAAAGAAGGTACGTAAAAATATTTACTCCGAATTTATAAAGTTATTTTTAAAGGCAAACTTGCAAAATAAAACTTAATTGCCTATATTGTTTACATTTTTGTCATATTTCTCTTATTCTTTAAATCAATTTTTTTTTATTCAGGCAAAACTTTAGCACAAATATTTGTAGATGGCAAATTCAACAATGCTATTTATTTGTTATGCTTACACTTGCTTCAGTTTTATAATCTAACCCAAAACTACATTCATGGACCAATTCAAGGTAAGCAAAATAAATATAGCAAAACTAGAGATGTTGTAATATTCATCATGTAGTAGAAGGCTTTACAACAATTTGATTCCCGCAGGTTATGTCCAAACGGCATGTGAAATTTAAATAAACCGGGAATGATCTCCCCTAAACTCTCTCGGATATTCTAATATAAAACTAAGAGGGATGGCAACTGAGGACATAGACAATATTTGTAATCCATTTTTAATTACTTAAACTTTTTATAATAGAATGGAATCTCGTAAAAAAAGTATTGCACACTAAGTGAACGCCTAATAAAATGTGCATAATAGTGCGGGATATTATTAGTACTTTATAAATTTACGTGTGTTTTTGAGAAATCGGAAATAGCGTAAATTAGTACTTCCGGTAAACGGAAATTAATCAAAATTTGACAGGAGGTAGAGAATTAGATCTTTTACTTACATGTGAATATTCATATATCTATCTGAAATAGTACTCAAGTTATAGGCTTTTGAAAAATTCAAAGTAGAAAAAGTACCACTTCCGGTTATCGGGAATCGCTCAAAAGTTGATACGGATCTACGATTTCGATAAAATACTTACATATGAAATGTCATCAACCTAGCTGTAACGGTACTCAAGTAATACTGTTTACACACAGACAGACACACACTCACGCAGACACACAGACATACGGACAAGATTGCAGAATTATGTTTTTCCGTATCAGTCAGGTGTAAAACGTCGAGATTTGTAAAAATCTCGATTTTTTTTGCACGATTACAATACTTTCTCTATACTTCGTATATACGAGAAAGTAAAAAGCAGCCTCTTCTGACCTGAACTTTCATTGTGCATTTGTTTTCAGCAAAGACTGTTAGCAGCTGAAAGTTACGGGTCACTTTAAAATAATAACAAAAAAAAATAAGTCAAAAGTAAATTAGCCATAAAACCTCATAATGGATCAATTAAATTTATAAACCTTTTCATTAGAACTTATTGTAAACTGTAATAGTGCTGTAGTATGAGCAATTTCTTTAAGCATTTCTGCCATATGGTCTTTGAGAATATCATTATTTAATTCTCTTAAAACGTCAAATTGTTTGACTTAAGCTTAAGCCTAAAATCAAATCTATGTAATAGACAACGATCGGTTCTTAATATATCCCAATTTAGAGAATGATCGTTCTGTTTTAAGTAACTTTGCTAGACAATTATTAATCATAGTTTATACTAGAATACCCGTCATCCCTTGGATAACTGTGGGTTTCGGGGGTCATCCATCAAAAAACATCACGTCTGTCACTCAGAGGCATAGCGAGCCTTCCCGGCGCCCGGGGACAAACTTTTCGATTTTAACCCCCCCCCCCCCCCCCAAGATTTCGATTTTCAACCCCCCCCCACTCAAACTTTCGATTTGAACCCCCCTCAACCTTTCAATTTATTTTTCCAAACCATTTTGGCGCCCCAACATACGTCCCCCCGCCCCCCCCCCTTCACCTCCCCCCCTTCACCTCCCCCCCGCCTCCCCTTCCCCCCCCCCCCCCCCCCGCCTCCCCTTTCCCCCCCCCCCGCCTCCCCTTCCCCCCCCCCCGCCCCCCCCGCCTCCCCTTCCCCCCCCCCCCCCCCCCGCCTCCCCACCCGCCCCCCCCCCTCCTCGCTACGCTACTGCAGTGTCACTTATCGTCACAAAAACAGAGCCCACATTCAAAAATATGTTTCTTATCTTTTAAAAACACCGAAAACACCGATTTCGGACTATCCCTTCATATACTGACGTCACATGTGACCTACTCAACTCTACTTCACCTGCCCAGTGTCCCGCCAAGTCTCAGACAACATGTTTTTATCGTTTAAAAAACGATTCCAGCCGAGCATGTCTCTGACCACACTATCCTTTCATATGGTTAGGACAAAGAAACAGATGAACTCTACTTCACCTGCCCTGTATCCTGCCAAGTTCAGATAGGCAACTTTATCATTAACATCTAAAAAAAAAAATTGAAAAAAAATATCATTTTTTATCATTAACATCTAAAAAAAAAAAATTGAAAAAAAATATCATTGACATATTGGTCTAGAACCTGTACCACTCGCATGAGAGCGGACTACGCTACAAACTTAGCTATTTACTCGTGACGTCACAAATGAATTTTTATACTATACTTTGATGCAACTTGATTTCGAGCGTCTAGTCTAGAAGTAGTAACTTTCAAATTAAATTTTATCTTAAATTAGCCAAACAAAGATTTATATAAAATAATTAAGGCCTGAAATAGATTCTAGATGTATTAAGGCCTGAAATAGATTCTAGATGTAGAATTTACATTAAGTCTAGATTTAGAATTTACATTGAGTTTAGTGACCTAGATCTAGATCTAGGCTAGATTCATAAATTTCCTTCGACAGCTGATCTTTAGATCTAGAGAAATTTATTGTAAAACTAAATGAAAAAAGACAGTTGAAAATTGATATAAGTGTTGGAACGTAATAAATACAGCAAACGGACGTATTGTTAAAGTTATGACCGACAGAAAATTAGATTTAGAACGCGTTAAACTTTGGAATGGGAACACAATTTTCTTCGATAGACGCCGCCATTTTATTGTACTAAAGAGTCAACAAAAAAACTCTGACGTCACTATCAAGGGACGTCACTATCCCCACAAAAGTTTATTCAAAGTATTAACATTTTTAAAAAAATACGGTTAATTTAACAATGAATAAATCAATAAATTAATTAACGTCTTTAAATAAATTTGTGATTAACAGTCTGTCTGCATTAAAAAATTATTCTCTACCTACATACTATTTTACAGCTGTCCCGGTAGAGTCGAACATATCACAATAGTCAATCAGGCAAACAAACAAATAAATATTCAAACATGTAAACAAACTTGACTTTTAGTAGTATACTAGCCGTCCCGGCCAGGCCCTGCTCTGGCTTCTGTGAAAAACCTTTCTGTTAAAGACCATTACCTGTGTGTTTAGTAATCATCATAAACCCGGCATTGCACACCCAAACCAAAACCAAAACAACAAAACGCAAACATAACGCTAACACAATTACAAATACAAACGAAAACAAAAACCTAACAACTAACCCAACCACAACCACAAACACCAATACGAACACAAAGAAAAAAAAAAAAACGAAAAAGCAAACGAAAACAAACCAAATCCAAATGCAAAACCAACCACAAACCCAAAGAAAAAAACACAAACGAAAAAACAAACGAAAACAAACCAAATACAAACGCAAAACCAACCACAAACACAAATACAAACACAAACGCAAAGAAAATAAAACACAAACGAAAACGAAAAAAGAAAGAACAAAAACGAACCAAATCAAAACGCAACCACTAACGCAAACCCAACCTAAACACAAAGAAAACACTAACGCGAACATAAACGCACAGTGCTCAGAGTCTAGCCCGGGGCGGAATCGCCTGTTTCAGCTTAATAAACGACTATAGTACCCCAACTTATTCATAGTCTTTTGCACTCACTTTAATGAACGTAGGCGCGAAACCGAACACGGGAGGCCCGGGACCCCAAATAGCACCCTGTCTGGGCGCCAGAGGACGCACCATGACGTCACCGCCCGATTGAACTTAGTAAACGACTATAGTACATAACTTATTCATAGTCTTTTGAACTCACGCGAACGTATATACCATAGCGTACACCGTAAGGCCCGGGGCGCCAAATAGCACCCTGTCGGGGTGCCGGAGGACGCCCGGATTTGATTCACTTAAAGACTATAGTAACCTTTCTTACCCATAGTCTATCGCACTGTTAAAAACAAAATTATGCAGCATAGCGCTCACATGATAGCCCAGGGTGCCAAATCGAACCGTGCAAGGGCGCCGGCGGACGCGCCTGTTTCAATTTAGTGAACAAAAATGATAATACTCCAAGCTTATCCGTAAATGGAAAGAAATAAACATATAGGATTTGTAGGACCTGGCTTATTAAATGTTATTGATTTTAAAAAAATATATATATATTGAACAGTATGTTCAGTGTATAGAATAAATAAAAGGCAGTGTTAAAAATACCTAACGACATTGCACTTAATCAATCCCCGCTAATTATGTAATTTTTTTTTTCTTAACACCAAAAACAAAGTAATAAAATGTAAATTCTTTCTTCTTAAGAATTTTTTTTATTAAAGGGAAGTAACTGTGCAGTCAATACATTTCCGACACAATTTTAGAAATTTTATAAACGTCGATAAACTTTGTAAAAATTTTATGTCGTGTTCATAATTAAAAATTATTCTTCTAAGTAAATAGAATGAAAATTGTTTTTAAAGACTTTCAATGGTAATTTTTTGACTCGTAAATTTAGACTATGAGCACGATAAAAAATCTAACACTTAAATCCATAGAAGTGTCAACGACAAACTTTTTTGCCACACGTTACAAAACTGAGCTTTATATATTAGATAGATGCATTGAAAAATATGGTTATATGCTTGACCAAAGAACTATCGTTACTTAACAATACGGAATCAAAGCAAACAACATTTTTTTGCAAGATTAGCATTTCGGAAGATCTTTATTGTTATCCAAAACTGGGTCTTCCCAGGCTCATATGGTTAATCATCATTGATTCACTATTTTAAAGCACATTATGTATTGCTGTCAACAATTAGATAACAAGTCTCGATGCTGACTGCATATTCAGTAAGTGTCGGTATGTAACTGCCAAAGTGGGAACTGGCCTGCAAAATCGGAAAAAAATCTCTTTAGATTGACCAACCAATGCCAGATATATTCTTGATTTTGGACTTTATGTCCAGATAGTTATCAGACTTAACTAGATCTAGACAAACTAACAATTTTGTTACAAGTTTTATCTATAAAAGGGACAGTGTGGGTAGAGTATACAATTGTTTACCAAACATCTCGAGTTTTATTCCGGGTCCGAATTCGAAACAGCATACATTCCCTGGGTCTACCCAGCTCTGATAGGAGCCAGACTCACTTTAGGAAAAGTTAAGATGGCTGGGCTTAGTGCTGACTACACTATCCCTTTTATATACCGAAGTCACTGAAACAGGTGAGTTCTACTTCACCTGCCCCATGAAAATTCTGGCTTTTTCTTTGTACATTTTAGTCTCAAATGTTTCGTCCGTATCAGGCTGGAATAACAAGGAATATGATATTTATAGTCTAAAATTAAAAAGTAAAATTATACTTGACTATTACTCTTCCAATTAAAAATTCTGCCTTCATGGTTGCAATTCAAAATTTTTTTTACCGAAGTAGACTGTTACATTATGTCTTAGTAGTGATTTATTACGTCCCTTCGAGTGTTTACCATATCGCTGATGTGTAGCTGATGTGCACCTTTGAGTTAGATAACATCAGATAGAGTAGAAGCAGAGACAATTCATGTCGTCTATGCTTTCTAGTGTAATAAAGTACCAAGGTTAACTGAAGAAACTGTGCCTGTTGTATTAATGGAACATAGACTTTATTGTACAGGGCGGAACATAACAAAGTAGCCAGTCTTAATTTTAATAGAAAGTTTTAGGAAGGAAGTTGAAGAGTTTAATTTACTCCAAACTTCCGTCATTCTAGATCTATAAGTAAATATTAAACGTGATGTTTGCCTCACCAATCGATTTTTATACCTGTTATAATGTATCATAATATAGGTTTAGAATATATCCATTTGGTGGAAGATATTTTCCCCTGTAAAAAGTGAAGCCGTTGGCGTACTGTGTTAGTGTGTAATGTAGCTGTGTAAGTGTGTTATCTGTGAGTTGGCTAAGAATGTAGCCAGAGAGAACACCTTATATAATATAATAAAGTATTGAAGTTAACTTGAATGAGTCTAAGGGGGTCATCCATTTATGAGGTCCACAAAAATTTGGAATTTAGACCCCCCCCCCCACTCCCACCTGCGTCTACTTTCGACGATTCCCCCCACCCCCCCCCCCCCCCCACCCTATTGTGGACGTCCACAAAAATTTAGTAGACCTCTCAAAACAATCTGCAAAATCACTGATTTGGCGTGGTCGAGTCGGTAAAGCTCATGGTTGCTAAACCGAAAAGTCTCGAGTTCAAACCCTCGGTCAGATGAGGCTCGTTAGCTGTGGACAGCCACTCTTCTAGGAGAGACAACTCCAAAAATAAAACAACGGCTGCCTTGTAGTTTGTACTTGGTTGGACAAAGGCTATGGAACAAATGCAAAAATAAAAGCAGGCTGAAATCGGAGTCAATGGCCTCAACGGCGAATAACCAGTTGACACGTAACGCTTTATTGTGTTGGAAAGAGGTCGTCGAGCAGGTAAAAGCTCATGGTTGCCAAACCAAAGTCTCGAGTTCGATCTCTTCTAGCACTTAAAATTAAAAACGAAGAAGAAGAAGAAGCCTGATTCTTTAATATGCGTTGTGTACATTGCTATATTATTAACTGATAATATTATAAAGGGATTCGATAATTTCGGTAACATCTATTACTATGCCTTAAGTGATTTGAAACTAAGGGGAGGTAACAATTTCTGATTGATCTTTTCTTTGTCTGTAAATGGCTGCTTTCACTGGGCGGGAGGGGGGGGGGGGAGAAGGGAGGGAGAAGGGAGGGGGTAATGTTGAATTCACATATTATTAATTGCTGATAAGCAGAAAATAAAATAACTAGATGGCGGCGTATACTACGTCGCAGGTTAGCTCGTATAAAATAATTAAGACCTGAAATAGTTTAGTATAGAAACTCATTATTGGCCAATTTGCCAGTTACATAGCCTTAGCTAAATAAACACAGATCTATATAAAATAATTAAGGTTTGAAATAGCTTAGTATAAAAACTCATTATTCGCAAATATTCAAGATAGAGCTAGATCTAGAATCTAAGGCTTCTTTATGTACGTGACGCGGAGTCATTCCATATATATATATATATATATATATATATATATATATATATATATATATATATATATATATATATATATATATATATATATATATATATATATATATATATATATGGCCCCCACAAAAATTCAGCCAGGCGCCCCTCTCAAGCTTAATCGCTCCTGCCTATTAAACATTATTTAGCTGGAATGTGATAATCATAAATGTATGTCTTAAAAGATAATAGATCATTATAAGAAATTAGCTCTACTTAATTTAATCAAAATACCTAATTGTAAACTACATTTTACTTCGTTTTTTTTAAGTATCTACAATAATGCATGTATTTTTTACTTGCAGCAAAAACAGTTTTCTTTGACAAGAGTTCAAAATTATTTTGTGTAAGAGACTATAGTTCTGTTAAGAAAAAAGGGAATTCTAGTTTCCAAGATCAAGTGAAGCAGGCACAAAATTTTATTTTTAGCATCATTAACTTGATTTATAAAGGGGAAAAAGAAAGTAAGAATGAAAACGATGATGTAACGCATTATATGGAGGTAATCTTTACATATTTTTTGTCATATTAATAAAATCCTTCTGTATCAGATTATTACCATCTGACTTAATCTGCTTCAGTGAAGAAAATTGAAATCTTTCCAGTCTTTTAGTTTCTAATAAAATTAAAAGTTAATCAGAATTTTTAACCATTAAGCTACAGAGCATTGACGATGTGGCCTAGCAAAAACGCGCTAGACTGCTAACCTGAAAGTAGCGAGTTAGAATCCGAGTTCAAGTCTGTCTATGAGTCCACCCAGCTCAAATGGGTACCTAATTCACGCCAGGAAAAGTAAAGGCGGCTAGGCATAGTGCTGACCACACTATCTCTTCATATGTCACAGAACAGGTCAACTCCAGGCCTACTTCACTTACCCCATGGACCGTCAGGTTCGAAAAAGGGGTACTACGGAGCATAATTTAAATATTTGTGGGATATTTTTTCTGTCCTTTATGTTGTGCTTAATAAAATTGTATATCTTTTGGCTCTGATTTAATTTACACTGTTTTACAGAAACTGAAAATTCCAGATAATGGAGATGTTAATGTAAAGAAACTTGTGAATCTACTTAAAGAAGCTGTTAAACTCGATGACAAATTTCCTGATGTCTCAGAAGTAGTGACGTTTTTAGAAAGTTTTAAAATGGGTATTTGCCTACGTTGTTCTTTGAAAATAATACTTATAATTTTGCGGAAGACATTTCATTTACTATATGTCTGCATGGAAGGGAACGCTTTTCCCTCAACCTACCCTAGGCTGGGCGGCAAGCAGTACTTTTACTTTCTCGTATGCAGAGTATAGAGGAAGTATTGTAATGGTGCACAAAAATTACATGCAATTTTGAAAGTTTTCACCGTTTTACACCTCAGTACTTCAGTATATACGGAGTATAGGGGACTTATTTTAATCAGGCAAAAATTCTAAAGCCAGATGTATCAAAATTTTGCCGTTTTTGCGTGTAATCGAGTCGAAAAAACTGGGTTTTGCAATTCTGTATATCTGTGTGTGTTTGTCTGTCTGTGAACACGAGAACTTGAGTACCGTTACAGTTAGGTAGATGAAATTTCATATAATAAGTGTTACATCTACTTTGTAGTTCTGTTTCAACTTTTCATCGATTTCTGATAGCCGGAAGTGAAGTTATTCAACTTTCGGCTTTTCAAAAGCATACAACTTGAGTACTGTTTCTGATAGATGAACTTTCAAAAATTAGTAAAGTATTTAGTTCTCTGTTTTCTGTCAAATTTTGAGTTATTTCCGATTAGCGGAAGTAGTACTTAACGCTATTTCCGATTTCTCAAAAAAATTGCATATGAATGAATAAAGTACTAATGTTCCATACTATTATACACACATCGTTTGCTGTTCACTTGGCGGTAATTCTTTTTCATCGAAATTCTATTCTATTTTAAAAAGTATTTGAAAATAGATTTTAAAAAACTATGTCTGTATCTCGAGTTGCCATCCCCCATAGAGTTTTATAAGAAGATTCGAGAAAAGTTTGGGGAGATCGCTTTATTATTTAGTTATTGAAAGATGCATGTATTAGCCTACAAGTTCATACAAAATATTTTACTAATTATTTCAGAGCTTGAAAATGTTCAGGAAGATCTCTGGAATTACTTCTTTTCAGACAATGAGGTTAATATGCTTTTACATTTCTAATAATTATATATATATATATATATATATATATATATATATATATATATATATATATATATATATATATATATATATATATATATATGGAGGGAGGGATGGAGCGATGGATGAAGAAGGGATTTGTAATCGTGCACTAAAATCACATGAAATTTTGACAATTTTCGTATGTTTTACAACTCATTACTTCATCATATTTATATATGTAAATGTAAGGGGCTTGGAAGTTATTTAAATTATTATTTTATTACAAAAAGGTGAATGCCGCTTTTTATGTTCCTTTTGAGGATTGTTGTGGTTTTTAGTTAAGTAGTCCGCTAGTATATATTATATTTTTATATTACTTATGCAAACTTTGTTTTGGTGTGTGGTTCCACTTTGTAATTGTTTTATGTCGTGAATGTTAGTTATTGTTGTATTCGGGACTATTTTCTTGTGCGTAGTATTGGTTTTTAGTTCGTGAATGTGGTGTGTGGACAGAGAGGGACATTCTGCGGGAATATCGAGGCCCGTGTGTTGAAGAGTTTTTGTGTCGCATTTCTGTGGTGTATGGTAACATAGAGATATTTGTATAGTGTTTTATTTTCTTTTAATAGTTTTCTTATTTTGTATACGAAGTGACTACTTACTATTTAGTCACTTCGACTTTGAGAAGTCTCAATGGATGTTGTATCCAGACCACGTGGTAGTATGATGGTCTGGGTTTAGTCATGGATTAATGTAGATTTTACTTTCATTTATGAGAACCTCTTGTTGAGGCTGATAATTGTGTGCATTGAACTAGTAGTTTTATGCTCAGTGACCTGATATTTACATTTAAGTGTGTTCTTTGTGAACTACTTGTGGATGTTTAGATTTAATCTTGTCACCCCTCATTTGAAGGTTGATTTATGTACAATATCCATTTTATTTCAATTTTGTGTCATATTAGTTCCTTGTATATAACCTTTTTTACATTTAAAATAATTTGTGTCTATATTTCCTCTTTCTAGGACGGTAGTCCGAATTTGGGTGTTTCGTTGCGTTAAGTACTGTTTTGTTCCGTTATGTTTTGTATATGTAGTTTATCCAGATCTATTCCTTTTTACTTAAATTATTGGTTCCAATGTTCTTGTAAAATAAATTCTATAACTATAAACTGTTAAAATATTTTTTTACATTTTTTTAGAAGTTTCTTAGACTAAGGTTAAGAATAGGATTCAACCACCGTGGGTTTCACCACGGTTGCACTGACCCGGACAGTTATTAGGTAAGCCTATGGACGTAACATAGTTATCCCTCACTAGCAGGGTTTACAAATTGGTAGCACGAGTGGGGTCAGTGCTTTAGTCTATCTAAATTTTTGGTTTCTGTTAGGGCAAGGTTAGTTTAGCTAAATTTTTGTTTTTGATAGGCCCATTTGGAACCATATGTGTTTAGTTATAGTTTATGTTTAGTGTAGGGATTGTTTAAACACCCAATTCGGACGAGATGGCGGGGAACCCCATGAACATCGTTATCGTGCCACCCAGAAAGGTTAAAATCCAGAGGTTCCATGGAGACAGCCATGCTTTGGAGGTGGAACGTTTCATTGAAGAGGTGCAGGTCGCATGGAGGGCTAGGAAAGACCTCTCTGTTGAAGAAATAAAAGACCTCCTCTGGCATTACCTGGGGGAGTCTGTTAAAGAGGATCTCCGATGTAGGGACAATGATCTAGAGCAGGACCCTGAGTCAACATTAAGACTCCTGAGGGACATTTATGGGGAAAAGCGTAGCATTCCCCAACTGATGGCCCAGTTTCAAAGGGTGGTGCAGGGCCCAAATGAGACAGTGAGGTCTTATTCCACCGTCTACACCAAGCCTTTAGGGTGCTTACAGTCAGGCAAGCAAACCTACACAGGGCCCCTATAAGTCAAGTCGTACTGCGAGACCAATTCGTGCAGAACCTCAACCAACCCCTGTTAGGCGTCACCTGGAAGAAATGGTCTTTCGTGACCAAACGGCGACCTTCCTTGTCATAAGGAATGCAGCTGTCAGATGGGCACAAGATGAATGCCCAGGCAGAGAGTCTGAGAGGGTAGCAACTCCAAACACCAGGCTTGATATGCCAACGTTCGTGCTTCCCATCAAATCCAACATGGAGGACAGAGTAGACAAATTGGCAGCACAAATCTCTAGAGTTTCTGCTCTCATTTTCCCAAGGGGAACGCCATTTGCACCCGACAAGCAGAGGCCGACTGTGAGGACCAGGTCCTGCTTCAAATGTCACCAGCTCTGCCACATTGCCCGCAACTGTGATGGCAACATGTCTGATATCTGCACTTTTGAATTTGTATTGCTTGCAAGTACCGCAAGCTGTTAAGAGGGTGAATGTAAGGGGCTGGGGAGTTATTTAATTATTATTTTATTTTTATTACAAAAAGCTGAGTGTCGCTTTTTGTGTTCCTTTTGGGGATTGTTGTTGTTTTTAGTTAAGTAGTCCGCTAGTAAGGCGATATGATTATGATTTTCAAATGATTTATAGTTGCTTTGTCTCGTTTATATTTTTATATTACTTATGCAAACTTTGTTTTGGTGTGTGGTTCCACTTTGTTTTATGTCGTGAATGTTAGTTATTGTTGTATTAAACACTATTTTCTTGTGCGTAGTATTGGTTTTTTAGTTCGTGAATGTGGTGTGTGGACAGGGAGGGACATTCTGTGGGAATGTCGAGGCTTGTATGTTGAAGTGTTTCTATGTCGCATTTCTGTGGTGTATGGTAACATAGAGATATTTGTTTTATTATGTTTTCCTTTTAATAGTTTTCTTATTTTGTATACGAAGTGACTACTTACTATTTAGTCACTTCGACTTTGAGAAGTCTCAATGGATGTTGAATCCAGACCACGTGGTAGTATGATGGTCTGGGTTTAGTCATGGATTAATGTAGATTTTACTTTCATTTATGAGAACCTCTTGTTGAGGCTGATAATTGTGTGCATTGAACTAGTAGTTTAATGCTCAGTGACCTGATATTTACATTTAAGTGTGTTCTGTGTGCACTACTTGTGGATGGTTAAGATTTAATTTTGTCACCCCTTATTTGAAGGTTCATTTTGTACAGTATCCATTTTATTTTCAATGTGTGTCATATTAGTACCTTGTATATAGCCTTTTTTACATTTAAAATAATTTTTGTCTATTTTTCCTCTTTCTAGGACGGTAGTCCGAATTTGGGTGTTTTGTTCCGTTAAGTACTGTTTCGTTTCGTTTTATATATGTAGTTTATCCAGATCTATTCCTTTTTATTTAAATTGTTGGTTCCCATGTTCTTGTAAAATAAATTCTATAAACTGTTAAAAGTTTTTTTTGTTTTTTTTTTAAATAGTTTTTTAGACTAAGGTTAAGAATAGGATTCAACCACCGTGGATTTCACCACGGTTGTACTGACCCGGACAGTTATTAGATAAGCCTCTGGACGTAGCAAGGTATACCCCACTAGCAGGGCTTACATGTACAAAGTATAAGGGACTTATTTTAATCTGGCTAAAATTATAAATGCAAATTTATCAACATTTCTGTGTTTCGTGCGTAACCAAGCCGGACAAAAATTGGGCTTTGCAATTTTGTCCGTATTTCATTGTGTGTGGCTGTAAACACAATAGTTTGAGTACCATTACAGCTAGGTTGATGAAATTTCATGTGTATGTATTATATCAAATGTGTAGTTCTGTATCAGATTTTCAATGATTTCCGATAAATGGAAGTGGGTCTTATTCTACTTTTAGTTTTTCTAAAGCCTATAACTTGAGTACTGTTTCAGATAGATAAACGAAATTTCACATGTAAGTTACACATCCAATTTTTTTGTCTTCTGTCAAATTTTGAGTATTTTCCGTTGACCGGAAGTAGTAATTTCCGATTTCTCAAAAGCGAAAATGAATTTAGAAAGTACTATTAATATTTAGCACTATTATACACATATTGTTCTATTATATTTTTAAAAGTTTAAGTATTTAAACATGGAATAAAAATGATGTCTATTTCCCGAGTTGCCATCCCCCGTAATGTCATTGGAAAATATTCGAGAAAATTTAGGGGAGATCACTCCCGATTTATGTAAAATAAGATAATGTAGCATAATTTGAGCCTGCTTAGGAGAATATTATCCAGTACTATCTTGTTACCACTTGCTTTGACAATCAAAGTGTCAGCACCAAGAGAAGTTTTCTGGTCAGTTTTATTTTGCCTAATACAGCTGAATATTCTTTCGCAGCAAGCTGAGCTGTGTGGGATAGTTGACTGAAAAAACCTTGGGTTTTGGTAAGTGTTGAAACAGCTGCTCACCCGCGATCTAAAAAATATCTGACAGAACATGATTCAGCTTGTGTTTACAAACATGGATCCAAAATTTCAGAATTTTTTATAGAGGATTGGCAAAAGGTTTTATTTTTTCAAAAATTAAGAATATCCTTATAAAATTATTCAGCTTCCATAGATGACACTGATTTTTCATTCCGACAAGAGAGTAGATATTCAACTGTCAAATCACTTATTAAAATATCTTCAACACGGCTCCTGGTAGCTCCTTAACAATAACATTAACACTTCATTTTGAAAAGTTACCATTTCAGGTAGTTTCATCTTAAGCTTGCAACATAAAAATAGTCTCCACAAATTGTAACTTTTAAGATTAACTTTTTTATTAAATGCTAAAGTTAATGGTAATAAACTTGTGCCATAAGTGAAATCTCAATAATTTTTTAAAAACTTAAGAAAATAATAAAAATGAGATACATTAAAAAATACTTCAAGATATAAACTACAACCTAAAACAAAAAACGGAAACCATGTTTGAATTTTCAATTACTTTTCACAAATTTATATAAAAATAACAATTGGTAACTTTAAACTATAGTTTCAACAGCACATTAGTTGTCAATAAACTAAACTTAAATTTAGAAAAAATTAAATGTCTTAATTAATCATTAGTTTAAAGATCTAGATTAGATCTAACTAGATTAACTGTCACTAACTAGATTAAAGAAAACTCTTAATTTTGTATAAGTCATAAGTAGTAAAATTATAGATCTAGATTAATATAGATCTACATAAAACTTTATTGAACGATCATATGGCAAAAAACAAATAAAATCAGATATTTTTTAAAAATACTCTGACATCGAGTTAAAAAAGAAATATTTCAAGGTAAGCTAAGACATAGATAGGGAACTCTTAACTTACTAAAAAAAAACGTATAGAAAAAAAAAAGTATTAATATTAATTAAGACAGTCTCGAGCCAAACATCACTTGGGTGACCAGAAAGATGCGCAACGGAAAAAGGAAAAAAAAGCGCAACGGAAAAAAGCGCCAAAAAATGCGCAACGGAAACAGAAAAAAGCGCACACAGAAAAATGCGCAAAGAAGAGTAATTTGCACTAGCAAAAAATGCGTAAACAGAAATTTGTGTAAACAGAAAGATGCGCATCAAGAAATGTGCGCACACCGCAAAATGCGTAAAATGAAGTTTTAGCATGAGACCTATTTGGAGTTGGTGACACATTTATACATGATTGTTAGAGCTGCTGTGAGAGTGTCGAGTTTGACCTGACACCATCTACTACCATTTAAAGAATACCACTACCGTGAGCATTCACATCACAACGACACCAGCGATAATAATTTTACACAATGCTTATTATTTTCTTGTTCAATATTAGGTCTACATGTTCTACCTATACACAACGTCACCCTCCGTAGCCACAAATGCAGTACTTGATAGTTATTTTGGAATATTTTCTGCATTGCATCTGGCTTGTTAAAACTAACGTAGTCGTCATGGTGCCACATCATAACCCAAGGCGTGTAATAGCACCCAGACGGGGTGCCGACGAACACGCCTGATTCCATTTGTTGAATGACTATAACGCCCAATCTTATCCAGTCTATTGCAGAGTTTAAAATTAAAAACGAACGTAAGTGCCATAGTGCTTACGGGATAGCATGCGGCGCCAAAAAACACCCTGTCGGGGTTCCGGCGAACGCGTCTGATTCAATTTCGTGAGCGACTATAACTATAACGCCCCATCTTATCCATTGTCTATCGCACTGTTTACAACGAACGCAGGCATCATTGCGCTCACGGGAAAGATCAGGGCGCCAAATCAAAACCTTCAGGGGTGCAGGGGGGGACGCGCCTGATTCGATATAGTCAAGGATTATTGTTGACAATCATGTTTTTAGTGTAAAGCCTTTTTAAAAAAAACGAACGTAGGCGCCATAGTGGTCACAGGGGAGCCAGAGGTGCTTCAGGTCACGCAATAGCCGGGGCGCCGGCGGTTGCACCTGTTTAAGTTTTTGCGCTGAATATAGCACTACCCATCACCCGCTATGCAGGACGCCCGTTTGACGGATATCAAGTGCAAAGATAGCTGCTCTAGAACTCTGGGCGCCAAACTGTATATTGACTAAATCATAAGAAATATTAGTTTTCTTTTTTGCAGAAATCTTCTAGGGAGTGTTCTCATTTACTCTCCAAAGTTTCAGGGCACTTTCATGAACTGTGTCAAACCGCATCCATTTTTATTTTTTAAATACCGTTTATATAGAAAAATCACAACCTCCTGGGGCGCCGCTCTTGCAAAATTAACAACGACTATTTTGCAGAACCCTTCCTTGTAGTGTTGTAACCCCCCCCCCTCCAAAGTTTCATGGCGATCGGATGAACAGTGTCAAACCGCAATCGACTTTTATTTTTTATATACCATATATAGAGAAGAATCTAATCGCGCCAGGACAGTGCGCCACACCTGCGAATTTGAAATTATTTTTTTGCAGGATCCTCCACAGGATTTTTTTCAAAAACTTCCAAAAGTTTCACGGCGATCGGATGAAAGGTGTAGTCATGCATAAAAGACACTATTTATATTAAAATTATTTTCATAAATAAGCATTTAACAATTTAAGGCATAAATTCATAAATAAAATAATTCATTTATTTCTTCTTCTTTTGCTTTGTTTTAGTTTTTGTAACTTCACCTAAATCTTTACTAGTGGTTGGTGTTACTGTTCCTGTAGCTGGATGGCTGTCAGAGAAACTCTCCGCCATAGATTTCAGCTGAGACATAGATTCAAGCATCTCCTGACCCATCTCTTTTAAATGCAGGTACTGGTTCTCCAGCCTCCCAGGAACCTCCTTCAGGTCGGTGTACAAATTAATCAGCTTCAAGACATTGCTGTACGAGGATTCAACTTCATCCAGGTTTATCTGTTGCAAGTCTGTTTCAGTCTCATCTGAATTTTGCTGCTTTTCAGTATAACTTTTGGCTGCATGCGAGAGAAAGATACATTTTTATTAGCAAAAGTCATACTGTATTCTAGATATTCTACTTCTAGCCTAGTCACTATAAAAGAAAAAAAAAACTATACATCTTAAGACATAAAGATCCATTGGGGAGATGTTGTAGCGTTCATATGTTTCTTGACATATAGGCCTATAGGACTATAGTATAGTTTAATAAATAAATATTAAAATGCCTACACTCTAGACTACACTCTGAGTCCTCCTAGATCTTGTATTTTAAGAAACTAATAATAGTAATACATAGTAGTATGTATGTAGGCCTAGTATGTAGTAATAATTTTAAATATTAATATTAATAAATTAGGCCTAATAATAACTTAGGCTTAGTTTAGGGCCTTAGTTACTAAATAGTTAGGGCTAATATTATTTATTTAATATTATTAGGCCTAATGTAGGCCAAGGCCTAATTATTAATAAAATAAAGAGGCCAAATTTAGGCCTATAAATTAACTATTTTACCCTAAAAAGAATAATTTAAATATCTCACCATTATTTGTAGTAGAGGCCAACGTATCTTTGCCTATTTGAAAAACCACGTCACCTTGTATCTGTTGTGGTAGCTGGTCTAAGTCCGATGAAATTGCTTCCCATGAAGGAGGTTTTGGACGCTCAGGTAGACGATTGGTTTTTGACATAACTCCCATTTAGTTAGTCCACACTAGTTGAATCTTAAATTTTATGCGACTCCTTTAAACTTTAGTTTACACAAATGTTGTGGCTAGTTGAGCACTAAGAATAATATATGACTAGACTAAACAGTATTAAATATTAGGATAAAAACTGGTTTGTATAGGCTAGGCCTAAAAATATCGTAACGTAAACACAACACGGTACTCTTCTGTTATAGAATCTAGATCTAGGAGATTTAATTTAAAGATGTTGATGTTAACAGGAAATAATTCAGGGGAAGCTACTAGCGTTATATTACTATCCCATATTTAATGATGGCGGGACGTAAGGCAGAGAGGTATGATTTAATTAAATGGTTTTCTTTTGCTTATTTGATTTAGATATGATTGATTAAAATAGCATTAAAACATTGGTAAACCTCAATTTTAGCGTATTTTATTCTCCGCTTCTTGTTTACCTCCAGTTGAGCGTATTTTATTATAACAACCGAAACACCAAAACAGGAAAACACGATTCGATTTATTATTTCTAGATCTAGGCCCCTAGGCCCTAGGCCTATTGTATTTTTGTTTTAACAAATGAATAAAAATGAATAAAAAAAAACAAAGAGACTGACTTTGTTTTAGCTTTTGATAATTTACTTTTGTTAAAAGTTGAGAAAAATCCAAATTTAGAACATTGAATGTGCAATGTTCGTGTGTCAGAATTTTCATGGCAATGGATGGGTGAAATAGTCAGAAATACGTACCTAAACGTAACTCACAATTGCAAAGGCGGTCAAGTTTGTATTGTTACAAGTATCATTAATGAACTTACAATGACCCCTAAACTGAGGCCAACACAATTTCAAACAGCTATTGCCTGAGCTATGATGTATGCTGATAATTAAAGTCAGTGTTAACTCACTGTGAACCCGTGACCGTGTAAGGATTTTTCTCCCACTGACGATCACACGATATTTAATTGGAACAGTTCTAATGCTTTTTTATGTTTTTTTTTTACCTTTTCAAATAAAAAATCGCATTCATAAAAAAAAAATAAGTAGATCTGTGTTTTCCTAACGTTTTTGTGTGTTTCGGTTGTGTTTACAATAAAATACGCTCAACTGGAGGTGAACGTCAAGCGGGGGGAATAAAATACGCTAAAATGGAGTTTTACCTAAAACATTTACATATTAACATCAAGCCTAAAATCTATTTTAAAGAATTACGTTCACATTTTTTAATTTCTTGTGTCATGAACTAACAACTTCAGTCTCAAACTACTGCAGTTTCTGCTGTTAGATTTAGTACTACTATTCTAGATCTTGATTCTAGATCTAGATTCTAGTAGTAGAATGATGTCTAATAGTATTAGATCTAGAATAATCTAGATCCAGATTCTAAATTAGAATTAGAATCAAAATGCACACAAATAGTAGATCTAACTGTAAGATTAATATTTAAATTATTAACGAAGTGACTACTCTGGAAAAAGATTTTGGATGATATTTAATATTTAGAATCAACTACATGGAGAAAAAACAGCTCTTTCTGTCCTTTTTAGCTCCAAAAAATGCTGGGAAAACACGCATTTAATTGGTTGTTGGGGGATACTATAAAATCTCAAGGGTTTTCTCTAAATTTTTACCTAAATCAACTGTAAATTATTTCGGTAGGCCTAGACTAGGCCCAATACAATTATTAGGCTAGTGGCCCTATAATATAATTATTAGGCCCTAATTAGTAATTGAATTACCGTCTAATCCTCAATAGTGGTTTGTGCATCAGCATGTAGGCCTGTATTTTGCTTTTCGTTTTAAAATTAGGAATTTAATTTGTATAAAAATAAAAACATGCGATGTTTTTCTTTTTAAATTAGCTTTGGTAACAGACAGCTGTGGCAGACTATCAGCATTATAAGCCATACTCTTCGACCTACGGTAAATAAATCATTTCTTATCGGCTGGAATGTCTTTAGTATTTTAGTCTCAGTTAAAATTATATAAAAAAAAAATAAGAATGGGCCATTTTATGATTAAGTTAAATTATAAGAGTATATTTTTGCCCGTAGTGTTTAACTTCACGGCCATATGTAATAAAATAAACTAATAGACCTACTTTTGGAACCAAGACGAAATTTAACATTTACATATTTTTATACTTAGGAGTATGTAGAGTCAGAACTGAAGAAAAACCAGGAGAAGCTGCTTCATGGAGTGTCCTATTACAAAAAACAAAGGTTAGATTGGCCTTTGGTTGACCTTGCTTTACTCACTGATAACTTGAGTTTTTCTTCCACCTGCTGAAAACTGACATTTAAAACTGCTCAACTTTCAGCACATCATCAGCAGACAGTCTCAAGAAAGACAAGAGGCTAAAAAAAGAGCAGCTTGAATTTGTCACCAAACTTAGTCAATTTTTGGTGTGTATAACTGGTTTTTACTGCTCATTTCTAATTTAGCTAACACTTAAGGTAGCACATTTTGGCCACTGTTTAAATTTTACTTAATTATACTTATATTTAAATAGAAACATAAGCTTCTTAAAATAGTAAATATTGTGTTAAATGTTAAATATAGATTAGAAAATGTTTATCTATTTATTATACAAAGTATAAATTATTATATATGGAAAAACATAACTATTCAAAATAACTTGGCCTTGGTTAACATTAAGTGCTCATGTAAACTATTATTTATTACTATGTGTAATAAAATAAAAATGCAGCAATATATTTTCATTAATTAAAAAAATAATTTTTTGTTTGTTTAGGGTTTAGATGAGCTACAAAGCTATGATTTGCTATGCTCTTATCTATTTACTGAGTACAGAGGTTCTCAAAAAGAACTCAGTGTAAGTAAATTAACACACTTAAGATGATTTGTTTTTTTATATATATGCTGTATTATAGACCTTAAATTTATAGGATATAATTTTAACTCTTTAATCCTAACTTTTTTTGTTCCTTTTGTAACATTGGGACTTCATTTTCTAAGATTTTAAATGCTTTACCATTTCCCATACTTCAATTCATTTTTTATATCTTTCTGATTCCTTTCAACTGGTAAAGCTTTCACTGAAGCTTGTTGTGAATTTACACTAGTAAACATAGAGGTTGTGTCTTCCTAAGCTTTATGTATTCCATCGCTTTATCCTTATATTAGTTATCCACACAACCCAAATAATTTTTTCCCTCTGCAGAACATATTTAGCCATGAGCGCCATTCACAGACATTGTTGTTAAAGATACAAGAATTTTATTACGAGGAACGACTGTATCTGCTGCGCTGTCTGAGGACTGTCCTGCAGAGCTGGCAGGGAGAGGAGAATGCATACAAGGTATGGGCAAAAATAAAGTGTATTTCAGTTCAGTTTCAATCAAATTGTTGACATAATATTTTAAAAAACTGAATGATTTGGGTTTTTTTTTTTTACTCAGGATGTGTTTGTGAACTTCATTAAATTATTACTTGATAATAATCATCTTGGGAAAAAGGTAAATTGTTTAATTACATTTTCTACTTGATTTTGATTACTATCTCCAGAATTAGTTATACAAATTAGAAAGAAAAGAAAATCAGCTATTTTTAGCTTTTACTAAAGTTTTCCTTATGAACATACTTCAGCACCAAATAATGCCTTTAACTTTAATGCTCATATCTAATGCTTTATTTGGCTTGTATACCACTAACCTGATACTTTCATATCTGATGCCATTTATTCCCTTTGTATACCATTAACTTACTATTCCTTGTCATCTCCCAACAGCTTGTTGAACAGTTTGATCATGTATGCACAGCTACCATACCTACTAAAGAAACAAATGGCCCACTGATGGTAGGTTTGTTTTCTGACGAGTTCTTTTTTGTTACTGTTGGGGGCCATGGTTAGGGCTATGTTACAAGCCATATCATAGGTTTGTTATGACCTGCTGGTGTTTTTATAAGTTCCAGTGTGTTGTTGGTAGGACCAGGACTAGAGTTCTAGCACTAGCAAATTTATAGCATTCTTATGACCTGCTGATGTTTTTACTCTAGCAATATCATGTCTTTATTACAAACTGCTGTTTTTGTAAGTTTTATTTTGTAATTGCCAGGGCTATATCAAAGCTTTGTTTTTGACCTGCTGTATTTTAAGAGTTCTCTTTTGTTTCAAGTTCTCTTTTGTTACAAGTTCTCTTTTTGTTAAAATTTCTCTTTTGTTTCAAGTTCTCTTTTGTTACAAGTTCTCTTTTTGTTAAAATTTCTCTTTTGTTACAAGTTCTCTTTTGTTACAAGTTCTCTTTTTTGTTAAAATTTCTCTTTTGTTACAAGTTCTCTTTTGTTACAAGTTCTCTTTTTGTTACAAGTTCTCTTTTTGTTACAAGTTCTCTTTTGTTACAAATCCTCTTTTGTTACAAGTTCTCTTTGTTACAGAATCGCCTGCAGGTGATGAGCTGGGCAGTCCAGAACCTGAAAGAACAGCAGGAGCTGCTAGAGTTGCTGGTCATCTTCTATCACTATTTTGAGATGGAGTTCCCAACCCTGCAAGATCTCTTCAGGAAGTTTAAGGTTTCTATTGAGTTTTTTACTGTTTGATTATATTTTATTATGCTGACTTTGTGTTAAATTGGGTTTGGCTTAAAATCTTTCAATTTTTTTTGCCTTATGAAATTGCATAGTAGGCTAGTCGAACAATATAAATTAAAAGTCCTTAAAATATCCTTTAGTAATCACAGCTATAATGGGTGCCATACAGGAATTTGTTAAAGTTAGTAAGCTCAGCATAGTACTAGTTTCATTGACATTTAAACTATACTACCAGCTCAATATTGTTCAACTTAGACTTAATTTTTAAAATTGGGCTACAACAGAATGCCTGTACAGATCCTATGAAATTTGGATTGTTTTACTATCTGTTTAGGCCTTCACAAAGTTTGGTAAATCTTTTTAATGTTGACACTGTTTTCTGCTTTCTTAGAACCAAAACTTTGGCTGGGGTCAGACTTTCAAACATTTGATTGATGTCCAGATGGAGAAACTGGTCACTAGAATTCGGTAATTACTTGTTCAATCTTTCCTTCATTTTTTGGGTCTGTAAAAACTTGGAGTCAATTCATTTTAACTAATAGTGGGACTCTTCATAATTTTAACTTTGAGTATATTTTGACACAAAAAAATTAAAATTGGGATTATTTAACATTCCAAGAGAAGCCATTTATTGGCAGAATTAAAAGCAAACTATTTTATTTACTCATGGACAACTAAAATAGTCATGATCAATTTTATCAGACTATATTTCAACTGACGATCAACATGAGGCTATATTTAATTTGATAATTGTATGAGACTATATTTAAACTTATGATTCACTTGAGACTATATAATTTGATGATTAGTATGAGTCTGTTTAAACTGATGATTAACTTGAGACTCCATATTTACTGATGATTAACCTGAATCAATATTTAGACAGAAAATTAGCATGATAATATATTTCACCAGTCTATATTTCAAGTGAGAATTAACATGGCATATTTTAACTGCTGATTACTGTTCCCCAGTTACCTTGAGATTTTGATCCTGCTGGTAGGGTTAGATGTTAAGAATGCTATGGACATGACCAGAGAGACAAGAGATAGTAACTATGCTAGCAGGTGGGATGTGTATATCAATCCAATTGCAACTATATTACAGCCTTTTACATTTTAAATATTCAAAAAAATTATACCCAATTTTTAAAAAAGAATAGTTGGAAATAACTAATGATTTTTTTCATAATTACTGTTAAATTTCTGTTTTATTATCTCAAAAGAACTGAGTAAATCTTTTTAAAAACCAAGTTGGTAAAGAAATAATAACATTTGTGTTAACATTTTTCCTTTTTAGTGCTCCAGACCATTTGATTCTAAGTCAAGTCAGCAATGTCACAGTAAGTACCATTGATTTCTCTCCTTGCCATTGATTTTTATAGTAGTTTGACTAAGCTTTTTGCTTAATTAAAATAATAAAAGATTTATTAATGCTTAAATTAAATTAGACATAAATATACTATTACAGGAAATGGATAAATTAATCTCACAACTTGGCTCTGAACCTGTGCATGGCCCCATTTTCATGGCCTGGTCGATACTGCTCTTCATCCATGGGGAGTTAAGTCAGACACATGTTGGATCAGGGGAAGGAATTGTGGAATCCTCCCAGACAGTCAACAAGTCTAGAAGGTTTGGGAACATGGGCATGCAGTTGGGAGCCTTGGATTACTTACATGAGCTGCTGGAATCTGAAACCTTTACTGGAAACTCTGTAAGCCTAACTCTAAACTTTTACCTGGAAATATGATCATTTTGTTTACCTGACAGTCTAAAATATCTCCTGGCATCCGCATTAAACATCAGTTCAGTCATAAAATTCAACCCTAGATGTTACTATGCTAAAGAGTTGATGCATTAAATCTTGTTTTAGTTGTTTGAAACTTTCATAAATACCTCTCTATTTTGCACACTTGAAATTTTAAAAAAATTGGTTAGAAAAAAAGTTTTATCTTAAGTTACCCCTTAAGTGCATTTAGTTACATTGCAGAAACGCAATTATACAACATTATTTTTAATATAGATGTCTTAAAGCATGTTGTTGTAAAATAGAATCATGATATTTCATTATGTAGGTAACATGTGTTTGTATGTTCATATGACTAATTTCTGAACTTTCAACCAGTCTAGAACTATTTCTTGTGTAAATAGGTCTAGGTAATGCCTAACTAATAAAATAAAAATCTTTTATTTCCTATCGATACTGATTATGAGACTAACCTAGTACTTGTATTCACTAAGCAGTTACATGTCCAGTTAAAACTGACCATTCAACTCTTTTGTTCCAGCATTTGGCCAAGACAGCTCACTGCATTGTGTACTCAGTCATCTCTGCCTTACTCTCCAACTTCCATGAAGATTCTTTTGGAAACACAGAGGTCAGGGGTCATAGAATTACATGTTTAATCTAGTAGTATGATGTTTGTGGAAATGTTTAACATTTTTGTATGGTTAATGCAGACATACGTGAAGGTATTTTTTTTTTATTTGAAACATCAATTTTTGTATTGCAGACTTTGTATAGGCTATGCTCTAGACTTATGACATGGGACTGTATAGCTGAATCGTTGTGGAACAAGGTAAATATGATTTGGTTAGGTGAAGTTTAATTGTTTCTTGAATTTTCTTGTGGTACATTTTTTATACATATATTTTACGTAAACTCTTTAAAAATAGGTGTGATGTTTTTAAGATATTCCAATTGCAAGTTGTAGAGCTGTGTTCTAAAATGTTTTTCATAATTAGACATTCTAAATTTAAGTTTTTGTTTAAAATTGCAAAGTAACATTTAGAATCAAATTCTAAAATGTTTGTATTGTAAACTGAGATGCCATACATTTTCAAACTTACAGACAGGAGAGTCTGAAGGTCTGGCCATATTATATGACTCTGCCAAGTCTCTGTTCCCTGTAGATTTCAGCTGCTTCATTCAGCTCAACATTTCACTTGCTAAAACTTCCACATCCAGTGCCCAGAAGGTGAGCCTAACAATTGTAGCCAGATACTTCTGTTGATCAACTGTACCCACTAATTCTTGTAGTGTGTGTGGAGGTGTTTTCATTTGGATGAAGGTTTTAGGTTGAATATTTGTCATTAGCATCAAGTTGTAATCTGCTAACCTAGAGTATCATTTTCTAAGTTTTTTTTTACCTGTAGTGCTGTCTAGGTTAGGATAGTGATTTAAAAAAGTAGTTTCCCTTTTGTGATTTAAAAAAGTAGTTTCCCTTTTTATACTTGAATAGTGATATTAAAAACAAAGACCATACATGTACATGCATGTATTCTACTGCAGTATTGTAGAATTTCTTGCATCTAAGATAAACCCGATATATTTTAAGTTCTGGTTATTTGACAAGTACAGACCTTATTTAAACAAGCCACTAGAAAGATGAGTATGAAGCCGTGAGTGGGACAATCTGGTGCTAGAGCCTTTCTGTGGCTGGCAGCTTGTGTACCCAGACAAACCCCAGAACAATATCCCTGGCAGTTTATATTAACATGTTTTACCAAGCTGGGAAGATCTGTGTGGGTAGGGGTTAGACTAACATCCTGGTACTCTAGGTTGGGGGTTGAACATGAGTTCAGCAACTTTATTTCATTAAAAAATATCAGAAAATTCAATCCCCATGTGTCCAGTGCACCAACATGGATAGACAATAAGAGTGGCAAAAAACATGTATGTACAGTTAGACATCATTATTATTTTTTATCTCTGTATCAGGTGAAGAAAAACCTCCACACCTTGGGCACCTTCACAGAACCACTGGACAACAACAGGTCCCAGGACTTGCAGATTGTCCATGGTACCAGTGACCAAAGGACATTTTTGTTGAAGAGAAACAAGCACCCTTTTTCTCACAGTAAACAATTTTACACACTTTTTTTTGTTTCAGTTTTTTTGGGAAATAAAGTAATGAATATTTGAAATATACTAAAGCATTTAATGTAATCAGAGCAATAATTTTGCTTTAGTTTTTTAATTAAGAAAATAATCATTGGAGAATAATACATTTTTTAAATATACTTGCAGCTACTGTAATTTTAAATATTAGTTTTTGTTGAAAAAAATTAATATTGAAGAATAAATAATGATTACTTGTAATAAAGTTACTACATACTTAAAATTGTATCTAGTTTTTACATATATTTTTGTTTCTAATTGAAAAAAAAAATATTATTTAAAAAAAAAAAATATCAATGATGCAGTCATTAACAACAAATTGAATTTAAATTCCTTTTGGTAACATTATTTTGGTAATTATTTTTTAAAACATTGTCCAAATTTATTTTGATGAATGTTATTTCATTTTAGGCAATTTTGTGATAGCATCAGGATGTCAGGGTGTAGTGATCAAGTCATCAGGTAGGTGCTGGACTACTTTCTCTGATATTTTATAGACTTGTGGTCATAAGTACTCAGCTTTATCATTTAGCAGTGGAATAAATGTTTAGATTACAAACTGCCTTTTGTTAGCAGTTTAAAATTTCTTCATCTGATCATTTAAGTCTAGCAGTTTAAATTATCTTTGTCTTGTTTCAAAAGTTGGCTTTTCCTTGTGTGTAAAAGCTAGCAGTATAAAATGTCTTCACCTAATGAGTAAAGTCTAGCAGTTTAAAATGTCTGCATCTGATCATTGAAGTCTAGCATTGAAAAATGTCTTCACCTGATCACTAGAGACTAGCTGTTTAATTATCTTTGTCTTGTTTCAATAGTTGGCTTGTCTTTGTGTGTAGTCTAGCAGTTTAAAATGTCTGCGCCTGATCATTATAGTCTAGCAGTTTAAATTATCTTTCTTGTTTCAAAAGTTGGCTCTTCCTTGTGTGTAGTCTAGCAGTTAAAAATGTCTCCATCTCATCAGTTAAATCTAGTTGTTTGTTTACATGATCCTCCAGCTATTGGTTAAAAATGTCTCCATCTCATCAGTAAAGTCTAGTTGTTTGTTTGTATTGGTTAAAAATGTCTCCATCTCATCAGTAAAGTCTAATTGTTTGTTTACATGATCCTCCAGCTATTGGTCGTAATGTGTGCACCAGTACTCACATCATCCAATGGGAGACAACCTACAATGGCTGGCAGTATTTGATGGGAGAGATCCAGGAACTTCTGGGCCAGGTTTCATATGGGGCAGGTGGGTCAAAGTTCAAATTAGTCTATTATAGTGGGAGGGCAGGTGGGTCAAAGTTCAAATTAGTCTATTATAGTGGGAGGGCAGGTGGGTCAAAGTTCAAATTAGTCTATTATAGTGGGAGGGCAGGTGGGTCAAAGTTCAAGTTAGTCTATTATAGTTGGAGGGCAGGTGAGTCAAAGTTCAAGTTAGTCTATTATAGTTGGAGGGCAGGTGGGTCAAAGTTCAAGTTAGTCTATTATAGTTGGAGGGCAGGTGAGTCAAAGTTCAAGTTAGTCTATTATAGTGGGAGGGCAGGTGGGTCAAAGTTCAAGTTAGTCTATTATAGTGGGTCAAAGTTCAAGCTAGCTGAGGAAAAAGAGGTGAGGGGGGAAGGGAAGAGGGCTCAAACAGAGCATGTAGATTGTTCAACTATGGTATCAGGAGTGAATGTTGACTACTGGGAAGAAGCTTAAGCAGTATAGTTGAGTAGTAGCTCAAATACTTAAACTCAAAGGTCTGGAGTTCAACCCCCTGGTTTGAGTCTTTTTTTTTTTTTCCACCCATCTGATACCAGATGAGGAAAGTGAAGTTGACAGGTCACTATTAAGCTGAAGTGAAAGCAACACATTCTACTTCACCTACAATAGGGACTTTGATCATCCCACATAGAATTTAGAGGGGATACTTTACTTTCTAAGATTGTATTCTAACCTTACTTTTGAAAATAAAATAAAAATGTTTTCAGGCATGGTGCAGACAGAACAAGTACTCAAGACAACCATGGTGATGAACCTAGTCAAGGAGATTGTCACCTTTGACCCGGAAGCAGTTTTTCAGTTCTCAGAGATCCTGCAGTTGGGTTACCAGTTAATTTTAAGGTGAAGGTCATTTCTAATCGCTATCTAACAGGACGGAATGGTCAGCGGTAGAGAGTTGGACTGCTAACCCGTATGTCTCAAGTTCGAATCCGGGTTTAAGTCAGTAGACCGTCCCTGAGTCCACCCAACTCTGATGGGTACCTAACTCACGTTAGGGAAAGTAAAGGCGGCTGGGCATAGTGCTGACCACACTATCTCTTCATATGCCGAGGTCACAGAAACAAGTGAACTCTACTTCACTTGCCCCATAGACCGTCAGGTTTGAAAGGGAAACTTATCTAACAGTACAGGAATTATTAAAAATTTTAACTACGGATCTTATGTTTATTTGTTCCCTTATTTTTCAGGTTTGCAGTTCTGACACCAAGTCCTCTGGAGCTACTGGCCCACACAGTTCACTGCTTGTCACTATCAGTACCCAAGTTTTACCAGGAGGTAAATTGGTTTCACAATTCCTTGCAGTCAATTGAAAATTTGTTTCACAATTCCTGGCAGTCAACTGAAAATTTGTTTCACAATTCCTTGCAGTCAACTGAAAATTTGTTTCACAATTCCTTGCAGTCAACTGAAAATTTGTTTCACAATTCCCAGCAGTCAATTGAAAATTTGTTTCACAATTCCCAGCAGTCAATTGAAAATTGGTTTCACAATTCCTTGCAGTCAACTGAAAATTGGTTTCACAATTCCTTGCAGTCAACTGAAAATTTGTTTCACAATTCCTTGCAGTCAACTGAAAATTTGTTTCACAATTCCTTGCAGTCAACTGAAAATTTGTTTCACAATTCCTTGCAGTCAACTGAAAATTTGTTTCACAATTCCTGGCAGTCAAGTGAAAATTGGTTTCACAATTCCTGGCAGTCAACTGAAATTTTGTTTCACAATTCCTGGCAGTCAACTGAAAATTGGTTTCACAATTCCTTGCAGTCAAGTGAAAATTGGTTTCACAATTCCTGGCAGTCAACTGAAAATTTGTTTCACAATTCCTTGCAGTCAACTGAAAATTTGTTTCACAATTCCTTGCAGTCAACTGAAAATTTGTTTCACAATTCCTTGCAGTCAACTGAAAATTTGTTTCACAATTCCTGGCAGTCAACTGAAATTTTGTTTCACAATTCCCAGCAGTCAATTGAAAAATTTGTTTCACGATTCCTTGCAGTCAACTGAAAATTGGTTTCACAATTCCTGGCAGTCAACTGAAATTTTGTTTCACAATTCCCAGCAGTCAATTGAAAAATTTGTTTCACGATTCCTTGCAGTCAACTGAAAATTTGTTTCACAATTCCTTGCAGTCAACTGAAAATTGGTTTCACAATTCCTTGCTGTCAAATGAAAATTGGTTTCACAATTCCTTGCAGTCAACTGAAAATTGGTTTCACAATTCCTGGCAGTCAACTGAAATTTTGTTTCACAATTCCTTGCTGTCAACTGAAAATTTGTTTCACAATTCCTTGCAGTCAACTGAAAATTGGTTTCACAATTCCTTGTAGTCAACTGAAAATTGGTTTCACAATTCCTTGCAGTCAACTGAAAATTGGTTTCACAATTCCTGGCAGTCAACTGAAATTTTGTTTCACAATTCCCAGCAGTCAATTGAAAAATTTGTTTCACGATTCCTTGCAGTCAACTGAAAATTGGTTTCACAATTCCTGGCAGTCAACTGAAATTTTGTTTCACAATTCCCAGCAGTCAATTGAAAAATTTGTTTCACGATTCCTTGCAGTCAACTGAAAATTTGTTTCACAATTCCTTGCAGTCAACTGAAAATTTGTTTCACAATTCCTTGCAGTCAACTGAAAATTGGTTTCACAATTCCTGGCAGTCAACTGAAATTTTGTTTCACAATTCCCAGCAGTCAATTGAAAAATTTGTTTCACGATTCCTTGCAGTCAACTGAAAATTTGTTTCACAATTTCTTGCAGTCAACTGAAAATTGGTTTCACAATTCCTTGCAGTCAACTGAAAATTTGTTTCACAATTCCTTGCAGTCAACTGAAAATTTGTTTCACAATTCCTTGCAGTTAACTGAAATTAAATAAGATATAAAATTTTAAGTTGCTGTTTTTGTCACGTAGTTATTTATATGCAGTGGAATTTTTATTTCCTTCAAATGTCTATAATTCCATTTGTCGGTGATGTAACTTTTTCCAGTAAGTGACCAACATTTTTTTCCATTCTGTGTTGCAGTTGCTATAAGTGCATCCACCTTATGTATCTTGCCAAACATTTTCAGTGTCAAGGATTTAAAAAAATTATATTAATTTCTATCTTAAAACTGACATTCTGCCCGTTAAAATATATCCGAGGTTATACTTAATATTTCTGTATGTGCTAGTTCACTAATAATTGACATTAAATCTCCACCATTTTACAGGTCTCACACCACTTGAAGCAGACTGGTTTTCTCCCTTTCATGACAATCAACATAAAAAATGTCACAGATGCAATGAGGTAAGTGTACCATGTCTTCTGTGGATGTCTACACACTGGCAATGTTGAACAATGTTGGCCTTGTTTCAACTGTGGCCATGTTGATGGCTTCATTTCTGCCTGGCCATATTCATCCTTTGTGACCTCCTACACCTTGTAGTGAAAAACTCTTTGCGGCTTCATATACTCCCCCGGCCTTGCTAAACTTTGTTGTCCTTATCTCAACTCTAGTATAATATTTAGAAACTTTATTACTAGTCAAAATATAATGGTGTCCCCTGTGCATATTTTGATATGCTTGTTATTTGTGTAGACAATTGTGAAACATCTCTACATAATACAGGTAAAAAATTATCAGCTTTAAAGCCATCCTTTGCTAGCGCATCTAGTTGCTAGTATCTTGCTAGCTTTAGTGTCATCAAAATTATCAGCTTTAAAGCCATCCGTTGCTAGCTCATCTAGTTGCTAGTATCTTGCTAGCTTTAGTGTCATCAAAATTATCAGCTTTAAAGCCATCCGTTGCTAGCGCTTCTAGTTGTTAGTATCTTGCTAGTTTTAATATCAAAATAATCAGGTTTAGATTTTTAACCCCTTGATGTCTAACACATATGTAGCTTATATTTATATGTGTTCTAGCGTGTTACCTTTAGTATGTTGATCCCACAGTGGTGATGGTGTGAACCAAGGCTTGTACGGGTGTGTCCTGACCACTACGGAATGTGCTCAGGGTGTGTACGTGGTCACCATTGCTGCCCTGGATCTGGTCACTAACTTAATAAAGGTATGTTTTTTTTTTACAATGTTATTTTTGAGATGGTCAAACCAGGTTATATGTGAATCTCTCTATGGCTCTAGCCTGTACCTAGATACAATACATTCTATCTTTCCTGCCTTCAGAACAATTAGGTGACTGTCACTTCTTTAAGTTATGCTGGTTTAACTTGGATACTCAATCTAAATGGTCTTCGACAAGTGTGCCCAAACATAATGCCCCCCCCCCCCCCCCTTTTGACCGCTGATGTTGTGTCTGACAAAAGATAAAACACAATATAGGACTAGACAAAAGAAGGGGGCAGTGATAAAATGGGCCACTAAATGGCCCCTGACCACTCTACCCCTGATAAAATGGCCCACAATCAAATGGCCCCTCACCATTTTACCCTTAACAAAACAGCCCACACACCAGTGGGCAGCAATAACTACATCTGACAAAATAACCCCCCTACAAAAAATCCTCCCCCAAACTGCAGTTCCACTGACAAACAGGCCCACATCAAAATGATCCCCAATTACTCCACCCCTAATAACAGACCTTATCACCTGTCCCCACAGTTTTCCCCCAACCAGAAAGATGAGAGGGACCACACAGCAAGTCTGCTGTTTATTCTGAGGGAGGTGTTTCCTCGCTACCAGAAGTGGAGATATGCAGACGTCTCACAAAGGAAAGTTATTGGTAACACTGACATTGTTTTCTTTTTTATATATTTAATTTTCCTTACTCTTTTGACTGGGGCCAGTATTAATCTGAAAGAAATATTTGATGTGTATAGTTTTGTGATCTTATGCCAGATTTTAAAAAATTGTTCTGGCATTATTTTGAAATTTGATACTATTCTGAATGCAACTTTCTTCTTTCAGGTCAAAAGTGTTTGAACTTGTTTCACACAATTCTCAACTTCATAAAGAAACCCAACACTGTTCCTGATGTACAGTAAGTATGACTTAAGTTCAAAGTTTCTTGTGAACTTTGATCTCAGAAAGGTCAACATGAATAACAAATCATATGCCATTACTAAAAGTAAAGGGCCTTTATTATTATTGTTAACCCTTATTTGAAGATTCTCATCAGCTTTTTAAAATGTATACATTTTTATTAATTATTTTAGTTTAATTTTGTGTGTTAAAAACATCGTAAAACTTACTCTAAATTAAAGTAATTCTAAAATAATTTCCATTTCACTTTGTTAAGTCTTGTATACTAGCTTGTCGTACACTAAAGTTTGTACACGTGTACATGACAGGTGTCCCAGTCTACAGGAGACGTGTGTCTTTGGGCTGCTGTACACTGAGGCAGGCCGGGCTCTACTGGAGATTATCTCCACGGGGGTGGACAATGTCCAGATGTCATTAGCACAGCAAGCAAGGTTTGTAGAACATTAGGAGTTTGTTGACATTTGAATGACAAAGTTCAGTACCATCACCTACACGACAATGCTTATGTTTGTAAACATTCACATAATACCAATACAGTGTTAATATTAACCACCACAACTGATTGACTTTATCATATTTTATATATTTTATATTTATCATATTACAAACACTGACATAATTACCACATGACCACCAAGCTTATAACCCCACACTAAGAGATTCCCTGGACAGACAGATGGCCACCCATACCATGGTACCAATGACATGACCCCCCCACCCCATGCCATGACCCAATGCCAGATCCCCACCCATACCATGACCCCAATGTCACTTTAAAGATCATGACCCCAATTACAGATACTTTCCCCCTCCCCTATACCATGACTCAATTGATTGGTGACCACCTATCCTTGACCCCAATAACAAATGCCCACCCATACCATGACCTCATTGACAGGTGACCACCACAAATAAATGACCACCACAAATAAATGACCACCACAAATATATGACCACCCATACCATGACCTCATTGACAGGTGACCACCACAAATATATGACCACCCACACCATGACCTCATTGACAGGTGACCACCACAAATATATGACCACCACAAATATATGACCACCCATACCATGACCTCATTGACAGGTGACCACCACAAATAAATGACCACCACAAATAAATGACCACCACAAATATATGACCACCCACACCATGACCTCATTGACAGGTGACCACCACAAATAAATGACCACCACAAATAAATGACCACCACAAATATATGACCACCCACACCATGACCTCATTGACAGGTGACCACCACAAATAAATGACCACCACAAATAAATGACCACCACAAATATATGACCACCCACACCATGACCTCATTGACAGGTGACCACCACAAATAAATGACCACCACAAATAAATGACCACCACAAATATATGACCACCCATACCATGACCTCATTGACAGGTGACCACCACAAATATATGACCACCCATACCATGACCTCATTGACAGGTGACCACCACAAATAAATGACCACCACAAATATATGACCACCCACACCATGACCTCATTGACAGGTGACCACCACAAATAAATGACCACCACAAATAAATGACCACCACAAATATATGACCACCCACACCATGACCTCATTGACAGGTGACCACCACAAATAAATGACCACCACAAATAAATGACCACCACAAATATATGACCACCACAAATATATGACCACCCATACCATGACCTCATTGACAGGTGACCACCACAAATATATGACCACCCATACCATGACCTCATTGACAGGTGTCCACCACAAATATATGACCACCACAAATATATGACCACCACAAATAAATGACCACCACAAATATATGACCACCCACGCCATGACCTTGAAACAATAATTTCCCCTTGTCCGCAGCCTACTGAAGGGCGCAGGGGTGGACCTAGTGGAGCTGATTGAGATCTCCCTCTCCCTGCTGAACCGCCTGCTCCTCCTGAAGCCCCCCCAGCAGGGCCCCTCCCCCGTGGAGCAGATCCTGTCCTCCCAGCCCCCAGGCCATCAGCACCAGCACATGGTGGCCACTATAGCCCAGTACATCTATCACAGGCACAGCTTTAGGCTGCCCACTTTAGCTACCCTGTTACTCAAACGTCTAGCCATGGTGAGTCAATGAATTTTTTTCACTAGAAATGTAATTTTAAAAAACTGAAATATAATTAAAGTACGCTTTAAAACTTCATGGGCAGAAGTAGTTTACCTGTTTAAGTGACCTTGGCATTTGAAAATCAGCACTATGCCCAGCTGCCTTTACTTTCCCTAAGAATAGTTAGGTACACATCAGAGCTGGGTAGACTAGGATGTCCTACAGAATCAAGCCCTGGATGCGAACTCGAGACTCACGGCTTAGCAGTCATATGCCTACTACCACACCATCCCATGAAATATAATTATTTGGAAAACTATTATGCTTTGAAATTTTCAAACTTTAATAGTTTCATTTTTTTTTTCATATTATATTATAAATCCTTTTTAAAGCTTACTTTCAATAATATTTTTCAGGTATCACCAATGTCCATTTTGGCCTGCCTAGGAAATGATGCTGAACCAATTAGAGATATGTTTCTGACAAGACTTCAAGCTGTTTCTGAGGTGATTACATTTTACTGAGTGCTGGTTGTATTGAGTTATCCTGGCTTTATAACAGTGATATGAACTCCTGAAGAGACTTGCTAATCTGCAAACATTTGTTGTTTTTTTATTTGTAGGATATACAGCTGAGGGTTAGTATACTGGAGCTTCTATCAGTGTGTGTGGACAGCCAACATGGACTCATTGAGATCTTCTTGAATGTGCAGCAACAGGGGGATGGTGTGGCTGACAAATCTAAGGTAGTACAGCTTTAGTCTAGTCTATACCAGTAGCTGGGCTCCATGACAAATGATCTCAGACAAAATATCTCAAATGATATCAAGGACTAAAGATATCAGGACAAATGATACCATGGACAAATGGTATCACAAATATTTTGTCTGAGATCATTTGTCCTGTCACATACCTAAGGTATTGCTACATCATAAGTCTGGCTTATACCAGTAGTGTTGGTGTTTCTAGGGCATCACTTTTGACTGATTCACAATGCCATGCCATCTGTTCTGGTCCTCTGTCTATAATATCTGAGATTTTTGCCTTGACTATGCTAAGCAAATGGTGATTTTTATACCGCCACATTTGTTAAATAACCTATGTATGAAATCTCTGTGCAACTATCTCTGTTTTACTTCCCTGTATATCATAACAATAGTTAGTAAGATATTACTTCATCAATAATAATAAAAAGGCTACTTTTTCAAACAAGATGGTACATGGGGCAAGTGAATGATGTTTCACCTGTTTTCTGACCTTGTGTTATTTAAACGGATAGTTTGGTCAGCACCATGCCCACATTGGTCAGCACCATGCCCACATTGGTCAGCACCATGCCCACATTGGTCAGCACCATGCCCCCATTGGTCAGCACCATGCCCACATTGGTCAGCACCATGCCCCCATTGGTCAGCACCATGCCCACATTGGTCAGCACCGTGCCCACATTGGTCAGCACCATGCCCACATTGGTCAGCACCATGCCCCCATTGGTCAGCACCATGCCCACATTGGTCAGCACCATGCCCACATTGGTCAGCACCGTGCCCACATTGGTCAGCACCGTGCCCACATTGGTCAGCACCATGCCCACATTGGTCAGCACCATGCCCACATTGGTCAGCACCATGCCCACATTGGTCAGCACCATGCCCACATTGGTCAGCACCATGCCCACATTGGTCAGCACCATGCCCACATTGGTCAGCACCATGCCCACATTGGTCAGCACCATGCCCACATTGGTCAGCACCATGCCCACATTGGTCAGCACCATGCCCACATTGGTCAGCACCATGCCCACATTGGTCAGCACCATGCCCACATTGGTCAGCACCGTGCCCACATTGGTCAGCACCGTGCCCACATTGGTCAGCACCATGCCCACATTGGTCAGCACCATGCCCACATTGGTCAGCACCATGCCCACATTGGTCAGCACCATGCCCACATTGGTCAGCACCATGCCCACATTGGTCAGCACCATGCCCACATTGGTCAGCACCATGCCCACATTGGTCAGCACCATGCCCACATTGGTCAGCACCATGCCCACATTGGTCAGCACCATGCCCACATTGGTCAGCACCATGCCCACTTTGGTCAGCACCATGCCCACATTGTTCAGCACCATGCCCACGTGCCTTTACTTTCCCTAAAGTGAGTCAGGTACTCATCAGAGTTGGACGGTCTCAGGGACATCTTATGGACACTAGCCCAGGATCTAAACTTAAGACTTTCTGCTTAACACTCACAGGGTCTACCTTCCAACCACACCATCCCATACAACATACTTTCCCATCATTAAAATATTAACACAAGAATGTCACTTCTACATGCATCTTCATAATAGATCTTAAGATATTAACAAGCCAAACTACTTTCTTATAATTCATTTAGGTAAAACATGCTAAGTTGAACATTTTTTTGTTTACTTTAAAATAAATGTTTTTTTTTACCAGCACGACCTTCGCCTGGGCCGCAGCAGCTGCTTGCCTCCCCTACTTGACCTTATGGAGGTCAAAAAACAGTGTACCTATGAGTGCCCCCCAGAGCTGCTGTGTGCTGCGCTGGATTTTGTCCACTCCTTATGGTACGGCATGAAGGAGACACCAATGGCTGTGCTTAGGGCCAAGTATGTTAGCAGTTATAATCATGTTCATTTCTATTGGCTGTTTAATATGTTCTGTTTATTTATGTCCGATTATTGATTTTGTCATATATTTTTTAAAAAGTTTGTGAAACTACTGCCATGGGTTAATTTGTTTTCTGTGTTAATTTATTTTCCATATTTTATTTGTTCTTTAGGTTAATTTTTGACTGTATTAAATTATTTTTTTAAGATAAATTTTATTTGTTTTCTTTGAGTTTATTTTCCATATTTTTTTTTTCTAGATTGTTTTAGAATATTTTTAAAAATGTCCATGTTTTAATTTTTGAATAGGTTATTTATCTTCCATGTTATTTTAGATTATAAACTTTTTTAAATTATCTCATGTTACATGTGAAATTACCTCAGCTAAAAATAATTATCAATCTCACTGCTCACCACTTTGTTAATTGAATTTTTCTTGACCAGTGAAACATTTTGGCCGAGTGTGTTGGCGCCACTCACACAGGACCTGCCAGCAGTGGACGAACAAGATGACCTCTCTGTCCAGGTACAGATGATAATTTAACCCTCTAGCACTGAGATTCATTTCAGTTTGTCAACATCTAATTTTATCAATGTTGGCCTTGATAACCAGAGTTAACATTAGGAGTATTTTTTTCAACCAGATAGTTTTATACTTTCAAGAACTTGTTTAAAAATCTGTAAAGTTTGTCAACATCTAATTTTAACAATGTTGGCCTTGATAATCAGAGTTAACATTAGGAGTATTTTTTTCAACCAGATAGTTTTATACTTTCAAGAACTTGTTTAAAAATCTGTAAAGTTTGTCAACATCTAATTCTAACAATGTTGGCCTTGATAATCAGAGTTAACATTAGGAGTATTTTTTTTAACCAGGTAGTTTTATACTTTCAAGAACTTGTTTAAAAATCTGTAAAGTTTGTCAACATCTAATTCTAACAATGTTGGCCTTGATAACCAGAGTTAACACTAGGAGTATTTTTTTTAGAGTTTTATACTTTCAAGAACTTATTTGTTAAAAATCTGTTAAGTGCCAAGCCTGAGATGAATACATCTATGCTGAATGGATATTTTTTATATCACTCATTAATAGTGCTGTAGAACACTTGGCTGAAATAATTCGCAACTCCGCTAGTTTTGTTTAATGCCACTTTTAACTACTAGCTGAAAAGAATTTTGTTCTGTTAGATGTGTTGTGTGAGGACAATTTTTCTAGTTTGATGTTGTCATTTCTCTGACCCAGGCACTGAAACTCCAGACCAAGTTGACCTCTTTCTCCCTGAGAATTATTGGCATGGAACTTTATGCCATGGCCAGGTAAGTTGTCATTAGTTTTGTCAAATTTAACTTGCCAGTTGGCCACTGCTTGTTTTATATTCCTGTTTATTTTGATAGAAAGTGTGTGTAGTCTTAGCAGTTAAAAATCTAGGTATAAAGAAGTTGTTTTTTTTCTATGGTTAGCTCACAGCTGGACTCAAACTTCAAGAAACATCTGAAGGCTACCTTTGCTGGTGGACGACTTAGTTACTGGTCAAAGGTAAGTTTTTTTTTCTTTAAGGCCAGTTTTACTTTGTGTTCTGGCTGTTTTATATTGGTCGTTTATTTATGATTTTAGACCAATTTATGTGAGGTTTTTTTTTTGTTTGTTTTTATCCAATATTTTAAATTTGCCAGTTGTTATTGTTTTTGTCATATTTTTTCTGTATTCTGTTTAAATTAGCTAGTATTTTTGTTTTTGTTTTGGCCATTTGTTTGTGTACATTAGCAGACATACCTACCGTCCCACCAAAAGTGGAATTGTTCCGCATTTTACTTAAAATGCGTCTTATTCAGCTTTTGTCGAAGTTTGTTCCACTAATTTGAAAAATAAGAAAATCTTTATCTCATTAAAAAAAAATAAGTTGAAATTAAGCACTAGTATATAGATCTAGATTCTTGCTAATAGTTAACTTAGTATAAAACTATATTAAATCTAGATTCTATTCATAATACTCCTATATACTGCGTATAAGGCCTATATATTTTCTCTTATATTAAGTGTTTATTTTCTGCTTAGCAAAGTAGCTTCCAGGCTTATGTTCCTCTTTTTTTGGTGTCAAATTCTCCTTTTTGGTAAGACTGTTCCTACTTTTGGTGGCCAGGGGTAGGCGTGTCAGCTTTAGCCATTAGAATATTAAAACAAGTGCAGTCATCAGACAGTCATATGTAAAGTTGATGTTTCAGGCAGTCAGGCTGAGTCTTGAAGAAGTGAGTGAGAGTGCCAACCTACCACCAGCCCAAGCTATATCTGAGCTGCCAGCTTTAAATCTGCTGCTGGCGTGGAAAAATTTCTTGGTCACCTCAAGCCATTTTAAGGTTCAAAAATATATCTGTCATTAATTGCCATTTTAAGGTTCAAAAATATTTTATTGCCATTTTAAGGTTCAAAAATATTTTATTGCCATTTTAAGGTTCAAAAATATTTCTGTCATTTTAAGGTTCAAAAATATTTTATTGCCATTTTAAGGTTCAAAAATATTTATATCACTAATTGCCATTTAAAGGTTCAAAAATATTTCTGTCATCAATTGCAATTTTGCATTGGTAAAAAAATTAATTTTGGTCCATCTTATTTAGTGTATATATATTGTTGTATTTGTTGACATTTTTTAATGTTTCAGATTTTAGATATTTTTAAATTTTTAACTTTACAGAATTCTGAAATTTTTTATACCTTTCAGATTTTGAAACATTTTTAACTTTCCTTTTTTTTTTAGCCTTGAATAGTTCAGATATTTTTAAACCTCTGACTGACTATTAACCTTGAAAAATTGTAACATTATTCACCCTTGAAAATATCAAACATTTTTAATCTTGCAGATTTCAGACATTGACATGAGTGACAAAGACAAAATGACCATCCTGTCTGACCTGTTGCGTGGCGTCCGTGCACAGTTTAGTGCCAACAACCTGTCTGACATTAAGATAAAACTGGCATCCATCGCCAGCGCACTCTACTTCACATTAGTCAAGTCATGGAGCAAGTGAGTTATTGCCCTTCTGCTATTTCTTTGTTACCATATTCCACCTACAAATAAATCCAGATGGATGAGATGTAATTAAATTAGCAATTTCAAAACAGCTTTAAAAAATAATAGGTGTTTCAGAAAATAGGGTATCTATGCAATGAAAATGTAATTTGGACATTATAAAATTATTTTGCTATTACTTGTACCTTAAACTTAACCAACACTGGCCCTTACTCAACCCCTTACTGTCCATCATAGAAACAGGAGAAATAAACTTAACACAATATTCATAAGATTTTAATACACTATGCCTGTTACTGGGTTATAAGCGGTCATGTTTTATTTTGTTTAAAATGTTAAGTAAAGAAAATGTAAAGGCTTAGCAGTTTAAAATGTTTTACTAACTGAAGATTATAGGATGACTTAGCAGTTTAAAATTGTGTACTAACTGAAGGATAAAGGAAGGCTTAGCAGTTTAAAATATTGTTCTAACTGAAATAAAAATAGGGAGGTTTGAGCCACTAAATGAAATCCAACATTTTAGTAATGTTTTGATACCTTGGGTGATATCTATAGGGATCTGCTAGACTGTAGGATATAAAATAGCTTAGCAGTTTAAAATATTGTGTTAATTAAAAAAAATAGGAAGGTTTGAACTACTAAATCAAATCCAACATTTTACTAATGTTTTGATACTTTGCATGATATATATAGGGATCTGCTGGACTCAGACGGGACAGTGGCCAAAGAGGCTCTGGACACTTTAATGAGCACCATTGAGGAGTCGACCAGTGGGGAGAAGCTGTTTCCTTCAATAGAGATTGGTCTGCTGGGGTCAGTCACAACCATTCTACAGCAGTGTGGACACAAGCTGGACAGTAAGTCAGTTCTAAGGGGGATTGTAGTGGCCACAAGCTGGACAGTAAGTCAGTTCTAAGGGGGATTGTAGTGGCCACAAGCTGGACAGTAAGTCAGTTCTAAGGGGGATTGTAGTGGCCACAAGCTGGACAGTAAGTCAGATCTAAGGGGGATTGTAGTACTACAAGTTTACTGGGTAGTGGACGCAAGCTGGACAGTAAGTTAGATCTAAGGGGGGGGGGGTAATGTAGCATGTTTACTGGGTAGTTGTAACAATTAGTTTACTGGGTAATGTAGCATGTTTACTGGGTAGTTGTAACAATTAGTTTACTGGGTAATGTAGCATGTTTACTGGGTAGTTGTAACAATTAGTTTACTGGGTAATGTAGCATGCTTACTGGGTAGTTGTAACAATTAGTTTACTGGGTAATGTAGCATGTTTACTGGGTAGTTGTAACTATTAGTTTACTGTGTAGTGGACACAAGCTGGACAGTAAGTTAGATCTGAGGGGGATTGTAGAGTAACAAGTTTACTAGTTAGTGGACACAAGTTTACTAGGTAGTGGACACAAGTTTACTAGGTAGTGGACACAAGCTGGACAGTAAGTCAGATCTAAGGGGGATTGTAGCAAGTTCACCGGGTAGGGGACAAAAGTTTACTGGGTAGAGGACAAAAGTTTACTGGTTAATGTAACAAGTTTACTGGTTAGGGGACAAAAGTTTACTGGGTAATGTAACAAGTTTACTGGGTAGGGGACAAAAGTTTACTGGGTAATGTAACAAGTTTACTGGTTAGGGGACAAAAGTTCACTGGGTAATGTAACAAGTTTACTGGGTAGGGGACAAAAGTTTACTGGGTAATGTAGCAAGTTTACTGGGTAGTTGTAACAGTTACTTTACTGGATAGCATACACGTGTTGATCTATCAAAACCTACTTGACCCTGGCATCATCTGATACCATAAAGCTACTTTACTTACTATTTTACAATGTTTGTTTGTATAGTGTGATTTAAGTGTTTCAGCAGTTTTATAGCCCTCTATTCTAGTGAAGAAATGTTTTAATTTCTTAGGTCCACACTTATCTATGCTCTAGAAACATTTTTACCTATTTGTTCCAGATCTGTCCAGTGTTCTCCATGACCTACTGGGTGTGGTCTGCTCCATATTCCTCAACAGCTCCTGGCATGTCCCCGCCCTCTTAGAGACAACAGCCAATCAGCAAACAGAGGCCTTGGGGAATCATGTCAAGGTTAGTGTTAAAGAGAGTAGGCAACAACAACAGTTTATTGTCACCATTTGCAGGTAGTAAATCAAATTGCTTACAGTTGCAGGTACTCACCTGTTGCAGGTACTCACCTGTAACAGGTAGTAATTCAAACTTCTAACAGTTGCAGGTAGTATCTCAAACTTCTAACAGTTGCAGGTAGTCACCTGCCACAGGTAGTAACTCAAACATCTAACAGTTGCAGGTAGTCACCTGCCACAGGTAGTCACCTGCCACAGGTAGTAACTCAAACTTCTAACAGTTGCAGGTAGTGACCTGTTGCCTGCTGGTTGAGATCCTGCACATGACCAAGGACCTGGAGACCTCACTGCAGGTCATCCAAGAACACGGCATCATCTCCAGTCTCTTGTCCACCACAGAGGCTTTGTTCAAGGTCAGTTGTTGTCCAGGGCTTATGGTCAGCTGTTGTCCTGGGCTTAAGGTCAGCTGTTGTCCAGGGCTTATGGTCAGCTGTTGTCCAGGGCTTATGGTCAGTTGTTGTCCAGGGTTTATGGTCAGTTGTTGTCCAGGGTTTATGGTCAGTTGTTGTCCAGGGTTTATGGTCAGTTGTTGTCCAGGGCATGTGGTCAGCTGTTATTCAGGGCTTATGGTCAATTTGTGTCCAGGGCTTATGGTCAGCTGTTGTCCATGGCTTATGGTCAGCTGTTGTCCATGGCTTCTGGTCAGCTGTTGTCCAGGGTTTATGGTCAGTTGTTGTCCAGGGCATATGGTCAGCTGTTGTCCACGGCTGTGGTCAGTTGTTGTCCAGGGCTTCTGGTTAGTTGTTGTTTTAAGGTCAGGTGTAGTTCACCACATAATAATTTCATGGTTTAAGTTGACTTGTAATAACATTACATTGTAAAAGTCCTATGTAATAAAATATATTTTATCGTGTCTCAACATTAAAAATTCTATCTATTTTATGCGGTGGATAGTTACATCTTATTTGTAAACATTCATTTCTTCAGCCACAGATTAAAAGTAAAGTTTATAATATGCTTTTTTAATAGTGTTGTCTTTCTTAAAATGATGATGTATTGTTACCATGACATTGAGGAAAAAGATTTCATCTTTTTTTTTACAGGCCAGGCAGGGAATATCCTACATTTATTCTTCCCTACTGCTTCTTATAAAGATAGCGTCCACAGAAACTGTAAGCTGTTGTCATTCAATTAATGTTGTGTTTTGGTGAAGTCATAGTGTAAACTGTAGTTTTTGTTGTCATACAATTAATGTTGTGGTGTTTTTGGTGTCATAAAATTAATGTTGTGTTTGTGGTGTTGTCATAGTTTAAATTGTTTAGTTGTCACATTTATTTGTTTATCATACATTAGTCATAGTTGAAATATTCTGTAATTTTGTCTTCTGGTAGTTTTGTTACAGTTGTTAAATGGGTCTAATGCCATAGCTGTATGTGTGATAGTATCCCATGATAATGCTGCTGGTAGTGTGATAATATCCCATGATAGTGCTGCCTGATCTAATGCCATAGCTAGTAGTGTGATAGTATCTCATGATTATGCTGCTGGTAGTGTGATAGCATCCCATGATAATGCTGCTGGTAGTGTGATAATATCCCATCGTTATGCTGCTGGTAGTGTTATAGTATCCCATGGTTACGCTGCCTTCTCCTTATGTCCAGGGAGCCTTGATGCTGGTCAACAACAACCTGATCTCCCAGCTGTGTCTAGTCCTGACCTCATGTTATGCCTACGACGAGGACAACACTCAGTCCAGGGTTGCTCTGTCTAAGGTACTCACACTTATGGCTAGTTCTGGGTTTATCTGTAGTAGCACTGTGCATGTGTATAAATAAAAGAAAATTTTAACAGTACGAAAGTAACAACACCTCTTTAGAAGTATTTAGCTTTATTTTTTTCTAATTTTTTTTGCAATTCTGATTGACTGCCATTATGATGGTGTTAGTTTTATGGAATGTTACAATGCATTCTCTCTATATTTTATGAGCATAAGTAAAATAACTTACCACTGAAGGTGTCCAGTCATAAACCCCTGGACATACCTCCCTTCCCTAGGAAAAAATACCCCAGTACCATAAACCCTCTTAATAAACCAACTTAATTGGCTTATATTTAAGGAAATTTCCAGTTAATAAGTTAAGAATAAATGACCACTTTGTTATCTTTGATTGAATAAACTACAACTATATCTACTGAAGTTAAATAAATTTGTCACTATATTTGCTTATATGAAATAAACTAAGCTGACTTAGATTTCTATAAACTTTCTGATGAAGCCTCTACCTTATCCCCTAGGACTGACTGAGTTAGTTTTATGTCATCTTATGTTACTGATGGCATGTCTTCCATGTTTGCAGGCACTGAGAAGTCTGAGACCAGCCTCTGTGACCTGGCACAGCCTGTACTGCCTGTGTTTAGATCTGTTCTCCTCCATGCTGAGGGTCCTGAAACATTCCTTCCTGGAGGATGCTCTCAATGTCATAGGGGTGCACCAGGACAGGATGTATCAGGTGGGTCATGTCTGAGCTCTTCAGTGTACTCATCTTTTGCTTTGTCCAGTGGTCATTTTTGTTTAGTCGGACATTAACTGGTCATCTTTGCTTAGTCGGACATTAACTGGTCATCTTTGCTTGTTTTGACATTAGTTTGGTCATCTTTACTAAGTCAGATATAAACTGGTTATCTTTGCTTAGTCCAGTGGCCATCTTTGCTTGGTCTAATGGTCATCTTTGTTTTGGCATTAATTGGGTCATCTTTACTTGGTCAGACATTAACTTGTTATCTTTGCTTGTTTTGACATCAGTTTGATCAGACATTAACTTGTTATCTTTGCTGTTTTGACAATAACTGGTCATCTTTGATGGTCATCTTTACTTGTTTTGATATTAACTTGGTCACACTTATAACTGGTCATCTTTGCTTGATGGCATGTGGTCTGCTTATTTTGACATGAACTGGTCATCTTTGCTTGTTTTGATATTAACTTGGTCACACTTATAACTGGTCATCTTTGCTTGATGGCATGTGGTCTTTGCTTATTTTGACATGAACTGGTCATCTTTGCTTGTTTTGATATTAACTGGTCATCTTTGCTTGTTTTGACATTAACTTGGTCACACATATAACTGGTCATCTTTGCTTGTTTTGACAATACCTGGTCATCTTATGTCTGTAGGCACTGCTGGTTGCCCGTGTAAACCTCAGCAAGACAACTCTAGATGAGGCAGAAGCCACCTGTGGTTTTGTGCTGGAACTTTGTGCGTTTCACAAACAGTGGAGGTACAGCTTGCCACACGTCCTGGCCAAAATTGTGGTACGTGTGGAATCATTGTTCTTTTAGATTTGCTAACATTGTGATTTGATAATTTTGTTACTAAACTCTTTTTATATCATTGTTAAGATAAGCTAATTTGACCTGTAAATTGTAGCTAAATTTTACCATGTCAGTCTTCTATAATGTTGATTGTACCAACCACGTCTTAACCTGGTGGGGGCTGCTACCCCTGTAGTTTAATATGTCAACACTATCTCTTCTCTCTAGGGCTCCCTTATGGCCATGATACAGACCTACATGGCTCTTTTGATTAGACCCAGATATCTCCTGCACTTACTAGAGGTTTGTATTGCTTGTAACATATTTAAAATTCAGTTTTAAATTTGGTACCATTGTTGACATTTTGTACAAGCCAGCCATGCTGTATTGTTGACATTTTGTACAAGCCATGCTGTGCTGTATTGTTGACATTTTGTACAAGCTTGCTGTGCTGTATTGTTGACATTGTGTACAAGCCAACCATTCTGTTCCCTAACCCTTGGTTTAACCCCCAGCATGCCAAAAGCCAGGATGGTCTGGGTAAGTGTGACTCCATCCTACAGGTGCCGTCCATCCTACAGCACCAGAGTTCACTGGACGATGTGGAGCAGCCTAGCAAGAAACTGGTCCAGGTGCAGCACAGGTGGGTAGTGTGTTTGTACCTGGTTCAACTACCTTTAGTGTCTTTGTACCTGGTTCGACTACCTTTAATGTGCGTCTAACTGATAAAACCACCTTTAGTGTAGAGCACTTGATATTTAACCATCTTTAGTATGAGCCTAACTGCTAAAACCACCATTAATATGAGCATAACTGATAAAACCACCTTTAGTGTGAGCCTAACTGATCAAACCACCTTTAGTCTGGAGCGCTTGATTTAACCACCTTTAGTGTGAGCCTAACTGATTAAACCACCATTAGTATGGAGCAACTAGTAAAAACCACCTTCTGTGTGAACCAACTGATAAAACCACCTTCAGTATGAGCCTGATAAAACCACCTTTAGTGTGAGCCTAACTAATAAAACCAACTTTAGTATGAACCAACTGATAAAACCACCTTTAGTGTGAACCAACTGATAAAACAACCATTTAGTGTAGAATTTAGCATCACATTTTCACCTGGTAAAACCCACACTCAATTAAACACAAAGAGAGTGAACTAAGCATCAATGTTCCACCTAATAAAAATGACTTTTTTTGGTAGGAGGGATGTTTACTATCTAAACACTGTATTTACAATATATCATTTATCTTACTGTTTCAGCATGCTAAGACTGGTTGGAAAAGGCCTGTCATGCTTAAAGCACTTTACCCCTGGATTACCTGAGATCCTGTTTGACCAGGTAAGCCTACCTTAGCTCCCCGTGAGAACTTCCCATTGGGGCAGAAAGTAAATAAAAACAATACAATTAATAAGCTCCAATGTTATGATGTACATGAACCTGTCAAGCCTATGTAAACTGGGTCAGGTTATTATTAGCTCTACCATGTGTGTGAAGTATAAACAGAAAAGGTTAGAGTGTCTTAGAATGAATGGGACAGTGTGGAACTGAAATGTTCTAAAGAAACATACTTACACATAATGAGACTTGAACATTAGATGTGCGTATACTCATTAGATCAGCATGATTCAGGCGCTGATTAGATTGGTGTACGTGGGGACGGTATGGTCAGATAGTAGAACTCCTAACTAACCCAAAAGTCTAAAGTTCGTATCCCAGGCTCAGCTCTGTAGGTTTCACAGAGTCCACTCAGCTCAAATGGGTACCTGACTGAGTAGTACTAATTACCCTATCCCCCTGAATGCTGATGTCATTTAAACAGATGAACTCTACTTCATCTGCCTCTGGCACAAACAGGAAAAGAAGATCGTGATGAGACGGGTGTAAGAAGACACTTAATGAAAGCGTGCTTTGGTGCTGTCACACTGACACTATCTTTTGGTGCTGTCACACTGACACTATCTTTTGGTGTTGTCACACTGACACTATCCTTTGGTGTTGTCAAACTGACACTATCTTTTGGTGTTGTCAAACTGACACTATCCTTAGGTGTTGTCAAACTGACACTATTCTTTGGTGCTGTCAAACTGACACTATCCTTTGGTGTTGTCAAACTGACACTATCCTTTGGTGCTGTCAAACTGACACTATCCTTTGGTGCTGTCAAACTGACACTATCCTTTGGTGTTGTCAAACTGACACTATCCTTTGGTGTTGTCACACTGACACTATCCTTTGGTGTTGTCAAACTGACACTATCCTTTGGTGCTGTCACACTGACACTATCCTTTGGTGTTGTCACACTGACACTATCCTTTGATGTCAAACTGACACTATCCTTTGGTGTTGTCACACTGACACTATCCTTGGGTGTTGTCAAACTGACACTATCCTTTGGTGTTGTCACACTGACACTATCCTTTGGTGTTGTCACACTGACACTATCCTTTGGTGTTGTCACACTGACACTATCCTTTGGAGCTGTCACACTGACACTATCCTTTGGTGTTGTCACACTGACACTATCCTTTAGTGTTGTCAAACTGACACTATCCTTTAGTGTTGTCAAACTGACACTATCCTTTGGTGATGTCACACTGACACTATCCTTTGGTGCTGTCACACTGACACTATCCTTTGGTGTTGTCAAACTGACACTATCCTTTGGTGTTGTCACACTGACACTATCCTTTAGTGTTGTCAAACTGACACTATCCTTTGGTGTTGTCACTGACACTATCCTTTGGTGTTGTCAAACTGACACTATCCTTTGGTGTTGTCACACTGACCCTATCCTTTGGTGTTGTCACACTGACACTATCCTTTGATGTCAAACTGACACTATCCTTTGGTGTTGTCACACTGACACTATCCTTTGGTGTTGTCACTGACACTATCCTTTGGTGTTGTCAAACTGACACTATCCTTTGGTGTTGTCACACTGACCCTATCCTTTGGTGTTGTCACACTGACACTATCCTTTGATGTCAAACTGACACTATCCTTTGGTGTTGTCACACTGACACTATCCTTTGGTGTTGTCAAACTGACCTTAACCTTTGGTGTGGTCACACTGACCCTATCCTTTGGTGTCACACTGACCTTATCCTTTGGTGTGGTCAAACTGACACTATCCTTTGGTGTTGTCACACTGACACTATCCTTTGGTGTTGTCACACTGACACTATCCTTTGGTGTTGTCACACTGACACTATCCTTTGGTGTTGTCACACTGACCCTATCCTTTGGTGTCACACTGACCTTATCCTTTGGTGTGGTCAAACTGACACTATCCTAATTTGTTTCAGGGAGTGGACGTGACAGAATGGGAACCAATTCTCAGACTTGGGTTTGGAACTCCCTCACTGGATGATGATGTGGAGGGCATCACATTTGGCACCCTGCTCAACTGTGTCACAGTCTGTGTCAGACACCTGTCTAGGGTAGGTAACTACCTGTCTAGGGTAGGTAACTGTCAGACACCTGCACAAGGTAGGTAACTGTCAGACACCTGTCTAGGGTAGGTAACTGTCAGACACCTGTCTAGGGTAGGTAACTGTCAAATACCTGTACAGAGTAGGTAACTGTCAGACACCTGTACAGGGTAGGTAACTGTCAGACACCTGTCTAGGTAACTGTGTCAGACACCTGTCTATGTAACTGTGTCAGACACTTGTCTAGGGTAGGTAACTGTCAGACACCTGTCTAGGGTAGGTAACTGTCAGACACCTGCACAGGGTAGGTAACTGTCAGACACCTGTCTAGGGTAGGTAACTGTCAGACACCTGTCTAGGGTAGGTAACTGTCAAATACCTGTACAGAGTAGGTAACTGTCAGACACCTGTACAGGGTAGGTAACTGTCAGACACCTGTCTAGGTAACTGTGTCAGACACCTGTCTATGTAACTGTGTCAGACACTTGTCTAGGGTAGGTAACTGTCAGACACCTGTCTAGGGTAGGTAACTGTCAGACACCTGCACAGGGTAGGTAACTGTCAGACACCTGTCTAGGGTAGGTAACTGTCAGACACCTGTCTAGGGTAGGTAACTGTCAAATACCTGTACAGGGTAGGTAACTGTCAAATACCTGTACAGGGTAGGTAACTGTCAGACACCTGTCTAGGTAACTGTGTCAGACACCTGTCAAGGTAACTGTGTCAGACACTTGTCTAGGGTAGGTAACTGTCAGGCACCTGTACAGGGTAGGTAACTGTCAGACACCTGTCTAGGGTAGGTAACTGTCAGACACCTGTCTAGGGTAGGTAAATGTAAGACACCTGTACAGGGTAGTTAACTGTTTCAGACACCTGTACATGGTAGTTAACTGTGTCAGACACCTGTACATGGTAGTTAACTGTGTCAGACACCTGTACAGGGTAGGTAACTGTCAGAAACTTGTACAGGGTAGGTAAATGTAAGACACCTGTCTAGGGTAGTCACTGTCAGACACCTTCTTAGGGTAGGTAACTGTGCCAAATAACTATTTATGGTAAGTAACTGTCAGGCACCAGTTAAACTTTTTTTTATAAAGTTTTGGCTAAAGACCATGGGTTGTACTAGCTGGGCGTAATTAACTCTTCACAATTTGTAACTATCTAGCTTCTGATGTAGAGCTAACTGTTACCAATTTGTTACTAGCTAGCATCTGATGTAGAACTAACTGTTACCAATTTGCTCTATCAGATGGACGGCAAGGCCTCCCCACACAGGAATTCACCTGATGACTCAGCCAAGCACTGCATCCCACGGTGAGTCTGACCAGAGCTTCACTACTACACATAAAACTTAACATACAAACCTGCTTTAAGACCTGTCTGATGCATAACATACAAACCTGCCCTCACTCCTGTCAAATATATAACGTAGCATACAAGCCTGCCTTCACTCCTGTCAAATATATAACGTAACATACAAACCTGCCCTCACTCCTGTCAAATATATAACGTAGCATACAAGCCTGCCTTCACTCCTGTCAAATATATAACGTAACATACAAACCTGCCTTCACTCCTGTCAAATATATAACGTAACATACAAACCAGCCTTCACTCCTGTCAAATATATAATGTAACATACAAACCTGCCTTCACTCCTGCTGAATATATGACGTAACATACAAACCTGCCATATATATATTAATCTGTTCAGGTAATGTTTGCTCTACTTCCAGCCCTGTCGTACAGTTTGTTCTAGAAGTTTCTCTGGACATCTTGATGTCACAAGCATGTCGTTACCTGCGTGACCCCAATTTGATGGCGCGTGACAGGCAATTCTTGAAGAGGGAGCTGGGCACTGAACTGGTGAGTTCTCTCCCCTTAGATGCTGGCGATTTATTATTTTCTCTATCTTAGAAGCCATTTTGAACAAAAGCCTTTTTTATGATTTTTCTGTTCATTCTTGCACTTCTTTAAGGAGCCTGATCCCTCAAGACAGTTTAGTTTTGAAATTCCATGTTTTTAATGACAACATTATTTTAAAATGAAATTTATTTACAGAAGTCATGGGGCTTCCCATAAGTGATTTATTTTAAAAAAGATATCTATTTGCAGAACTATTGTTTCTTTCTGTTACATGGTTTATATAAAAAAGATTTCTATCTACAGAATTCTTGTTTGTCGCCATTACATCGCCACCTAAGAAGAGGAGCTGGGGACAGATCTTTGTCCTTGACCCCACCTCAGCAATCATCTAATGGTATTTTGGTATTTTCTTTCTCTTTGTACAAACATTCTCAACATTAAATGAATGATATTTTCATTCTAGTTTTTTTTTCACTGAATAACTTTCCCTTTCTGCTTTCTATTTTGGCTTTAAATATTATCAACACTTGTTACAACCACATATCATATTAGTACTTTGTCTCACCACCTGTCACATAAATACCTTGTCTCACCACCTGTCTAATGATACATACCTTGTCTCACCACCTGTCACATAAATGCCTTGTATCACCACCTGTCACATAAATACCTTGTCTCACCACCTGTCACATAAATACATTGTCTCACCACCTGTCTAATGATACATACCTTGTCTCACCACCTGTCACATAAATACCTTGTCTCACCACCAGTCACATAAATACATTGTCTCACCACCTGTCACATAAATACCTTGTCTCACCACCTGTCTAATGATACATACCTTGTCTCACCACCTGTCACATAAATACCTTGTCTCACCGCCCACCACATAAATACCTTGTCTCACCACCTGTCACATAAAATACCTTGTCCCACCACCTGTCACATAAATATATTGTCTCACCACCTGTCACATAAATACCTTGTCTCACCACTTGTTTTCTAAATACCTTATCTCACCACCTGTCACATAAATACCTTGTCTCACCATCCACCACATAAATACCCTGTCTCCCCACCTGTCATATAAATACATTGTCTCACCACCTGTCTCATAAATACCTTGTCTCACCATCCACCACATAAATACCCTGTCTCACCACCTGCCACATAAATACCTTGTCTCACCACCTGTCTAATAATAAATATCTTCTCTCACCCAGGCATATTTGCACCAACCACACCACAGGCCAACAACCTGACATGGACCTCAAGAACCAGCACTCCGCCACAACTCAACCGTTCTATCTCACAGACTTTCCCTAACTCACCAGACCCAAATTATTTCAGATTGGTGCAGACATTTGTCCAGAAAGTCTTAAAGTAGTCATCACAACATGTTGACACAGACTTGTACATTATTTATATTGTTTGCTGGATTTTAAAAATTGAACAAAATAAACAAAGAACTGGATTTGTCCAGGTCCTATTACCAACTAGAGTGTTTTAATAACAGATTGTGCAGCTAATTGGTTGTAAGATTGCTAGAAAAGTAGCCGCAGTGTCATACTTAATGTGTGAAATAAACTGTTGATTAAATGTATAGGAGATGAAACTGTTATACAGTTTTGATAGTGATGGGATGCTAGTTTGTGGGCTCGTATGATTGAATGGGGGGAAAGTTTACCATGTGTGATTGATGGTGTTCATATGTATGGTTGTAAAAATGTGTTCATATTGAAGCATGGTGTTTGGAGAATGCTTGCATTGTGTTTATGTTTTACATGGTGTTTATATATTTCGAGGATGATGGTCACAGGCGTTGATTATTCTTTGAACAGAAATAAAATTTTGAATCTATTATTTTCTTGTTGTTTTTTTACTGTGTGTTATACATGTATCTGAGCATTGGGTTGTGGTCAATAATCTTAAATATAAATATTGTTTTATCTTAGCTACTTTCAGTTAAAACATTATCTGGAAATGTAGCTCAGATGTCTAAAAAATTGTAGAATGTTTTCCTCATTCTAATATTAACTCTAAAGATGTAACCTTTGTTTACCTGTGTTTATATTTAGAAAACATTTCTATACTAAATTAACCTTAATATTGTCATGTTTATTGCAGTCAACTGAAGACTAAATAAGCAACAGGATTATTGAGGCTTATAGATATACTTTGTGCAAATATCCTTGTACGGTGGATACTACAAAATATGCTTATTTAATAAATTTAATCCAAATTCTTAATCTGATAAAAATAATGTTTTTTAAGACTTGCCCTAAATTTAACCCCTATAAAAGTTTTTATAAACTAAGAAATTCTGGTAACTGGAGGTGGTACTTTACTCTTTCTGATTGTTTTAAAAACCTTTAGAGTTAGGTAAGTATATCATATCATAAAGTAGCATATGCTAAGAACTTAGTCTGTATTGATAGAAATGACAAGTTATATAATAGAAACTTACTGTTTCTATAGTCCCATCCAACTAGAAGTTCCTTAGCAAACAACCCCCCCCCCCCTTTTTTTTTTTACTGTTATATAGAAATATACAAAAATGTTGTTTAGGGGAGATCAATCCCGCTTTATTGAACTGGATTTTTTTTAAAATTTACTATGCTTTAATTTTCTTTTTACTTTTTCATAGAGTAGGCCTAAGTAGAAAATATTGTAATCATGCAAAAAAACAAAAATCGAGATATTGACAGAGAGTGATGATTAGCATCTTTCCGGAGGCAGAAAAACTTTATTATTTCAAATTTTTAACGATTTCCGGCTACCGGAATTTCACGCTATTTCCGATTTCTCAAAAAAAAAACTGTGTTTATGCAAATATAAAGAACTAGCGATTTTGTCACAAACTTCTAGAATCTAAATCTATATTTTAAGCCCGACTGTACTGAAAGTGCCATCCACCTATATTGTTAAATTGATCTAGGCTTAACTCGCGCTTACAAACAACGTCACGCATCAGTCACTAGGTAAACATCCGCCATGATGATTCCCGACATTCAAAATGGTGAACTGCTGCGTGAAAGGTTGCAGAACTCGATGTGGAAATTCTGAAGGAATTTCTTTATTTCGACTGCCGAAAATTATAACACACCAAGGTGAAAGAGATCGAGAGTTAACAGAACGTAGACGCTGTCAATTTTTGGCAAATATTCATCGAAGGGATGTGAGTGAAAAAGCTGCAAACAACATGCGAATCTGTTCTCGACACTTTGTGTTAGGTACGTCGGACCAACTAAGGCATTAGCCAGTAAACAACAAACATGTTTATTTATGTTTGACCCTCGCAAATGGATATCTACTTACTACTTAGATCTAGATCTAAAGCTTGATCTAGGCCCTAATAACAAAAATTTAATTAGATAGGCCTAGGCCCTCTATTCTAAACTAGAATTTAGTCTAAGTAAAAACTGAGGACTAAACTCTAAGTCTAAAGTTCTAAACCAGTCTTCTTCAGTCTACGGCCTAACTATGTCTAGAATCTAGATCTAGATCTACTATACTAAGGCAAAGGTTACGATAACAGAAACAACATTTGTTAGAATCTAGATCTAGATAAGATTGTGTGCCTGGTTGCACTAGGTGACTAGGCTAGGCAGACAATCAGACAGATTTCTAGATCTAGCGGCCTAGCTCCAACTGTATCTAGACTTTTTTAGGCCTAGATTCTAGAATCAAAATAATTCCAACAATTTTATCAAAGTAAGTACTAGATTCTAGATCTAGTAAGTAGTGTAAGTAGTCTACGCCTAACCCTAAAGAATAGCAAGTAGAACTAGACCTAGATCTCAAGTTGACCCAGAGTCTAGTAAATATTTTTAATATAGTTAAGTTATAAGTTAAGTAGGCTACAGTTTACAGTGGATAAAACTTTTTAAAATGTGTATTTGATACCGAGTCTAGCTAAATATGTGTAGTTAAGTGTTGTACTTAAATAGATCTAATTGAAGTTTCTTATATATCTTAAGCCTACGAGACTTCTAGGTCTAGTCAGTCAATACTACAAATAAGACATGATTATTAGCATGTTTACTCTTTGGCTAAGTTTATTTTCAAGTAGGCCTAATCATTTTTTAATTATTCTAATTGTCCAGGTAAGCCAGCAAACTTCCGTGATGAAACAAACGTCGACTGGGCTCCCACTCTGTTCCTCGGGCACGATCGCATCCCTTTCTCCAAGGTTAAGTCATCAGTTGCAAGGTACACACGTGCATTACAGAGACGAGCAAAAAAACGTGATCACGAAGCTGCGGAGACCCTTTTAGTGCTACCAATGAGTGACTCAACAAATGTCCAGGGCAGCGAAAATAAGACAACCAACATGTCCCCATTGGATAAGGGTGAAGGTCATTCAAATATTCAGTGCTTTAATAATCAGACAACCAACATGTCCCAATTGGATAAGGGTGAAGGTCATTCAAATATTCAGTGCTTTAATAATCAGACCACCAACACTTCCCCATTGGATAAGGGTGAAGGTCATTCAAATATTCAGTGCTTTAATAATCAGACAGCCAACACTTCCCCATTGGATAAGGGTGAAGGTCATTCAAATATTCAGTGCTTTCATAATCAGACAACCAACACTTCCCCATTGGATAAGGGTGAAGGTCATTCAAATATTCAGTGCTTCAGTAAACAGACAACCAACAGGTCCTTATTGGTTAAGGGTGAAGGTCATTCAAATATTCAGTGCTTCAATAATCCGACAACCAACAGGTCCATATTGGTTAGGGTTGAAGGTCATTCAAATATTCAGTGCTTTAATAATCAGACAACCAACAGGTCCTTATTGGTTAAGGGTGAAGGTCATTCAAATATTCAGCCCCTCAATAACCAGACAACCAACACCTCACTGTTGGATATGAACCAACAACAGGCGGAGGATAGCACATCAACTATCAGTGCCAGGACTGGAGACAACACAGAAGCTCTTTATTTAGAGATCCAACAGTTAAGGAATGATATTTATTTACTTCGTGAGAAAGTCAAATACTTTGAAATAACCCAGGAGTCTTTCGTTAATGACGATAATAAAGTTAAATTCTACACAGGCCTTCGTTCTTACGATGCGCTGCTGCATATATTTAATAACATTAGTGGAACTATAAGCCATAACCACAACAATTGTCTCACAAAATTTCAGGAATTTGTGCTTACATTGATGAAATTAAGGCTTAGTTTACCGTTGCAAGATCTGTCATACAGATTTAAAATTTCCTGGTCAACGGCCAGCAGAATTTTTGAGAAGTGGGTGCGTCACATGGCTCGCAACCTTATACAACATATAGTATGGCCTGAAAGGGAGGACATACAAAAAACTATGCCTAGTTGTTTCAAGAATTCCTTTGGTGCAGACACTGCCATCATTATTGACTGTTTTGAAATTGTTTTTGACAAACCACCAAACATGTCTGCCAAAGCATGGGCAGAGTATAAAGACAACAACACGGTTAAATTCCTTTTAGGCATCACGCCACAATGTACCATATCCTTTATTTCAAAGTCTTGGGGTGGGAGGTTTAGTGATGAGCGTTTAACAGAAAATAGTGGCATTTTGAACCATCTTTTGCCTGGGGATTTAGTTTTAGCCAGCAGAGGTTTTACAATAGCAGATGGTGTTGGGTTTTACTGTGCTAAGCTCGCCATTCCTGATCTGGCATCTGGGAAAAAACAATTATCTGCCTTGGAAATATCTAAGACAAAAAAGAACGCCAAAGTACGGAGTCATGTAGAAAGGATAACAGGGCTCGTTAGACAAAAATACAAGATTCTGAGTGACACTTTACCATCAGATATTTTGAATGAAAAGGGTAATCCTTTAATAGATGATATTGTGACGACTTGTTGTGCATTGATTAATCTTTGTCCATCAGTTGCGCCTACTGAATAATCTAACTTTTTAGACAGTTTGAAAATAATAATAAATTGTGGCGTTATTGTAACTTCTTCCAGTCTTCTAGTGTTCATGTTTATTTAAAAAATTTATTTGAATTTGAAAAAGCAATGACAAATTCAAGCAAGATTTTAAATTTTTTTATCTGTTCATTAAAATATGTTCTTTCATGGTTGCCAGCTAGTGAGCTATCTCACCCATTGTAAAGCTGCTAATCATTGTAATTTTATACTATCATTTGTGCCACTTTGCTCATTCAACTTTATACAAGTTCAGTTTGAAAATGTTAAATATGGTCAAAATAAAAACAATTAATGAATTTTTTGTTTTTATTTTATTTTCCATTATAAAAGTATCGTTGATTGCATCCATACAATTGCTGTGGCCAGCCAAACTGGTCCTTCTTGGTCACATGAAATCTAAGGCTCAGCTGGCCATGATGTGGCTAGAATTATAAATATAATTCAAATGGTTAGGGTTATGAATGCCTAACTCGATAGCTGCGGTATGACCCATTAAAAAGAAACATAAATATGCCTAGTAGACCGTCCTTGAGTCCATCTAACTCTGACGGGTACCCAACTCGCGTTAGGGAAAGTAAAGGCGGCTGGGCATAGTGCTGACCACACTATCTCTTCATATGCAGAGGTCACAGAAACAAGTGAACTCTACTTCACTTGCCATATAGACCGTCAGCTTTGAAAGGGAACTTTACTTTTATAACTATGCCTATTACTATTATTAATTATATTATGTAGTGAATTAATCTTTGAGTAGCTAATACTAATATAAGTGCTAAAACCATTGTATATAATAATATTTTCTATTAGTCTAGTACTGAATACTTTTAGACTAATTTAAGTTATAGGCCTATAGAGTCATATAGCATAGTATATTGAATTCCTACTTTCCATCTATCTGAGTGATAGAAGGATTCTCGTCAACTCGGTCATGTCCATTTTGTCAGATTTCATGTCCCACTGCATTTTCAGCAGGTCTTGACATCTATATATATAATTCTCTTCTTGGAGACGATAGAAAACACCAAGCTGTAAGCGCTCTCCCTACCACCCCCCACCCCTACATGGTCTACAATCGTAGAGCCGGGTTTAGTGACGGCTATTAGGGGCAAATAATGCCGTTTGAAACGATTTTAAACTTAGGGGAGGTAACTAAGAGGAGTTTGCTTTCAAGGGGGGGGGGGGGGGAAGGAGGGGGGTATCGTCCTTAACGACCATCTGATAGTGTTTTAAAGCAAATATTTTCAGTGGCAGCATCGGTACTGTCGAATTCACAAATTATGATTATGAATTACTGAAAAGTAGAAAATAAAACAACTAAATAGCGGCGTATGATACGCCGCGGGTCGGCTCGTATATTATAAGATTGAAACAAATCGCTTTGGTACAAGACGGTCGAAATTTTGTTTGCCTGGTTACCATAGTTAAAAGTAGGGACTAGGGGCAATATTATGCGCATAATTTTTTACTATTGCATCCACGAAGTGACAATCTATCACTCAAACTAAAACACCTTTAAATTTCCGTTCTTGCACGCTTTAGCTCAGTCTTTGAACACAAGTAAAGCGAACTTCCGTTCAACGACTCTTCAAAAGGGCAAGAATACGGTTTTTAACAAGATGTGAGATCAACTAGATTTACCAGTAGGAGTTATTGATTGATGTACGGTAGGCTTTGAACTGCTTGTCAGTCCTTCTCATACTGGAGAATCTTACCTAAAGCACTCACATTCAAACAACAGGGTGTAGAGTTGGCTCATTTTCTCACATATATAGATTTAGATCTAGATCTATAATCTATATTTATAGGATATAGGCCGATATCTAAATGTGAAATCACCGCACACTACACACGTCATATACTAGATTCTAATTCTCTTTTCCTGTTCGTTCCCAAGACACATGAGGCAGATAAAGTAGAATTTTAGGCCTAGTTTCAATGGCCTTGGTTTCCTTACGTAAGTCAGTGATTCACCAGAGCTGGGTGGACTCAGAGACGTTCGGAAGTCCAGAGTCTGGATTCCGAACTCGGGATTTTCGTGTCAGCAGTCGGAAGCTCTACCGTCTACCTACATAGAGAGATGGTTTCATTGTAGCCAGTAGATTTTTCTATTTAATGACGCCTTACACCATGGGCCAATATATATTTAAATGTACACACATACATGTAAACATAAATATCAGTATATATATATATATATATATATATATATATATATATATATATATATATATATATATATATATATATATATATATATATATATATATATATATGTATATATAATGGTTCCAACATAATTCATCTCTTCAATAGTAAATGTGATTTCAAACAGAATTCACCCTTTCAGTAGTCTGTGAGGCTTCCAACATACTGTAACGTTTCCATAGTTTATGTGAATTCCAACAGAATTCTTTCTACGGGAGTGCCTGCAGCCGGTGAGTGTGTGGGGGTGGAGGGGTTAGTGGTGGGGGGGGGGGGGGGCGCCAGTAAAACTCACATCCCAACCAAGTATACATCAAGCAGCTTTCAGCAAATTATTTTTTAATATCAACTACTTGTTTTGCTGGTCGCTGCGATCTCAGAAGAAAGGAAATTCAAGAGAAATCATAACTGGATGCCAACGTACAAACCAACTGCCATTCGAAGAAGAGATCAGTGTTTCTTCCAGACTTTTTTCTCCGACGGTCGGAGGGGGGGGGGGGGTCACTTGCTATTTTCAGGGAGGCAGACATTTTCCGGGGGGAGGGGGGCTGGCGGACACTGGTAAAAGTATGTTTTCTATTTAAATTCCATTTTGGTGGCGGGGGGGGGGGGGGGCAGTAGACATTCATGTAGTATTCATTATTCCGGTAAAAATTAAAATAAATTACATGCTTGACATGGTGTGGTCGTCGGGTTTTAAAAGGACCGTTGTTCCGTGTGACTTTACATTGTCGTGAACATCGCACTTTGTGACTTTTTTCTGTCAACTTCTTGTCATAAATGACGTTATTATCGTTTAATTAAACTGTCAATTAATGACGATATAATCGCAGTCAGTGGCGTAGCGAGGTCGGGTGTCACCCGGTGCGGCACTTAATGGTGTCACCCCCCCCCCCCCAGAGGCATAGAGACCCTTCCCAGGGACAAACTTTCAAATTTTCGATTTGCACCCCCCCCCCCAAACTTTCGATTTGCACCCCCCCCCCTCGAGTTTTCGATTTGCACCCCCCCCCCCCCTCAAACTTTCGATTTGCACCCCCCTCGAGTTTTTCTCTATATATTTTGCTATTTTTTGCCTTGGGTGTCACCCCCCCCCCCCCCTAAATGGTGTCACCCGGTGCACCCCCCGCCCCCCCCCCCCCCTCGCTACGCCCCTGATCGCAGTCACCAACCAACAGTGGCGTAGCCAGGAATTGGTCATGGGGAGGGGTTCAAATATTTTTCCATATGTATAAAATTATATATATATATATATATAATATATATATATATATATATATATATATATATATATATATATATATATATATATATATATGGGGTTATAACCCCCCTAACCCCCCCCCCTTCCTACGCCACTGCCAACCAACAGTCTAACGATACGATCCTAATCACTAAACGAAGTTTGCCTGTGGGTAAGGCGATACCACAGTACCTGCAAGTCGTTTGTCAGGATTACAATATTTTGTTCCACTGCCTGTTTCAGCTGCGACTCTGGAATGTCTGTACTGTGGAGAAATCTGGCACAGGTGCCACTCGGGTGCCGGGCAGTCTACGTGAGGCTGGGGCGTCAGGCGGCTGCCTCAGTCGTCCAGGTCCAGCAGAGGGCGACGACAGGCTCAGCTGGGGACGGGGCCGGGAAGGGAGGGGGCAGTGGAGGATCCATTAGAAGCGCCGGAGGTGGTTTTGGCAAGATGGAGGTAAGTCATAGGAGGTGAGGGGGGGGGGTCCATGTTTGGTGAGTTGGTCAAGTTAGGTGAGTTGGTCAAGTTGGTCAAGTTAGGTGAGTTGGTCAAGTTAGGTGAGTTGGTCAAGTTAGGTGAGTTGGTCAAGTTGTCAAGTGGTGAGTTGGTCAAGTTAGGTGAGTTGGTCAAGTTGGTCAAGTTAGGTGAGTTGGTCAAGTTAGGTGAGTTGGTCAAGTTAGGTGAGTTGGTCAAGTTAGGTGAGTTGGTCAAGTTAGGTGAGTTGGTCAAGTTAGGTGAGTTGGTCAAGTTGGTCAAGTTAGGTGAGTTGGTCAAGTTAGGTGAGTTGGTCAAGTTAGGTGAGTTGGTCAAGTTAGGTGAGTTGGTCAAGTTGGTCAAGTTGGGTGAGTTGGTCAAGTTAGGTGAGTTGGTCAAGTTAGGTGAGTTGGTCAAGTTGGTCAAGTTAGGTGAGTTGGTCAAGTTGGGTGAGTTGGTCAAGTTGGTCAAGTTAGGTGAGTTGGTCAAGTTGGTCAAGTTAGGTGAGTTGGTCAAGTTAGGTGAGTTGGTCAAGTTAGGTGAGTTGGTCAAGTTAGGTGAGTTGGTCAAGTTGGTCGAGTTAGGTGAGTTGGTCAAGTTAGGTGAGTTGGTCAAGTTAGGTGAGTTGGTCAAGTTGGTCAAGTTAGGTGAGTTGGTCAAGTTAGGTGAGTTGGTCAAGTTGGTCAAGTTAGGTGAGTTGGTCAAGTTGGGTGAGTTGGTCAAGTTAGGTGAGTTGGTCAAGTTAGGTGAGTTGGTCAAGTTAGGTGAGTTGGTCAAGTTAGGTGAGTTGGTCAAGTTAGGTGAGTTGGTCAAATTAGGTGAGTTTGTCAAGTTAGGTGAGTTGGTCAAGTTGGTCAAGTTAGGTGAGTTGGTCAAGTTAGGTGAGTTGGTCAAGTTGGTCAAGTTAGGTGAGTTGGTCAAGTTAGGTGAGTTGGTCAAGTTAGGTGAGTTGGTCAAGTTAGGTGAGGTGGTCAAGTTAGGTGAGTTGGTCAAGTTAGGTGAGTTGGTCAAGTTAGGTGAGTTGGTCAAGTTAGGTGAGTTGGTCAAGTTAGGTGAGTTGGTCAAGTTAGGTGAGTTGGTCAAGTTAGGTGAGTTGGTCAAGTTAGGTGAGTTGGTCAAGTTAGGTGAGTTGGTCAAGTTAGGTGAGTTGGTCAAGTTAGGTGAGTTGGTCAAGTTAGGTGAGTTGGTAAAGTTAGGTGAGTTGGTCAAGTTAAGTGAGTTGGTCAAGTTGGTCAAGTTAGGTGAGTTGGTCAAGTTAGGTGAGTTGGTCAAGTTAGGTGAGTTGGTCCAGTTAGGTGAGTTGGTAAAGTTAGGTGAGTTGGTCAAGTTAGGTGAGTTGGTCAAGTTAGGTGAGTTGGTCAAGTTAGGTGAGTTGGTCAAGTTAGGTGAGTTGGTCAAGTTAGGTGAGTTGGTCAAGTTAGGTGAGTTGGTCAAGTTAGGTGAGTTGGTTAAGTTAGGTGAGTTGGTCAAGTTAGGTGAGTTGGTCAAGTTAGGTGAGTTGGCCATTATCTATTGAGCGTCTCTAAGAATTCATCAAATCATTAAAGAGAAATTTTCAGAGTTTTGCTCTCAAACATTGTGTATGGTGAACACAGATCGTGGCTAAATTGTCTGGACAAAGTTCATTGGAGTTTTGTTGACCGGCCTTCTAATTTCGTAGTCATTGAAAACCGTTTGAAATAGCGTGAGTTCGTCAATGGATGATCCACATTCTTTTAGGGTAGCTTTGTTTTTGCATTATTGGGGAAATTATTACTTTTTTCCATGCTGTTTTAGAAAATTAATCTACAATGCTTTTTAAAAAAAACGTAACTATTTTGGCACGCCATAGTTAGTACTATGCAATATTTGAAAGTTGGAAAATCTAGTGTTCAAACGATACTAACAATTTTTAGCTAGAGTAGTGGTTCTTAACCTGGGTTCGATGGAAACCCAAGGGTTCGGTAAGTCAGTATCGAGGGTTGCGCGGGGGCCAAGACACACACCCGACTCACCCGACTTGTCGTTTTTTTTTTTTTCAGATATAGATATGACTAATATATTTAGAATCTGTGGTAAAATATTTATACTTAGCGAAATGTCAAGAATCTTCGACTTTATTTGTATATTATCCTAACAAATGATCTTTTGTCTATTTTGATAGGTAGCGCATGAAGAGAAGTATTTCCGTGAAGAACAGGCTAGGCAGCTGGCTGGATTGAAGATTCATGAGATTAAGAATGAGATGAAGGGTTATGAGAAACAGATCGCAGAATGCAAGGAGAATATCGCGAATCTGAAACAGTCGCTAAAGAGGTAAGGTGTAGCCTGGGTGTATGTGGTGAAAATCTCACTCACCAGCATGCGAGAAATTGTGTTGTGTGCAGAGGGGTAGCGAGGGGGGGTGGGGGGGGGGTGCGGACCGCACCGGGTGACACCATTTACGGGGGTGACACCAAGGCAGAAAATTGTAAAATATATAGAGAAAAATTTGAGGGGGGGGGGGGTGCAAATCGAAAATTGAAAGTTTGACCCCGGGAAGAGTCGCTACGCTTCTGGGGGGGGGGGGGGGGGGTGACACCCGACCTCGTTACGCCGCTGGTTGTATGCATTGTGTTAGGGGCATTATATGGGTAGGTAGCAGTTCACTCTTTCTATATAAAGATTGTATAACTGATAATACCAAACACAGAACAACCGACAATATCACAGAAACACACACAAAACAACTGACATTGTTACACACACACACAAAACAAACGACAGTCTCACAAAACAACATTGTCACTAAATTTATTACTTTTATTGAATAGTTGTGCATTATTATATTTTTTATGAAAATCATTTATTTTAAAAATAATTTATAATTATATAAAATCTTGTTTTAATGACTCACTGAATTTCTAATTGTCACGGGAGTCTAGAAAGTTACAAATTTGCCACACTCCATAAACAAAGAAAAAACCCCAGACATTGTGAAGTAAATACAAGCTTATAATCATAAAAACCATGTTCCTTATAAAACAGTAATACTATCACTATCAATACACCAAATAAACAATCTAAAATAGAAAGGGACACAACTCACCAAACACAGTATAAAACCAAACAACTCATTATTTAAGCAGGGTCTAACTTTTGTCACCACAGAGAGCCAGGCAATGAGGAGCTGAAGATTAATCTCAAAATTCACAAGAGTGATTTGAGCAAATATGAAAGCCATCTAAAGGATTGTCAACAGCAGTTAAAACACATTGAAGCCAAACAAGATTAACCCAAGGGACGTATCTCCAGAGGGGGGAAAACACTTCGAAATCGTTTTAAATATGTTTGGCTTTTGATAAGAATGGAAAATCCAACAATAAAGCTATCATTCCTTGTTAAATTCGATAAATTTTCTTAGAATAGAAACGGCTGTCTAAAATAGTATCTATTTAGCAATAGATGATTGTTAAGTCCCGAAACCTTACTTTTACAGCATAAAGTTATTTTTGTTTATTAGCTAAGTGCTAACCAACTTATATAGAAAATAAACAATTGAGTTCGTTGAATACAAAACTATTTTGATTGTATCTGGTTCATTTTGTTTTTAAATTTTGGTTGAAACTTATTTATTTTAAAATATTTCTTGTTACAATATGTCAATGTTGTCAGGTTATTGATTTTTTTTCACATCATCGGTTTCATACGTACATTTTTTTTAGATGGTACTGCAAGTCAATGATCACCATTGGTGGGCTCTTTGTCCATATGAGATCAAAGTTACTGGGATATTTGTCCATTATAGAAATTTACTGGGATATTTCTCCATTATAGAAATTTAGTGGGATATTTGTCCATTATAGAAATTTAGTGGGATATTTCTCCATTATAGAAATTTAGTGGGATATTTGTCCATTATAGAAATTTACTGGGATATTTGTCCATTATAGAAATTTACTGGGATATTTGTCCATTATAGAAGTTTACTGGGATATTTGTCCATTATAGAAATTTAGTGGGATATTAAAATTTATCAATGGAGGCAATTTAGTGGGATATTTGTCAATGCGAGCAATTTAGTGGGATATTTGTCCAAGTACGTGTAGCCTTGTTAGTTGAAAGGTTAAAAAAATATAAACTGAGAAAAGTATTTATTTTAAAGTAGCTCACTGCCGCATAAGTAGACCATTGCTAATAATAGCTTTTCAGGCAACTGAAAAATGCTCGGAAAATGTTTCTATCTGTCACTTGTAGTAACCTACCTTTGGTGTATAAAACAATGTGATCTATAAACATATCTGTGGTGTATAAAACCTATCTGTGGTGTAAACAAATCTGGCAGTCGAGTATTTAGTTCTGAATATATTCCCAGTCGTGAAGTGGCTATGAAATCCTCTAGCTGAGGAATCATACTTGGTAATTTTAACAGTCTAAATACGGGGTACGAGTATTTGAATAGTTGACATCAAACATAAACGCTAAAGTCACTATACAAGTTTGTACATTTTTTTTCTTTTTTAAATAGTCGAAATACGCAGTTTCTTCCAGACTTATTTCTCCGAGGGGGGGGGGGGGGCGGACACTGTTAAAAGTATATATTTTCTATATAAATTTCGTTCGGGGGGCGGTAGACTTTCTTTGGCCCCGAAGAGATGCCTGGAAGAAACTCTGAAAGTACGAACAAAGGTTACTACTGTCTCAGTATCATAGTTTTGTATCTTTTGGGTATTTTTCTTCGAAGACTACCTTTAGTCTTTTCGTTTTTTGTTCTTAATTATATTATTAGACGTAATTTACTCCAACGTAATTAACTATCACGTGTCATCATCCTATGCACCATATGACCAGGTGATTCTGATTTTTTCCCCTAAATCTTCTAGAAGAGCCTTAAATCTACCATAAACTATCTGCGAGAAAGCGGTTGTTTCATCTTGTTTCCTAGATGAGTAGCTGTCTCCAGATAATAAGTCTCATTTTGTTTCCTAGATGAGTAGCTGTCTCCAGCTAATAAGTCTCATTTTGTTTTCTAGATGAGTAGCTGTCTCCAGCTAATAAGTCTCATTTTGTTTCCTAGATGAGTAGCTGTCTCCAGCTAATAAGTCTCATTTTGTTTTCTAGATGAGTAGCTGTCTCCAGCTAATAAGTCTCATTTTGTTTCCTAGATGAGTAGCTGTCTCCAGCTAATAAGTCTCATTTTGTTTCCTAGATGAGTAGCTGTCTCGAGCTAACAAGTCTCATTTTGTTTCCTAGATGAGTTAATGTCTCCAGCTAATAAGTCTCATTTTGTTTTATAGATGAGTAGCTGTCTCCAGCTAATAAGTCTCATTTTGTTTCCTAGATGAGTAGCTGTCTCCAGCTAATAAGTCTCATTTTGTTTCCTAGATGAGTTGCTTTCTCCAGCTAACAAGTCTCATTTTGTTTCCTAGATGAGTTAATGTCTCCAGCTAATAAGTCTCATTTTGTTTTATAGATGAGTAGCTGTCTCCGGCTAATAAGTCTCATTTTGTTTTATAGATGAGTTAATGTCTCCAGCTAATAAGTCTCATTTTGTTTTATAGATGAGTAGCTGTCTCCAGCTAATAAGTCTCATTTTGTTTCCTAAATGAGTAGCTGTCTCCAGCTCATAAGTTTCATTTTGTTTCCTAGATGAGTTGCTTTCTCCAGCTAATAAGTCTCATTTTGTTTTATAGATGAGTAGCTGTCTCCAGCTAATAAGTCTCATTTTGTTTCCTAGATGAGTTGCTTTCTCCAGCTAATAAGTCTCATTTTGTTTTATAGATGAGTAGCTGTCTCCAGCTAATAAGTCTCATTTTGTTTTATAGATGAGTAGCTGTCTCCAGCTAATAAGTCTCATTTTGTTTCCTAGATGAGCTGCTTTCTCCAGCTAATAAGTCTCATTTTGTTTTATAGATGAGTAGCTGTCTCCGGCTAATAAGTCTCATTTTGTTTTATAGATGAGTAGCTGTCTCCAGCTAATAAGTCTCATTTTGTTTCCTAGATGAGTAGCTGTCTCCAGCTAATAAGTCTCATTTTGTTTTATAGATGAGTAGCTGTCTCCAGCTAATAAGTCTCATTTTGTTTCCTAAATGAGTAGCTGTCTCCAGCTCATAAGTCTCATTTTGTTTCCTAGATGAGTTGCTTTCTCCAGCTAATAAGTCTCATTTTGTTTTATAGATGAGTAGCTGTCTCCGGCTAATAAGTCTCATTTTGTTTTATAGATGAGTAGCTGTCTCCAGCTAATAAGTCTCATTTTGTTTTATAGATGAGTAGCTGTCTCCAGCTAATAAGTCTCATTTTGTTTCCTAGATGAGTTGCTTTCTCCGGCTAATAAGTCTCAATTTGTTTTATAGATGAGTAGCTGTCTCCAGCTAATAAGTCTCATTTTGTTTCCTAGATGAGTTGCTTTCTCCAGCTAATAAGTCTCATTTTGTTTTATAGATGAGTAGCTGTCTCCAGCTAATAAGTCTCATTTTGTTTTCTAGATGAGTAGCTGTCTCCAGCTAATAAGTCTCATTTTGTTTTATAGATGAGTAGCTGTCTCCAGCTAATAAGTCTCAATTTGTTTTCTAGATGAGTAGCTGTCTCCAGCTAATAAGTCTCAATTTGTTTTCTAGATGTGTTAATGTCTCCAGCTAATAAGTCTCATGGAAAAAAAGTCACAGGAAAAAAAACATAGAAAAAAAGTCACAGTTTTTGCTAGGAAAACAAGTCACAGAAAAAAAGTCACAGTGGAAAAATTGTATCTAAAAAATACTCTAAGATAATTAACACAACAATCTCAACTTTTGTTACGTATTTAGTTAAATACGCGGTAGAAAAGTTAATTATAAAGAAATTTAGGCACATTTAGCCGTAGGCTATTCTCTGGTCGGCCTCTCCTCAGTAGGCATTGTCCGAACATATTTTGTGTTGTTGACGTTATGCGTCAATGACAGCCTTTGAACCTTGTCGGCTTTCTGTTTTGATCCTAAGTTTTGTTAGGTAATGAGCGTGATAAATGTGGGCAGTAAAGGTGGTTGAACTAAACATAACTATTGTTGCCATGAGTTGAGGGCAGCAAGTCAGATGAACGTACCATTTCACGGTAATTTAATATTGGTATTAAAAAAAAAACACGATGAAAAACGTAGACTTAGGAGCATTATATTAAATGCTACTAATATTAAGTTTTAAATAATTACAATCTACATACTTCATAATAAATATTTTAGATGAATTATAAAAATTCCTATGCGTATACAGCCTACACACATTACATTTAATTTAATTAATCCTAAGTTAATTTGCACTCTCTAAATATTTAATACATACTAGTATTATCAAAAATCATGCAAATATAATTATATTTGTGACTTTTTTCCTGTAACTTTTTTTCCTGTTTTTTTTCCTGTGACTTTTTTTTCCTACAATCAATTTGTTTTCTAGATGAGTTGCTTTCTCCAGCTGAGTCTCATTTTGTTTTCTAGATGTGTTGTCTCATTTGCCCGGGTGTCCGAACTCGAGATTTTTAATGAGATTTTTTTATATACGCCTCACCCTTGCCATTAGTTAGACTAAATGAAAACGAATTTGCGACATTGCACATCAAGACGCTGCGCACAATTTAATGTGGTTTGGTCACTAATAGTGCATATATCCGTTCAGTGAAACTTTGTTTTGACGTTGGCATCACAAGAACAGGACAGTTTTTTTATTAGTCGGTGACTTGAGTGAGATTGTGTTTTTTAAATGTCTTTCAGCTGTGTACTAAGCAGTTGGCCGTTCATACACACACGCACTCTCTATCTCTCTCTCTGTCTCTCTCTTTCTCTCTCTCTCTTTCATTTTGTCTTTTGCATGGGCATTTAGATCGATCTAAACTTCAATAGGCGGTCTAGACTCTGGCACGAAAAATGTTTTCATTTGGTTTGGATGTAAAAGCAATAAGGCCAGAGAATGAGCCCCAGTGCCTTTCTGGCTAGCTAGAGCTCGCTATCTCTAGACCACTAACTAGATGATGTCCGTTTATCCAAGCCTTTGTAAATACGCTTTTTAGAGGAAAAAAAATTGTGCTAGACTAGAATGTACATTGATTAGGATTGATATTTTAAAAGTATAAATTAATTAAACTAAAAATGTGCCCTTAAATAAAAATAGATAGCAAGTCATAATAAGTCATATAGGCTATATCCGAGTCAGTGGCGTAGCAAGGATTTTTGGGCCCCTATGCAAAAAGTGTTAGTGGGTCCCTAAGAGGCGTAGCGACCCGGGGACAAACTTTCGATTTGCACCCCCCCCCGACTTTCGATTTGCACCCCCCCCCCTCAAACTTTCGAAAAAGGGCCCCTATTTGCCTTGGGCCCTATGCCTTGCTTACGCTAGCTTTATGGTAGCTACGCCACTGATCCGAGTAAACATTGTGTAAAAGATTACTTAAACGGTCAATGAATAATCGTAACTATCTGGTAAAGATCCATTCGAATCTTTAAAAGTTGATCAATTCTATGATTGAGTTGTGAGAACAGTTACCTCATGTTTATAGAACGGATTATCCTAGCAACACTAAATCGTGTGTCATGTTTATAGAACGGATTATCCTAGCAACAGTAGCGTACGCAGGGGGGGGGGAGCAGGGGGAGCGGCCGCTCCCCCTCTGGCCATTTTTAGCAAAGTGGCGCCTTTTTGGAAACTTTTTAAACTCAAAGTTTTAAACATTGATATTTGTTAAAAATTATCTTTGGTCGGCACATTTGAAACGTAAATCTCTGTGAATATTGTTTTTTTAATAACCGGTAAAAGGTGTGTGAGCAATACTGTGATTTAACCCATACCTTCACATTATGTTAAAAATTATCATTAAAATACACAAAAAGTCAGTGCTATTTAATGTGTGCATGATCTGAAATATAAGACCGATATTTAGGTTATATGTAGGCTATTATTACGAATGTTTTACTTCTATAGTGAAAAGCTGGATTTTATACCGACTCTGATTTAAAACAAGTTAATTAAAACGTCTAGTGACAATTTTAGCGCAATTTCCTTATGTTATCTAAAAATAGCTCTGTCGTAGCGTAAATCAAGAGCAGGGTTAGTAAAACCATTGGTTAGTTATTAAAACGTTTTTTATTTTAAAACAATTTCAGTATTTTACATGTTTTATTTACAATAGAGTTACATGACTAAAAACCATTGCGCGCCTAGCTACTGAACGTGATGACGAAGCCATAGAACGTGATGGTGCAGCTATTGAACGTGATGACGCGTGTGGTGTGGTTGGAAAAAATGCCTACTAATTCGGTCCAAATTTTAATTAATTCAAAAAATGTTTTGTGACCAAACGAAAGGATATTTTTGAAAACTTTCTTCGGCAATATTGTTCTAAATTATGGCAGGAATCGATTGGTACATGTTTCAAGTCGCTAAGTGGTCTGGTTGCCGAGATATGGGCCACAAACTGCTTTTTTTCCGAGGTTTTTTGGCTTTTCTGGGAAATACATGAAAGAAACCCGGAATTTTTATGGCCTATGTTCATCCTCGTAACTTGCTTAACATAATTGCTTTTGGAACTAGTCATCGATATTGCTTCGTTGAGGAGGAGATACGACTTAAAGCTGCGGACACACATCCATCCATCCATCCATCCATACATTCATACATCCAGAAATGACGGGTTAATAAACGCAATTCTCCAGAATGGAAATTGCGCTAAAAACTTTCATTATGCTGTGATACTTTTGCATTTATAATGACAATATATTGAATTAATTATTTAGACAAATAATTTTTGTAAAATCAAATAGTGTTAAGCTACTTTATTAGATTCTAAAGTAATTATTGACTTGTTTTGATATTTATAATAAAATGTGTAGAAATATACATATTTATATTAAGATATTGATTATTTCCCCTTTTCGCTAGTCTTAATAGATGTCCCAGGAATTATTATGTAATTTCTTTTACAAGAATTACGTAACAGATTATGCCGCGTTCATTGTTTTTGGTTGTAGTGTGTTTATATATATATATATATATATATATATATATATATATATATATATATATATATATATATATATATATATATATATATATATATATATATATATATATATATATATATGTTTTTGTTTAGAGTGATACTATATTTTTTTGCTTCGTCGGCCTACATTGTGTGTTTTTTTTAAATTTCTTCCGAGTGCTTATTTAAATTTATTTTACATCATATCGAAGCAATAACACACACACACACACAAACACACACACACACACATATATATATATATATATATATATATATATATATATATATATATATATATATATATTTATATTTATATATATATATATATATATATATATATATATATATATATATATATATATATATATATATATATATATATATATATATATATATATACTTATATAGAAAATATTACAAATTCGGCGCCTTTTTTGCTATTTCCGCTCCCCCTACAACGAAAACCTGGATACGCCTCTGCCTAGCAACACTAAATCGTGTGTCATGTTTATAGAACGGATTATCCTAGCAACACTAAATCGTGTGTCATGTTTATAGAACGGATTATCCTAGCAACACTAAATCGTGTGTCATGTTTATAGAACGGATTATCCTAGCAACATGGATCGGTGTGGTTGACTCATGGCTGCTAAGCCGAAAAGTCTCGAGTTCGAACCCTTGGGCAGATGAGGCTCGTTAGCTGGGGACAGCCACTCTTCTAGGAGAAGCAAATCCAAAATCTAACAACTGCTGCCTTGTAGTTTGTTCTTGGTAGGACAAAGGCTTTGGAAGCAAATCCAAAAAGAAAATCGGAGTCTATGGCCTCAATGACGCATAAATCATGTTTCATGTTTATAGTACGGATTATCCTAGCAATACTAAAGCATGTGTCACATTTATACTGCGGATTATCCTAGCAACACTAAATCATGTGTCACGTTTATAGAACGGATTATCCTAGCAATACTAAATCATGTGTCACATTTATACTGCGGATTATCCTAGCAACACTAAATCATGTGTCACATTTATACTACGGATTATCCTAGCAACACTAAATCATGTGTCACGTTTATAGAACGGATTATCCTAACCACACTAAATCATGTGTCATGTTTATACTAGGGATTACCGTAGGCAGTCAAACTTCCGCCTGGCGGTAAAACGCAATATGTTTGTCCCCTTTCAGTCCTGCCTGAAGAATGTCTTTACTGCGTCAAGCCATAGCTCAAGCCAGTTTGGTGTACAAGGCTTTCTCCGCGAGGGTGGGGCAGAAGATGGCAGCGTCTGCTGTCCAGCCGCAGATAAGATCATCCTTGGAACAGTCTAAAGAGGATCGAGTGGCAAAGTTGAAGGAGGAACTCAGGTACCGCCAGAAGCTGGCCAAGGAAGACAATGATATGATCATTCATTACAAAGGCGTGTTAGAAAGGTAAATAGTAGCAGGTGATGTTAGAAAGGTAAATAGTAGCAGGTGATGTTAGAAAGGTAAATAGTAGCACGTAATGTTAGGTAAATAGTATCACGTGATGTTAGAAAGGTAAATAGTGGCACGTGATGTTAGAAATGTAAATAGTAGCACAAGTTAGAAAGGTAAATAGTAGCGCATTATATTAGAAATGTAAGTAGTAGCACGTGATGTTAGAAAGGCAAACAGCACGTGATGATAGAAAGGCAAACAGCACGTGATGATAAAAAGGTAAATAGTAGCACGTGATGTTAGAAAGGTAAATAGTAGCACGTGATGTTAGAAAGGTAAATAGTAGTACGATATGTTAGTCTTGTCTAGAAACAAAATGATGTTAGATTAATCTGTTTAAATAATGATGTTGGAGATGTCTATTCAGAAAATGATGTTGGTCTTGGTGGGCCTTTGATGCTTGCCGGGATGTTTATTTGTTATATATATATATATATATATATATATATATATATATATATATATATATATATATATATATATATATATATATATATATATATATATATATATATATATATATATATATATATATATATATGCATATATATAATAGCGAGGTCGGTTGTCACCCGGTGCGGCACTTAATGGTGTCACCCCCCCCCCCCCCACCCACAGGCGTATCGACCCTTCCCGGGGACAAATTTTCGATTTGCAACCCCCCCTCAAACTTTCGATTTGCACCCACCCCTCAAACTTTCGATTTGCACCTCCCCCCCCCCCCCCTCTCCTCAAATTTGTCTCTATATATTTTGCTATTTTGTTGCCTTGGTGTTGCCCCTCTTAATGGTGTCACCCGGTGCTGTCCACACCCCCGCCCCCCCCCCCGCTACGCCTATATATATATATATATATAAGGGATATCTCCAATATATATATATATATATATATATATATATATATATATATATATATATATATATATATATATATATATATCACATAAATGTACTATAGTACATATAATTTATCGGCACACGTAAAGTACAAAAAATATACACACAGGGACAAATCTCATTAACAAATGAACAATACACAAACAGACTGAAACACATGACAAATAATAGAAAACCCAAAGCAACTCTAAATAAAACAAAAAGACATAATTTGAACAAAAAATTACTTCAACGCTTTTGTTATTGCAGAGACCCAAAAGACAACGGATCAATGAAGATAATCTCAAACGCGAGGAAACGGCTGAGTGTTACAAATCACACCATCGATAAGATACGAAAAGAGCTCACGGATTTAGGAGCCTAAGGTTAACTGCAAGGAACATAACGCTCAATAGAAAAACTTGACCAAAACTTTTTCAACGCACTGGGCTAATGTTTAAATAAATGCCAATCAAACGATTAAAAAGAACGGTGTATTGATGCTGTATTTTGAATTTTAGGAGAAGTTGGTTTACAAAACATCAGTAACTTGATGCATTAATGATTTGGACATCTCTATTTTAAAATATAGCTCGCTTAATTGTCTGCTGATGCTCTTGCAATAAAATGTAAACAACTATAAATAATATTTTACTGGTTTTTAGTTTTACATTAATTAAGTTTTTTTTAGTTTAGGTTTTAACTTGTTTATTTATGTTAATTTAAATATGTTAAATAATATATTTTAATTCGGTTTATTTTATTAGGTTTATTTTCGCTTTTTCAAAAGCCTTAAGAATTTAATTTATATTTTTTTTATAAGGCAGCATATTCTAAAAATGCTTAGATTCTAGACAAAAATTAAACTCCAGGAATTGTATTCAGGCTGTCAAAGAGTGTAAACTATAGTTGTCAGATTTTCAAAACACTTATTTTAAATGCATATTTTGTAGAGAGTCAATGCCCACATTCTCTAGACAAAGAGCATCTACAGAAACTACGACTTGTTTTCTGTCTGAATGTGCTTCAATAGCTTTAACTCAACCTCAAGCAATCTGCAAGGCAGCAGTTATTTCTTGGTGTAGTTTTTATTCCTAGATGTGTTACTGTCACCAGCTAATTAGTCTCGGTATTCCTGACAAAACTTGTAGGGTTTAATACCTCCAATCAAGTAAAGAACCACTGCATTAGACTAAATGAAAAGAAACTTTGGACTTTGCGCATCAAAACGCTGCGCACAATTTACTGCGGCTTTGGTCAATAAAAGTGCAGATTTCCGTTCAGTGAAACTTTGTTTTGACGTTGGCATCACAAGAACAGGACAGTTTTTTTATTAGTCGGTGACTTGAGTGAGATTGTGTTTTTTTTTAAAAATGTCTATCAGCTTTGTATTCAACAGTTCGCCGTTCACATTCTCGTTCTCTCTCTCTTTCTCTTTTTTTTTCTCTTTGATATTGGGATACCTCTAAATTTTAATATAGTCTAGGTCTAGAATTTTGGCCCAAAACAGTACACTCAGCGAAAGATATTTGGCCTTACATTGTTTACTTAGGGATTACTGTGCAATTCTTCTGTAATATTGGTCCAGTAGAATAATTCAGAAATATAGAGTTTAGAACGAAGACGAACAAGATCAACTATAACACTGTTACAGACGGCATCAGTTTGTAGAGTCAGGTTTTTTTCCCTAACACATCCATGTTAATGTTATAAGCTGATGCTGGACCCTAATGTTTCCACCTGGTTTGGATGTAAAGCAGTTTGGTCTAGGGTCAGAGGCGTAGCTATATGGTGGCGGTGGGAAAGGGGCGCCGACCCTAGTGGGGGCCAAAAGGGTGGGGAAAAATTTATAAGCTGATTTTATGCTGCAGTTTTGATTAATAAACAACAAGAAATGTAATGCCTACACGCCTTTACATACTGATATAACTGTGTTCTGCCTAGATAATTATAACATATACTCTTAAGAAACAGTGACCGGCAAAACCGCTTTCCAGCATTTCTTAGAAATGAGGGCGGGGGGGGGCGCTTTTTTTGCGACTAAAATAAGAAGAATTTACACTAGATTGGTGAGTCGATAAACGTTACATCTTATAAAAGAAACCAATTGTATTAAAGCATATTGTACGATGGTTTAACCGTAAAATAGGTTAGTGACTTTTATCAAAATAGTGTAGGGGGGGGGGCTTTTTCGCTAAATAAAATCGCAATATTACACCGGATTGGTGAGTAAACAACCTTTAGCACTTAGAAAGAAACTAATCGTACTAAAGAGCATTGTACGATTGTGTAACATTTTTAAAAAGCTAGTTACGTTAAATCTCACTATAGAAACTTTGTCTAAGATGGTTGAGAGGTGTGTGTGTGGGGGGGGGGGGGTTGCTTCGCGAACAAAGATCGCAAGTTGTTGTACTGCATTGGTTAGAAGATAACTCTTTTAACACTTAGAAAAGAAAAACTATTGCATTAACGCGTAATGTACAATTGCAATAGCAGTTTTGTTAAGAAATGACGCGACTAGTTCTTTGTGAGGTTCTTACGATTCTCTCAATTTCAACGTGAGAGATCAGATACTTTTACTTGATTGCATTACATCTTGCCTGGATCACTGTATTAATGAGAAATACATATAACGGATTCTTGAATCGCTAATCAATCAGTAAAATAGCATACGGTTGGAGCGGGTTGGCGGAAGACGATACTCTTGCCGAAATTTTAAGAGCTAAAAATATTAGTTTATTGTACCAAATATATCACCTTTTTATTGCTTGTTTCATAAAAAGAACTAATACTGCAGTTTAATATAGTTACGGCTACTAGACCTACTAAACGATGTAAAAAATGGTACGACATCAGCTGATGCTTTGTTACTTGGTTCAACCTAACTGATAATTTCAAACTGTAATACACTATTATCGAAATTATAATAAAGACACGACTAAAAGTAGACCAAATACACTTGTACTTTTTACAAACTACACTCTAAAGCAGTGGTTCTTAGCCTTTTTGAAGGTACCGAGCCCCACCAGTTTCATATACGCCTTCACCGAACCCTTCTTAATAGTTGTATCGTCCACATTGACAAAATGAGATCTAAATCATATGTTGGGTGTGTGTCTTGACCTCCGCCTAAGCTCTGAGACTTACATACCAAACCTCGTGGGTTCTGTCGAACCCAGTTTAAGAACCACTGCTCTAAGCTCTTTTGATTTTCTTCTTTTTATTCGTTTCGGTTTCCTAAGGAGCACAGACGTAGGCGACACTTGTTCAATTCATTTGATTTTTATGAAGATTGAACCTTGATAATCCACCCTCTCTCTATTTCAAAAGAGTTTCTTTAGACATTTTTGTCTCCTTCTCTTCCTCTTTCCCCGTGGACTTTATACCAGCACCTACTTAGTGAAGCTGATTACTGATATTGCGCGATAACCACCACGTTTTCCATGCTTTTATTTCATTCTCCACTGTCTGTAATCTAGCTTCGAGCCATACAGTAAAAGAGACTTCACATTTAGCAATAGATCCTGATTAAATTTTTTTGACAATTCATTTGAATTCCTCATTGGCTTAGAATGTTTAAACTCGTTTTATTGCTGCTGGTTCTAATCAGAAAGTCATGGGCGGTGCCACTGTCATTAAACTGTTTATTACTGTTTCTTCAACCAGTACAATTTGTTCTGCATTTGTTGTTTACTGTGTGCGAGAAGTCAGCGCATGTCTGCGAAATTCAAGACTTCGAGCTGTTTTGTTCGTTGGATTCCAGTATGTTTCTTCTAGCTTGTTTTTTTATACAATCAACCAGTCCAATAAATACCTATGTCGTATTCCAATGCGTACAATAGATGTTACTGATAAGTTGATCTTGTATGTCACTTGTATGACCTTATTCTAACAAACTTATAATCCATGTACCATATCACAACAGAGGTCATTCCAAAAATAGAACATAAAAGGCTGGTCTAAATAAATTACCGCTTGCTACAAACCACCCTCAAACTCAGACCAGGTATATTTTATTTCTGACATTACTAATCTTTTGTAAAAGAAAAACGCATCTTAATGGTAATTTAATTGGCGTCGAGTAAAGTTTTATGGAACGAAAACCATACAACGCAATTATTAAACCTTTTCCGGACTGTCGCACACACCCTTACACACACACACACATACACGTTTACACACACACGTATACATATACACGATTGCTCACACACACGAATACACACAAACACACACACACACACACACATATATATATATATATATATATATATATATATATATATATATATATATATATATATATATATATATATATATATATATATATATATATATATATATATATATATATATATATATATATATATATATATATATATATATATGGATGGGGGTGACCGCTTATATAAAGGTCGCCCCGGGCGCCGGGAAGGGTCGCTACGCCTCTGGTCTAGAGCTGTCTTATTGTGTCGTGCCGTAGTGCCTCTCTAAGTAACCACAGTTTGCTATCGCTAGAACACTAGCTAGATCATTTCAGTTTATCGAACTCTTTGTATCTGTGCTTTTAAAAAATATATTTAAGAAAATGTTATATGTTACACTAGAACGTCCATTGATTAAGAATACTTTTTACTTTCTCGTATATACGAAGTATAGAGAAAGTCTTGTAATCGTGGGAAAAAAAATCGAGATTTTTACAAATCTCGACGTTTTACACCTCACTGATACGGAAAAACATAATTTTGCAATCTTATCCGTATGTCTGTGTGTCTGTGTATGTGTGTGTCTGTGTGTAAACTCGATAACTTGAGTACCGTTACAGCTAGGTTGATGAAATTTCATATATAAGTATTTTATCAAATCGTAGATCCGTATCAACGGTTCCATGAAAAATGATCTCAGGACAAATGATCTCAGACAAAATATCTCAGACAAAATATCTCACGGACAAATGATCTCAGGACAAATGATCTCAGGACAAATGATCTCAGGACAAATGATCTCAAGGACAAATGATCTCAAGGACAAAAGATACCAGGACAAAATATATCAGGACAAATGATATCATGGACAAATGATCTCAGACAAAATATCTCAGACAAAATATCTCACAGCAAAATGTTGATAGTATGTACAATGATTTTAGTTCATTTGAATTTTTTTTTTTAAATTGACTGTCAATATGGTTTTGTTTACTTTCTTTACGCATCATAATTGTGAATAAAATGAATTTGTTAAACTTAACAAACCATCAAAAGATTTAAACTTAATCTTTGTAATGGCATTTGATTTGAAAAAATAAAAATTAAAACAAACTTTCTCCTTTAGCCTGAAAGGTATGATAAATGATAATGTATAAAACAAAGTAACGGTAACTATACAACAATAATGTTTAAAACATGCGAAATATCTTTCAAAAATGTTAATGGGTCTCTAGGTTCGTAACGTAAAATTATTGTTTTTATTGCATGATCAACACAAACATAACGTTTACGTTTCTTTGCTGACAATACATCGTTATGATCACACCTCTTCAATACTATGTGATCATGTATTGTGTGAACTCTTGCTCGACATGTTCTAACACCGCGATGACCGCTGTTTGTCTTAAATAAGCATTTGTGACCTGATTACTAAGGTGTGACCGACGCCTAACTATTGAATTTAGCTATTAGTTGTATTGTTCATGGAGGGCGGATGTCTTTCCCTTAAGGCATGTCTCTACCATCAAAGCGGGCTGCCACCTTGATACGAAGGTGTTTCTCTATTGTTATTTCATCCTCTTTGATCTAGTTTCGTCCACCTGACCTGGTTGGATTGTCTATCGAACAATTTCTTTAATCTTCTATAGTAATAATCCTAATTTAATAATGCAATATACAATTTTAAAAGTGTAATATGATAAATTTATACGGCAAACATTTCTTACAATTATCATATAGGCCTATAAACAATATCAAACATATTAAACAAAACCATACGACAGTTAATAAAAATTGTTCAGATCAACTAAAGTCACCCAATACACTATTAAAATTTAGGTGTGAGATATTTTGTCTGAGATATTTTGTCTGAGATCAATTGTCCGTGGTATCATTTGTCCTGATATATTTTGTCCTGGTATCTTTTGTCCGTGAGATAATTTGTCCTTGAGATCATTTGTCCTGAGATCATTTGTCCGTGAGATATTTTGTCCGTGAGATATTTTGTCTGAGATATTTTGTCTGAGATCAATTGTCCATGGTATCATTTGTCCTGATATATTTTGTCCTGGTATCTTTTGTCCGTGAGATAATTTGTCCTTGAGATCATTTGTCTTGAGATCATTTGTCCTGAGATCATTTGTCCGTGAGATATTTTGTCTGAGATATTTTGTCTGAGATCATTTGTCCTGAGATCATTTGTCCTGTCACCGTATCAACTTTTGAGCGATTTCCAATAACCGAAAATGGTACTTTTTCTACTTTTAATTTTTCAAAAGCTTAATACTGGAGTATTATTTCAGAAAGATAAAGGAAATTTTACATGTAAGTAAAAGATCTAATTCTCTACCTTCTGTCAAATTTTGAGAAATTTCCTTTGATTGAAAGTACTAATTTACGCTATTTCCGATTTCTCAAAAAAGGAATGTAAATTTATAAAGTACTAATAATATTCCGCACTATTATGCACGTTTTATTTGGCGTTCGCTTGGTGCGCAATTTTTTTTTCTACGAGATTCTATTCTATTTTTAAATGTTTAAATAATTAAAAATCATGTCTATATTCCGAGTTATATAAGAATATTCGAGAAAGTTTATGGGAGATCACTTCCGGTTTATTTAAAAGTATAAATAATGTAAACGTAAAATTTGCCGTAAAATTCATACATGCTATATTCGAGTAAACATTGTGTTAGAGATTACTTGAGCAGTCAATGAATAATCCTAACTACTAGGAAAAGATCCATTAGAAGCTTTAAAAGTTGATCAATTCTAGTAGTGAGAGCAATTATTTCAAACGAGAAAAATGGCCCGTTGAGGAAGGGTACAACGGGCGCTAGGTTGATAGTGCTGTCTATTTTCTAGGTACTTTAATTTATACTAAATATAGTCATAGGCATATCCCTAAACCATACACCTAATCTCATTCATGACAAAAGTCGCATTTAGAGTTTCTTTCAGGCAACTCTACTTGGGAGGAGGGGGCTTCGCACCCCCCCTCCCCCCCCCCACACACAACCTCCAAAACATGACTACTGTCCCATTCAACGAAATATTATTATATACTTTTTCCAGTGTCCGCACCCTCCCAGAAAATTCTACCCCCGCGCCCGAAAATTTCAAGTACCCCCACCCCTCTCCGGGGAGGAAAAAGTCTGAAAGAAACACTGGTCGCATTTGTAGATCATACAAACTAAAGGAAGAATCTGGGCGGGGCTTCGCCCCTACCGGAAGTGTTGTTTGAAAAAAAAAACTGCACGCTAAACGCGTTTTAGATTAGAAGAAGTTCCTCCCTCCGAGGAGGAAAAAGTCTGAAAGAAACACTGGTGTCGCGCTTAGCCACTACGCGAAGAATTGCATTAAAGAAATTGCAAGCAAACCACTTTTTAGATTAGACACATTAATTAGGCGGTAATTTTATTATAGAGTATCGATGAGGAAATTTCTTTTGAGTTGGGGAGGGGGGGGGGGGGGCTCAGACGTTCTTACGCGGGGGTGGGGCTTCGCCCCTACCCAAAGAATTGTATGAAAGAAACTCTTCACGCAAACCACTTTTATTAGACAAAATTGCCTTTTTATTCAATGTTTTCTCGAGAATCAATGACGTCATATTACTGTGTGCACTGTCCGGCTTGGTATTATTTTCTACTCTATGCTAAATGTGTCGACGTCATATTTCGTTTTTCGAATTACTATGCATGTTTTTAATTTGCTTGTGTTTTCTCTAGAGCGTTCTTGTCAGATACATAGATACACAGACAGCGAAACTATTAGTATTAATTTTTATTTTTCCGTATGGCCCCACTAAATCATGTGTTTTGTTTATAGAACGGATTACCCTAGCAACACTAAATCGTGTGTAATGTTTATAGAACGGATTATCCTAGCAACACTAAATCATGTGTCATGTTTATACTACGGATTATCCTAGCAACACTAAATCATGTGTCATGTTTATAGAACAGATTATCCTAGCAACACTAAATAATGTGTCATTTTTATAGAACGGATTATCCTAACCACACTATATCATGTTTAATGTTTATACTACCGATTATCCTAGCAACACTAAATCATGTGTCATGTTTATAGAACAGATTATCCTAGCCACACTAAATCATGTGTCATGTTTATACTACGGATTATCCTAGCAACATTAAATCATGTGTCATGTTTATAGAACGGATTATCCTAGCAACACTAAATCATGTGTCACGTTTATACTTCGAATTATCCTAGCAAAACTAAATCATGTGTCATGTTTATAGAACGGATTATCGTAGGCAGTCAAACTTCCGCCTGGCGGTAAAACGCAATTTGTTTGTCACCTTTCAGTCCTGCCTGGAGAATGTCTTTACTGCGTCAAGCCATAGCTCAAGCCAGTTTGGTGTACAAGGCTTTCTCCGCGAGGGTGGGGCAGAAGATGGCGGCGTCTGCTGTCCAGCCGCAGATAAGATCGTCCTCGCGACAGTCTAAAGAGCAGTATAAACAGGAACGCATAGAAAGGTTGAGGAAGGAAATGAGGAACCGCCTGAGGGATCTCGAGAATGATATGAATCTGATCGAGTCTCACAAAGACACGTTAGAAGTGTAAATATCAGCACGTGATGTTAGAAATGTAAATAGTAGCACGTGATGTTAGAAGTGTAAACAGTAGCACGTGATGTTAGAAATGTAAACAGTAGCACGTGATGTTAGAAATGTAAAGAGTAGCACGTGATGTTAGAAATGTAAATAGTAGCACGTGATGTTAGAAATGTAAAGAGTAGCACGTGATGTTAGAAATGTAAAGAGTAGCACGTGATGTTAGAAATGTAAACAGTAGCACGTGATGATAGAAAGGTAAATAGTGGCACGTGATGAAAAAAAGTCTAGAAACAAAATGATGTAAAATAAACTGTTTAAATAATGATGTTGGAGATGTCTATTAAGAAAATGATGTTGGTCTTGATGGGCCTCTGATGCTTGCCGGGATGTATATATATATATATATATATATATATATATATATATATATATATATATATATATATATATATATATATATATATATATATATATATATATATATATATATATATATATATATATATATATATTTAAATTTATTTATTTATAACATATATAATCATATGGGACCCGGACGACGGTTCATTCGGGCATTTATCTGTGTGGAATTTGTCGTAGACCGTCATCACTGAAATAGACTATACTACATATATATGACCACATATTAATAATGCAAAATATATACCGGGACAAATCTCATTTACAAATGAACAATGCACGAACAGAAGGACACATGACAAATATAGACAACCCCAAGTAACTCTAAATACAACACAAAGACGTGAATTGAACAAAACATTAATTTAGCACTTTTGTCATTGCAGATACCCAAATAACGAAAACGCGATAAAGATGATCAGAATAGCACAGAGACGAGTGAGTCACACACGTAGCGTCATGGCTGAGATACAAAAAGAGCTCACGAATCTAGGAGCCTAAGGTTAACTGCAAGGAACATAACGCTCAATAGAAAAACTTGACCAAAACTTTTTCAACGCGCTGGGCTAATGTTTAAATAAATGCCAATCAAACGATTTTAAAAACAAAACGGTGTATTGATGCGGTATTTTGAATTTTTTAAAGGAAAAGTTGGTTTACAAAACATCAGTAACTTGATGCATTAATGATTTGGACATTTCTATTTTAAAATATAGCTCGCTTAATTGTTTCAGTACATCTGATCTGCTCATGCTCCTGCAATAAAATGTAAACAGCAATCAATTGTCTTTGACTGGTTTTTAGTATTACACTAGCCGTCCCGGCCAGGCCCTGCACTGGCCTCTGTGAAAAACCTATCTGTAATGGACCGTGACTTGTGTGTTTAGTAATCAGCATATACCCGGCATTGCTCACCCTAACCACAATCAACCAAAACCAAAACACAAAAAAACCTCAAACATAACACAAACGAAAACAGAAAAACAAATACAAACGAAAACACATATGCAAACACAAACCCAACCACAAACGCAAACCCAACACAAACACAAAGAAAATACAAACATAAACGCAAACAAAAAGCAAACGAAAACAATCCAAATCCAAACACAAACCCAACTACAAACGCAAACCCAACACAAACACAAAGCAAATACAAACGCAAACACTAAAGCAAAGTTCTCACAGTGTAACCCGGGACGCAATATCGCACCATGCCATGGCGCCGACAGAACAGCTTAGGTAACGACTATAGTGCCCCAACTTATTCATAGTCTTTTGCACTCACTTAAACGAACGTAGGCGCCATAACGAACACGGGAAGGTCCCGTGGGCCAAAAAGCACCTTGTCGGAGCGCCGGAGGATGTCTGGATTTGATTCACTTAAAGACTATAGTAACCTTTCTTATCCATGGTCTATCGCATTTTTTGAAACGAAATTATGCACCACAGAGCTCACGGCACCAAATCGAACCCTTCCGCCGGAGCGCCGGCGGACGCGCCTGTTTCAAGTTAGTGAACAATTCTCAAGCTTATCCACAAACGGAAAGAAGTAAGCATAGAGGACATTTAGGAGCTGGTTTCTTAACTGTTATTGATTAAAAAAAGAATTAGTAAACAGTAAATATACAATCAATAAAATGTAGCATTTAAAATACCTACACCATTGCAACCATCGATCATTATGTAATTATTTTTTTCCCAACACCAAAACAAAGTAATAAAAAGTAAATTCTCCCCCCCCCCCCCCCCGATGTGATGATATTTTAAAGGGAAGTAATTGTATTTTCCTAATTTATCAATGAAAGTAATGAGTGCTAAAGGACTAAATGTAAATAATTTCCAGACACAATTAGAATTGTTGTAAAGGGAAATACATTTTCTTTAATTTTGTTTAATGTACATGCAGTCAATTAACACAATAAGTTTAGAAAATGAAAATTGTTTTCTAACACCTTCAATATTAATTTTTTTTTAAATCATTAATTTAGACGATGCGATCGATTGGTACACACACCCCAGCGTTGCTATATCTGTGGCAAGTGTGACAGATATTTCAATGAACCTGAAGATTTCGATCAACACTTGTTAAAACATTTTAAACACAAACCCTTTAAGTGTGAAATGTGTGAGAAGGCTTTTACGTTGAAATGTCATCTTAAAGTGCATATGAGGCTACATACTAGGAATCTTGTTTACAAATGTAATTTATGTAATTATGCAACAAACTTAATGAGTGGGATTTTAGATCACAAAAGAGTTCACATGAATATTAAACCATACAAATGATTATGCTTCTGCTTCTCAAGGTGCTGTTGTGAAGCATATTTGAATACACTCAGAGGAAAAGCCATTTTGTTGTAATTTATGTGATCAAAGGTTTACTGTAAGGACTAATTTACAAAAGCATAAGAAATGTATTCATTTTGTTTAAGTAACTATTGTAACATTTGTATTTAGAAAGAACAGTTGAAATTAAAGCTAAATTTTGTAAAAAATTTCAACCCAAGTTCAATTATTTTCTTGCTTTATTTCTGATGTACGAGTAATTAAAAATAATCTTCTGTTGATATTGCAATTTTGTTATAGTTATAATCTAAATTTGCATTTTTTTTGTTAATAATTTTATTTCTTAAAAGTTAATGCTTGTTTTTCATTATTGATTGTTTATGGCTTACAATTACTAAAGAGTCTAAGATTCTTTTCTTATTAAAATCATACAACAATTTAAAAAAAAAAATAATATTTTTTTGGAATCCGCGGTCCGCGGCCACGTACAGAATTCAACTTTATATATTAGATTAAGTCTATTTTTAGCGCAATTTCCATACGGACAATTGCGATTATTAACTCGTCATTTCTGGATGGATGTGTGTCCCCAGCTTTAAGTCGTATCTCCTCCTCAACGAAGCAATATCGAGGACTAGTTCCAAAGCAAATATGTTAAGCAAGTTCCGAGGATGATTTTGGGCCATAAAATTCCCGGAATTCCTTCCTGGATTTCCCGGAAAAGCCAAAAAACCTCGAAAAAATGCTGTTTTTGGCCCATATCTCGGCAACCAGACCACTTAGCGACTTGAAACATTTACCAATCGATTTCTGCCATAATTTAGAACAATAGTGCCGAAAAAAGTTTTCAAAAATATTCTTTCGTTCGGTCACACATTTTTTTTTTAAATTACATAAACACCTACAAACCGATCGTTCTCCTAGCTTGAACGCACCCCAGCATTATACGTCTTGTGTTTTGTCCCCGTGTGTGCTTTACGCTACGACAGAGCTACGGGTTATGAACATAATACACTACAGTACTATATAACAACATATAGATATAGATCTATGGGGAAAGGGATGTGTCAAAATAATCTATTTTTCGATGTCTTTTAGATCTTGCTATAAGTTTATTTTTTACTTATTAATTCAAACGTTATTTTTATACCCTATTAATTTATTTATAATTTATATGAGAGTGATAGGGAGTTACAATTACAAGGTTTTGTTTCGCTAGGCCTAATCATTTTTTCACATTTTTTAAAAACAAACTTGATCACTATCTATTTTTAGATAACATAAGGAAATTGCGCTTAAATTGTCACTAGACTTTTTATTAACTTGTTTGTTTAGGTTTAAACCTTTTAATTTACATTAATTTAAATATGTTAAATAATACATTTTAAATCAGTTGATTTTATTAGGTTTATTCCCGCTTTTTTTTAAAATGTAAAGAATTTATTATATTTATATGATTGTCTCATAAGGCAGCATATTCTAAGAATGCTTAGATTCTAGACAAAAATAAAACCCCAGGAGTTGTATTTCAGCTGTCAAACAGTGTAAACTATAGTTGCCAGATTTTGAAAACACTTATTTAAAATGCATATTCTGTAGAGAATCAATGCCCACATTCTCTAGACAAAGAGCATCTACAGAAACTACGACTTGTTTTCTGTCTGAATGTGCTTTAATAGCTTTAACTCAACCTCAAGCAATCTGCAGCAGTTGTTTCTTGGTGTAGTTTTTATTCCTAGATAGGTTACTGTCACCAGCTAATTAGTCTCGGTATTCCTGACAAAACTTGTAGGGTTTAATACCTCCAATCAAGTTATTTTTTTCTTCTTCTTCGGTCTTAATTTTTAGTGTTGGAAGCGATCGAGCCTTATCTGCCAGAGGGTTTAAACTCGAGACTTTTTTGAATGAGCTTTTAGCCGACTCGACCACGCCTCCATCACAATTAAGGAAACGTGTCAACTGGTTATACGCCATTGAGGCCATTGACTCCGATTTCGTTTTGGATTTGCTTCCATAGCCTTTGTCCATCCAAGAACAAGCTACAAGGCAGCAGTTGTTAGACTTTGGTGTTGACTCTCCTAGAAAGAGTGGCTGTCCCCAGGTAACGAGCCTCATCTGCCCGAGGTTTCGAACTCGAGACTTTTCGGTATTCAACCATGAGCTTTACCGACTCGAACACGTCGACCCCACCCAATCAAGTTAAGAACCACTGCATTAGACTACACTAGACTATCCGTTATTCTTGAATAAACGTGTGTTTCGGGGAGGGGGGGGGGGCATCCATAAATGACGTCATGACGATTTTTATCTTTCCCCTTCCCATTGTCAACCATTTTCACAAAAAAGTCAGACCATACATTAAAAAAGACATCACACCTCGGGCAACGTGTTATTGTTTTTACTTTCTCGTATATACTAAGTATAGAGAAAGTCTTGTAATCGTGCAGAAAAAATAAATAAACCGGGAGTGATCTCCCCTAAACTTTCTCAAATATTCTAATATAACACTAAGGGCGATGGCAACTCGGGACAGACAATATTTTAAAATCCATTTTTTTTTTTGAGAAATCGGAAATAGTGAAAATTACTGCTTCCGGTCAACGGAAATTACTCAAAATTTGAAAGAAGGTAGAGAATTAGATTTTTTACTTATATGTGAAATTTCAGTTATCTATCTGAAATAGTACTCAATTTATAGGCTTTTGGAAAAATTCAAAGTAGAAAAAGTACCACTTCCGGTTATCGGAAATCGCTCTATCGGATCTACGATTTAGATAAAATACTTATATATGAAATTTCATCAACCTAGCTGTAACGGTACTCAAGTTATCGTGTTTACACACACACACAGACACACAGACACACAGACACACAGACATGATTGCAAAATCTTGAGTGGTAGGCCTACTTGATGTAGTGTTCAATATGAGGAATGTAGTTATAAGGTTTTTGTTTTTTATCTCTCTCTTTCCTTTATAGTCATTTAAATTGTTGTTTATTATTATACACTTAAAGACAATTATTTATTTTGAACTTTAATATCTAAAAGCTTGATATTAAAAAACAAGGTAATTAAAAAGTCTAGTGACAATTTTAGCGCAATTTCCTTATGTTATCTAAAAATAGCTCTGTCGTAGCGTAAATCAAGAGCATGGTTAGTAAAACCATTGGTTAAAATACATGTTTTATTTACAATAGAGTTACATGACTAAAAACCATTGCGCGCCTAGCTACCGAACGTGATGTCGCAGCCATTGAACGTGATGGCGCAGCTATTGAACGTGATGACGCGTGTGGTGTGGTTGGATAAAAATGCCTACTAATTCGGTCCAAATTTTAATTAATTCAAAAAAATTTTTTGTGACCGAACGAAAGGATATTTTTGAAAACTTTCTTCGGCAATATTGTTCTAAATTATGGCAGGAAGCTATTGGTATATGTTTCAAGTCGCTAAGTGGTCTGGTTGCCGAGATATGGGCCAAAAACAGCATTTTTCCGAGGTTTTTTAGCTTTTCCGGGAAATCCATGAAAGAAACCCGGAATTTTTATGGCCTATGTTCATCCTCGTAACTCGTTTAACATAATTGCTTTTGGAACTAGTCCTCGATATTGAGGAGGAGATACGACTTAAAGCTGCGGACACACATCCATCCATCCATTCATTCATTCATTCATACATCCAGAAATGACGAGTTAATAAACGCAATTCTCCAGAATGGAAATTGCGCTAAAAATTGAATTATTTTGATAGTAGATTTCTAAGAATTTTCTTCAGATTAAAATTTTTTTGAAGATTTTACTGGGGCTTAATTCGTGTATTTTAGGTTATGTTCCCTTTTAGTCTTAAAACCTAGCGCAACTTTAAGTTTAATATCCAAGTTTAGTTTTTTTTGTTTTGTTTAGAAGTGAGTTTTGATTTATTTTTAATAGCCAGTAATTTAAACTTTTTGATGCAATAGTCACATTTGTAACCTCAATAGTAATGAAGATAATTTTTCCACAAAGTCATCTACAACGACAAGGAAAGATTATCTTATTTTAATTGATTAAGTATTATTGTATTCACTTAGTTATTAAAATAAAAAATGAAACTTTAAAAAATAATCCTCTCTCTTTTACGATTGTAGGCCTCGCTCAATTTGTTGTATATATCCTATATGTGTGCAGTTAAGGCGTATAAAAAGTTTTTAAAAATACACTTTTAATCAAATTTTTTTTCTTAAAGCACACGAAAAGTTAGTTGTGGAAACTCCTAACTCAGTTTAGGGGTCATCAATAAATGAAGTCACGCATTTTTGGACGATTTTTACCTCCCCCCTTCCCCTCCGTCACAGGTCGTCAAAAAAAGCCAGACCCCCCCCCCCCTAAAATGACGTCACACCTCAGCCTGCAACCACCCCCCCCCCCTCAAAATTGCTGTTGAATTTTTTCCAAAATCTTGTCAGAACTCTGTCAACATAGAGTATTTTGATCAATTCCTATTACAATTTATTAAAACTGTTTTCTAAAACGTGAAATAACGGCTAAAACTCGTTTTCTAATATTGCCTTTTTATAATGCAAAAAAGTGACGTCACACACTTCACAAAATTACGACCCACCCCTCCCCCCTACGAGTGTAACGTCATTTATGGACGACCCCTTAGATCAAACCACATACTTTTCAAACGGAAACAGCCAAACATATGGAACAATATCTACACATTTGGTAATTTTTTTAATTTTCTCAACAAACTTAACAGACAAACACAAACATGGGGGGTCAGTACAGGGGGTAACACAGGGGTCAGGGCGGGTTCAACACTTCTTTTCTGAGTGGATTTGAAATAAGACGTTCATCTCGATGAGAATGACGAAGGTGATTATCACAAAGTAGACGATAAGGGTGATGACCCCGTAAATAGGGGTCAAGGTCCAGTTGACACATTGCATGGACATCCACAGGTAGGCGATGGTCAGAAATAGGGTCAAGGTTGCGTAGACCATGCCGTCACTACTGATAGGCGTACCGCCTTTGTTAAATGCTGCTGCGTCGATTAACCAAGGCACGCCTGGGGAAAAAATGAAAGTAACAATAACAGTTTACAATGAGGGATAGGTATTGAACAATTACAGTTTACAATGAGAGATAGGTATTGAACAATAACAGTTTACAATGAGAGATAGGTATTGAACAATAACAGTTTACAATGAGAGATAGGTATTGAACAATAACAGTTTACAATGAGAGATAGGTATTGAACAATAACAGTTTACAATGAGAGATAGGTATTGAACAATAACAGTTTACAATGAGAGATAGGTATTGAACAATAACAGTTTACAATGAGAGATAGGTATTGAACAATAACAGTTTACAATGAGAGATAGGTATTGAACAATAACAGTTTACAATGAGAGATAGGTATTGAACAATAACAGTTTACAATGAGGGATAGGTATTTAACTTTAACAGTTCACGATTAGAGATTGGTAATTAACAATAACTGTACACACTAAGAGCTAGGTAATTATCAATAACAGTTCACAATTTGAAATAGGTATTTAACGCGTCTTGTTGAAAAACGCTTTAATTAAACGTTGACACCAATTTAAAAAAAAAAAAACTACATTGTTTAAAAATACATTAAAAAACTACATTGTTTAAAAATACATTAAAAAAACAACATTGTTTAAAAATACATTAAAAAAACACTTACAGAAAAACTACATTGGAAGAAATCTACATGGTTTATAAATAGCTAGAATCACTCACAAATTAAACAGTGTACTCAGTACCTACCAAGGCACAGTAAAATGTCAAATACATTACTCCCTATAGCGTTAGAGACTGCCATATCGCCGTAACCTGGTCAAAAAAAAAAACCTCACGAGTTTTTTAGGGAGTCATAGACAGTTGACAAATTTTCAAAACACTTATTTTTAAAGCATATTGTATAAACGACAACATTATAGAAATAAGGTAAAAACACAACAAGTGCATTTTCTCATTAGTATATTGTAAATTATACCACATGACAACCTACTAACAACAAACAGAAGACAACCTACTACCAACAAACTGAAGACACTCTACTACCAACAAACAGAAGACAACCTACTACCAACAATCAGAAGACAACCTACTACCAACAAACAGAAGACAACCTACTACCAACAAACAGAAGACAACCTACTACCAACAAAAAGAACACAACCTGCTACCAACAAACAGAAGACAACCTACTACCAACAATCAGAAGACAACCTACCACCAACAAACAGAAGACAACCTACTACCAACAAACAGAAGACAACCTACTACCATCAAACAGAAGACAACCTACTAACAACAAACAGAAGACAACCTACTAGAAACAAACAGAAGACAACCTACTACCAACAAACAGTAAACAACCTACTACCAACAAACAGAAGATAACCTACCACCAACAAACAGAAGACAACCTACCACCAACAAACAGAAGACAACCTACCACCAACAAACAGAAGACAACCTACTACCAACAAACAGAAGACAACCTACCACCAATAAACAGAAGACAACCTACCACCAACAAACAGAAGACAACCTACCACCAACAAACAGAAGACAACCTACTACCAACAAACAGAAGACAACCTACCACCAACAAACAGAAGACAACCTACTACCAACAAACAGAAGACAACCTACCACCAACAAACAGAAGACAACCTACCACCAACAAACAGAAGACAACCTACTACCAACAAACAGAAGACAACCTACCACCAACAAACAGAAGACAACCTACAACCAACAAACAGAAGACAACCTACTAACAACAAACAGAAGACAACCTACTAGAAACAAACAGAAGACAACCTACTACCAACAAACAGAAAACAACCTACTACCAACAAACAGCAAACAACCTACTACCAACAAACAGCAAACAACCTACTACCAACAAACAGAAGACACCCTACTACAAACAAACAGAAAACAACCTACTACCAAAAAACAGAAAACAACCTACCACCAACAAACAGAAGACAACCTACTACCAACAAACAGAAGACAACCTACTACCAACAAACAGAAGACAACCTACTACCAACAAACAGAAAACAACCTACTTCCAACAAACAAAAGACACCCTACTACCAACAAACAGAAAACAACCTACTACCAACAAACAGCAAACAACCTACCACCAACAAACAGAAGACAACCTACTACCAACAAACAGAAGACAACCTACCACCAACAAACAGAAGACACCCTACTACCAACTTTCAGAAGACAACCTACTACCAACAAACAGAAGACAACCTACTACCAACAAACAGAAGACAACCTACTACCAACAAACAGAAGACAACCTATTACCAACAAACAGAAGACAACCTACTACCAACAAACAGAAGACAACCTACCACCAACAAACAGAAGACAACCTACCACCAACAAACAGAAGACAACCTACTACCAACAAACAGAAGACAACCTACCACCAACAAACAGAAGACAACCTACTACCAACAAACAGAAGACAACCTACTAACAACAAACAGAAGACAACCTACTAGAAACAAACAGAAGACAACCTACTACCAACAAACAGAAAACAACCTACTACCAACAAACAGCAAACAACCTACCACCAACAAACAGAAGACAACCTACCACCAACAAACAGAAGACAACCTACTACCAACAAACAGAAGACAACCTACCACCAACAAACAGAAGACAACCTACTACCAACAAACAGAAGACAACCTACTAACAACAAACAGAAGACAACCTACTAGAAACAAACAGAAGACAACCTACTACCAACAAACAGAAAACAACCTACTACCAACAAACAGAAGACAACCTACCACCAACAAACAGAAGACAACCTACTACCAACAAACAGAAAACAACCTACTACCAACAAACAGCAAACAACCTACTACCAACAAACAGAAGACAACCTACTACCAACAAACAGAAGACAACCTACTACCAACAAACAGAAGACAACCTACTAGAAACAAACAGAAGACAACCTACTACCAACAAACAGAAAACAACCTACTACCAACAAACAGAAGACAACCTACTACCAACAAACAGAAGACAACCTACCACCAACAAAAAGAAGACAACCTACTTCCAACAAACAAAAGACACCCTACTACCAACAAACAGAAAACAACCTACTACCAACAAACAGCAAACATTCTACCACCAACAAACAGAAGACAACCTACCACCAACAAACAGAAGACACCCTACTACCAACTTTCAGAAGACAACCTACTACCAACAAACAGAAGGCAACCTACTACCAACAAACAGAAGACAACCTACCACCAACAAACAGAAGACAACCTACTACCAACAAACAGCAAACAACCTACCACCAACAAACAGAAGACAACCTACTACCAACAAACAGAAGACAACCTACCACCAACAAACAGAAGACACCCTACTACCAACTTTCAGAAGACAACCTACCACCAACAAACAGAAGACAACCTACTACCAACAAACAGAAGACAACCTACCACCAATAAACAGAAGACAATCTACCACCAACAAACAGAAGACAACCTACTACCAACAAACAGAAGACAACCTACCACCAACAAACAGAAGACAACCTACTACCAACAAACAGAAGACACCCTTCTACCAACTTTCAGAAGACAACCTACTACCAACAAACAGAAGACAACCTACTACCAACAAACAGAAGACAACCTACTAGAAACAAACAGAAGACACCCTACTACCCACTTTCAGAAGACAACCTACCACCAACAAACAGAAGACAACCTACTACCAACAAGCAGAAGACAACCTACCACCAACATACAGAAGACACCCTACTACCAACTTTCAGAAGACAACCTACCACCAACAAACAGAAGACAACCTACTACCAACAAACAGAAGACAACCTACCACCAATAAACAGAAGACAATCTACCACCAACAAACAGAAGACAACCTACTACCAACAAACAGAAGACAACCTACCACCAACAAACAGAAGACAACCTACTACCAACAAACAGAAGACAACCTACTACCAACAAACAGAAGACAACCTACCACCAACAAACAGAAGACAACCTACCACCAACAAACAGAAGACAACCTACTACCAACAAAGAGAAGACAACCTACCACCAACAAACAGATTGACAACCTACTACCAACAAACAGAAGACAACCTACTACCAACAAACAGAAGACAACCTACTACCAACAAACAGAATACAACCTACTACCAACAAACAGAAGACAACCTACTACCAACAAACAGAAGACAACCTACTACCAACAAACAGAAGACAACCTACTACCAACAAACAGAAGACAACCTATTACCAACAAACAGAAGACAACCTACCACCAACAAACAGAAGACAACCTACTACCAACAAACAGAAGACAACCTACTACCAACAAACAGAAGACAACCTACTACAAACAAACAGAAGACAACCTACTACCAACAAACAGAAGACAACCTACTACCAACAAACAGAAGACAACCTATTACCAACAAACAGAAGACAACCTACCACCAACAAACAGAAGACAACCTACTACCAACAAACAGAAGACAACCTACTACCAACAAACAGAAGACAACCTACTACCAACAAACAGAAGACAACCTACCATCTCTGGCAACAAAGACACTGGACAACAAATCTGGAACACTAGTTCCTGCAGCTAAAACAGTCAGACCAGTGATTGTTTCTGGAATCTTCCAGACACTACCTGTAAAAAAAAAACATCACATCTATTCCTAAAACAAAACCCAGTAAAGCACCTTTAATTCTTTTCAGATCAGCTTCAATTTATTTAAAAATTAACACAAACGTAGAAATAGATCTCGTCTAATAAATTTTAATAAATAACAAGGTTTGGCAAAAAAAATAATTGCTTATTTAATTTCATGTAAAAGAAATTGTAATATAGAGTGAAGATGGGGAGAGATAATGTGACGTGGTCGGATTGTAGATAGCTGGACTGCTAACACGAAAGCATTGAGTTTGGATCTGGGTTTGGACTTGAGTCTGTAGGACATCCTTTGGCCCACCCAGCTCTGATGGGTACCTGACATAATTCGTGGCTGGACTTTGTGCTGACAACACCATCTCTTTAAATACCAAATTAAAAAACACATAGACTCTGCTTCATCTGCTTTAAGGATCGTTAGGTCTGAAGGTTAAACTAGGTGGGTAGAGATAGGACAGACGATTCCCACTATGATGACCATACAAGAAGTGCACTCAACATTTAAGGTCAGATGGATAGGGGACAGATGGTGAGCACTTGGTTACTTGTAGGCGCAGCGGATACCATCAGGATGGGTCATGCCACTACAAAATAGTGGCCTACCATCAGGGTGGGTAATATACGGAGCCACTACACAAACAGAAAGGGTCATGTATGGAGCCACTACAAGATAGTGGCCTACCCTCAGGATGGGTCATGTATGGAGCCACTACCTATTTGTGGCCACGCCCAGTTAAGTATTGCAATCTGGAAGTGGTGGCCCATTCTCCATCATGAGAGACTGAAGATGATGATGAATGACTGAACTACTCCCTATATCAACTCACAGGTTCCTAATCTATGGGTTACAATCCCCAGAGAGGGCGGCGGTTGTCGGGGGGTAACAACTTTTAACTAAACCACGCCTCCTCCGAAACCACGCCCCACCACGTAGCCACGCCTTTCATCATGACAAACCTGCTAATGAAATCATCCAAACCATGATGTAGCTGTACAGAGCAATGTATACAACGGACATCATGAAGGATATCAAATACAGCTTGCCCTGCCACGTATCCTGAAATATTTCAGAAAAAAAAAACAACAACAGTTGAATGCACTATACACTAATGGCATTGAGACACCATCTATATATATATATAATTCTCTTAATGGTGACCATGGGAGACACCACCACGTACATGCACGCTCTCTAGGCATATAGCTATCACCCCACCCCCACCATTCTGGTGAGCTAAGGTTCACCCCGAATGTTTACAATTGTAGAGCTGGTTCGAATAAGTAACGGCAGATAATGTAGCTTTTAAACGATTTGAAATTAAGGATAGGTAAGAAGTTCTGCTTGATCTTCTCATTTTGTCGTCCGTAAACTGTCGTCACTGTTGCTGTTTTAACGGGGGTGGGGGGGAGGGGAAATGGAAGGAGGGTAGTGTCGAATTCACTAACTATGAAGTTCTGAAAATTAGAAAATAAAAACAACTAAATAGCGGCGTATTAAATAATAAGTCAGTTACTAGAAATTTCTCTCAACGTTTATCATACCATGTTGAATTGGAAAACCAAAAACTAAATGACCACGAACTTGTTTATAGAGGAGATTTTAGTTCTCATTAGAAATATTTAATTAATATGAAGAATTTATTTTTCTCGTGGGGGAGTCGTTAAAATAGTTGAATTTTAAAGCCATCTGCTGTTGGGTAATCGGCATTCAACAATCCGTCTCCAGGTTGCAATCTTTCTAAGCGCTAAAACCTAAGCAATATCCACATAAAAAGAAGCCATTCTTCACACCCATAAAGAATCTTCTTTAGACCTAGCGATCCATTGGGCAGATGAAGTAGAGTTCTTATATTTCTTGACCTCGGCATTTGAATAGAAAGTGTGATCAGCACTATGCCCAGTCGACTTTACTTTCCCTAACAAAAGTTAAGTACCCATCCAGTGGCGTAGCGAGGTCGGGTGTCACCCGGTGCGGCACTTAATGGTGTCACCCCCCCCCAGAGGCGTAGCGACCCTTCCCGGGGACAAACTTTCAAATTTTCGATTTGCACCCCCCCCCCCTCAAACTTTCGATTTGCGCCCCCCCCCCCCCCCCTCAAGTTTTTCACTATATATTTTGCTATTTTTTGCCTTGGTGTCACCCCCCTAAATGGTGTCACTCGGTGCGGTCCGCACCCCCCGCCCCCCCCCCCTCGCTACGCCCCTGTACCCATCAGAGCTGGGTTGACTCAGGGACGTTCTACTGACTTTGACCGGGATTCGAAATCGAGACATTCGGGTTAGCATCCTAGCGCTATACCGTTTATAGTTTTAGATACCCATGCCTGAAGTTATAGATGAAAATGTATGCGGGGGCTATGCATCATACCATACATTAAGGCTGAACCGGGCTGAATGACTGTCATGTCGAACGAATATTGTATATCTTGTTTAATAAGAAACACATCTTACGACCTCTACAATTCTCAGGGCCTATTCCTGTAACCTAGTATGGTGTGATCGGATGGTAGAGCACATTGCTGCTAACGTGAAAGTCTTGAGTTCGGATTCCAAGCACGTCCATGGTCTACCCAGCGACTAACTCACGTGATGTGAAGTAAAGTTGGCTAGACACAGAACTGACCCGTCTTCCCTTGTATCACGAGGTCAACTAACGTGATCTCTACATCTGAACTTGAGGGGCGGAGTGGTCTAGCAGAGTAGACTGCTAACACGTGTGTCTCGAGTTTTAAGCCGGGTTCAAGTCAGTAGACCGTCCCTGAGTCCACCCAACTCTGATGGGTTCCTAACTCACGTTAGGGAAAGTAAAGGCGGCTGGGCATAGTGCTGACGACACTATCTCTTCATATGCCGAGGTCACAGAAACAAGTGAACTCTACTTCACATGCCAGATAGACCGTGAAGTTTGAAAAGGGAACTTTACTTTTTACTACATCTGAACTTGAATCTCTAAAAAGTCACGTTACTATTTTTTGTAGCCGGATGGACTTCCTATTTACCCGACCCCTGCCCCCCCCCCCCCTCCCTAACGTGACGGCATCACTCACCACCAGCCGACTGTCTGGAATCGTATAGACGTGAAGCAGCGTCACCGGAAGTATGAAAATGTAGTAGCACCGCCCCATAAACGATGCCGGAAATTCCAGAGGGTTCTCATAAGCGCTGACTTCGACTGTGGACAAAAGCAAAACTTGGATTACGATCATCACTGCAGTGAACAAAACACTCAACGGCTTAATTTTAATTTATTACAACACTATATTAAAATATTTTGTATTTTTCCATTGTTCAGGATGTCTTCCCTATGCACAGAGTTCCTCAAAAAAAAAAAAAAAAAAAAAAATCTATGCAGTTTCGGGTTATTTTTCTTGATATATTTTTCTTGTCATGTTCATTGAAACCAAACAAGGTCGCGATCTAGAAGTCACAAGGTCATTGGATTTTCTTTACAGCTGACATACTTCTTGTGTTTAAACCTGGTCCAGCTACTTGAGACACGCTACTACTAGAAAAAGTGTTAAGCTATTGTCTACACTGTTTGCAGACTCAAGGTACACACCTTTCATATACTTTTTATCGATAGCCTCTTGAACACTACCCGGTGCGGATCCGGAGCCCTCCTGAACTACACCTAGCGTCCCAGTCGCAGGAATAGAACAATACAAATATCAACAAGGTGGGGCCAGTCCAAAGTGCTCATTTATTTTTAGCCCGAGTTCTAGTGGCTTAATTTGCATTGAGTTTATGTTGGTGTTTAAGCATCTTACATATTATTACATAGTTATTTATTTTCTGAATAAAAGAAAGGTTAACATATATGTATATATAAATAATATTTAATATACAGATTGCCAGAATAATAAGTTTCATAAGTGGCCAGATAAAATATACTTTCAGATGTAACATAAAAAACAGAGTGGTCACATAAAATAAGTTTTAAGAATTTTTTAATAAATTAAAAATATTCAAATACTCTATATGAGTGACTATCGTTTTTTTTCAATAGCTTGACAACAAAACAGAACACATATACTATACGCATAGCCAAAAAATATAATGAATAAACCGGGAGTGATATCCCATAAACTTTCTCGAATATTCTTATGTAACTTGGAATATAGACATGATTTTTAATTACTTAAACTTTTAAAAATAGAATAGAATCTCATAGAAAATAGAATTGCGCACCAAGCGAACGCCAAAACAAAATGTGCATAATAGTGCGCAATATTATTAGTACTTTAAAAATTTACATGCGTTTTTTGAGAAATCGGAAATAGCGTAAATTAGTACTTCCGGTCAACGGAAATTACTCATAATTTGACAGAAGGTAGAGAATTAGATTTTTTACTTACTTGTGAAATTTCATTTATCTATCTAAAATAGTACTCAAGTTATAGGCTTTTGAAAAATTCAAAGTAGAAAAAGTACCACTTCCGGTTATCGGAAATCGCACAAAAGTTGATGCGGATCTACGATTTCGGTAAAATACTTATATATGAAATTTCATCAACCTAGCTGTAACGGTACTCAAGTAATCGTGTTTACACACAGACAGACAGACACACACACACAGACACACAGACATACGGACAAGATTGCAAAATTATGTTTTTCCGTATCAGTGAGGTGTAAAATCTCGATTTTTTTTTGCACGGTTACAAGACTTTCTCTATACTCCGTATATACGAGAAAGTAAAAAAGCGAGAGTCGGTGCCCAAATTTTCTAGACAAAGAGCATTTATAGAAGCTTTAAATCCTTATTAATCATAAGACCATCCGCCTGGAAGTGAAATTAAACCAATGTTCTCAAGACAAAGGGCATTCTATAAAAACTTCACATCTTTACTACTAATTAGACCATTCTATAAAAACTTCAAATCATTACTGCTCATAAGACCATTCTATAAAAACTTCAAATCATTACTGCTCATTAGACCATTCTATAAAAACTTCAAATCATTACTGCTCATTAGACCATTCTATAGAAACTTCAAATCATTACTGCTCATAAGACCATTCTATACAAACTTCAAATCATTACTGCTCATTAGACCATTCTATAAAAACTTCAAATCATTACAGTTTATTAGACCATTCTATAAAAACTTCAAATCATTACTGCTTATTAGACCATTCTATAGAAACTTCACATCCTTATTACTAATTAGACCATTCTATAGAAACTTCAAATCATTACTGCTCATTAGACCAATCTATAGAAACTTCACATCCTTATTACTAATTAGACCATTCTATAGAAACTTCAAATCATTACTGCTCATAAGACCATTGTATAAAAACTTCAAATCATTACTGCTCATAAGACCATTGTATAAAAACTTCAAACCACTACTGCTCATTAGACCATTCTATAGAAACTTCACATCCTTATTACTAATTAGACCATTCTATAGAAACTTCAAATCATTACTGCTCATTAGACCAATCTATAGAAACTTCACATCCTTATTACTAATTAGACCATTCTATAGAAACTTCAAATCATTACTGCTCATAAGACCATTCTATAAAAACTTCATATCACTACTACTAATTAGACCATTCTTTAGAAACATTAAATCACTACTGCTCATTAGACCATCGACCTGGACGTGAAACTAGACCACATGTTTTTACCACGAGGACAGTGGTGTAGAATTTGACATGTAATTAAAGATCTAGCATCGCCTACATAATAAACATCTGGCCTTAAAGATTAACTATCAGCTAGTAACACAGCACATGATTATAAAGCGTGTGGTTAACTATCAGCTAGTAACACAGCACATGATTATAAAGCGTGTGGTTCGAAAGTACTTTGTCACACAGCACGTAGTAAAAAAGCACATACACACAATGCGTATAGTTACAAAGCACGTATATACAATGCGTGTAGTTCCAAAGCACGTATATACAATGCGTGTAGTTACAAAGCACGTATATACAATGCGTGTAGTTACAAAGCACGTATATACAATGCGTGTAGTTACAAAGCACATACACACAAAGCGTGTAGTTACAAAGCACGTATATACAATGCGTGTAGTTACAAAGAACGTAGCAACAAAGCACGAATTTAGAAACATACGTCAAGTCAGGACGAGTTTCGCTAGAGAGATACAACCTACTCAATGTGGTCCCTATCAAAAAATTGCACAAGAGAAGACACAACGTATCAACGTATTTCTTTGCAGGAATGATACATAAACATAATGGAAATATTCCTTGATTTTATGTAAATCGACATGTAAAATTAACTGATACTTGTTTTCTACTTAGATTTACGAACGTGATTTACTGATCTAATCCTTGATATCTACATATTAACGACACAAAGAATCAATTGAGCTAATCCTTGATATCAGAACACTAATAAAATAAAGAAATGACTGACATAATCCTTGATATATTCACACTAACGATACAAAGAATTGACTGACCTAATCCTTTATATCTTCACACAAAGAATTCACTGACCTAGCCCTTGATATATGACGAGACAGACAAACCAAATAAAACGAGAACGGAAAACCGAAGGTTTTAAAAAATAAAATTACTTTTATCTTTTCTATCGTCTTCCTCTTCATTAGCCACCTCTTGCTCCTGATCCTGAACGACCAACGTCTCTAAGTGCTCTTCCGACATCTCTTTCTTGTCAATGCTGGTACCATCAGATTCATCCGGTTTCTCCGAGGGAACCTTCACAACCTTGACCTTGGGCAAGTCTAGCTTCTCCATCTTCTGGCTGCCCTGGCTACTCTCCTGGTACAAGGAGCCCCCGATAGACTGTCTGATGCGGGTGATCACCTCGTTATTAGACATGCCCATCTTCTCCACCTCTCGCATGCCAGACTTTGTCAGTGGGGTCTCAAGTTCCATCAACGGTTTGATGGTGCCAGCAATGCGGCTGTGTCGTCTTGCTTCCATCATCACCAAGCGGTTGTTGCTGAGAGATGGATATAGAGAGTAAGAGAACTTAGTCTAGTGGAATCTATAATGTATGATGGGTGGATGTAGAGAGTATGAAAACTTAGCCTAGTGGAATCTATAAGGTTTGATGGGTTAAAAGAGAAAATATGAGATCTCAGCCTCGATTAATCTATATGGTTTGATGGGTTGCTATAGAGAATATGAGATCTCAGCCTCGATTAATCTATATGGTTTGATGGGTTGCTATAGAGAATATGAGATCTCAGCCTCGATTAATCTATATGGTTTGATGGGTTGCTATAGAGAATATGAGATCTCAGCCTCGATTAATCTATATGGTTTGATGGTTGCTATAGAGAATATGAGATCTCAGCCTCGATTAATCTATAGGGTTTGATGGTTGCATTAGAGAATATGAGATCTCAGCCTCGATTAATCTATATGGTTTGATGGGTTGCTATAGAGAATATGAGATCTCAGCCTCGATTAATCTATATGGTTTGATGGGTTGCTATAGAGAATATGAGATCTCAGCCTCGATTAATCTATATGGTTTGATGGGTTGCTATAGAGAATATGAGATCTCAGCCTCGATTAATCTATATGGTTTGATGGGTTGCTATAGAGAATATGAGATCTCAGCCTCGATTAATCTATATGGTTTGATGGGTTGCTATAGAGAATATGAGATCTCAGCCTCGATTAATCTATATGGTTTGATGGGTTGCTATAGAGAATATGAGATCTCAGCCTCGATTAATCTATATGGTTTGATGGGTTGCTATAGAGAATATGAGATCTCAGCCTCGATTAATCTATATGGTTTGATGGGTTGCTATAGAGAATATGAGATCTCAGCCTCGATTAATCTATATGGTTTGATGGTTGCTATAGAGAATATGAGATCTCAGCCTCGATTAATCTATATGGTTTGATGGGTTGCTATAGAGAATATGAGATCTCAGCCTCGATTAATCTATATGGTTTGATGGGTTGCTATAGAGAATATGAGATCTCAGCCTCGATTAATCTATATGGTTTAATGGGTTGCTATAGAGAATATGAGATCTCAGCCTCGATTAATCTATATGGTTTGATGGGTTGCTATAGAGAATATGAGATCTCAGCCTCGATTAATCTATATGGTTTGATGGGTTGCTATAGAGAATATGAGATCTCAGCCTCGATTAATCTATATGGTTTGATGGGTTGCTATAGAGAATATGAGATCTCAGCCTCGATTAATCTATATGGTTTGATGGTTGCTATAGAGAATATGAGATCTCAGCCTCGATTAATCTATATGGTTTGATGGGTTGCTATAGAGAATATGAGATCTCAGCCTCGATTAATCTATATGGTTTGATGGGTTGCTATAGAGAATATGAGATCTCAGCCTCGATTAATCTATATGGTTTGATGGGTTGCTATAGAGAATATGAGATCTCAGCCTCGATTAATCTATATGGTTTGATGGTTGCTATAGAGAATATGAGATCTCAGCCTCGATTAATCTATATGGTTTGATGGGTTGCTATAGAGAATATGAGATCTCAGCCTCGATTAATCTATATGGTTTGATGGGTTGCTATAGAGAATATGAGATCTCAGCCTCGATTAATCTATATGGTTTAATGGGTTGCTATAGAGAATATGAGATCTCAGCCTCGATTAATCTATATGGTTTGATGGGTTGCTATAGAGAATATGAGATCTCAGCCTCGATTAATCTATATGGTTTGATGGGTTGCTATAGAGAATATGAGATCTCAGCCTCGATTAATCTATATGGTTTGATGGGTTGCTATAGAGAATATGAGATCTCAGCCTCGATTAATCTATATGGTTTGATGGTTGCTATAGAGAATATGAGATCTCAGCCTCGATTAATCTATATGGTTTGATGGGTTGCTATAGAGAATATGAGATCTCAGCCTCGATTAATCTATATGGTTTGATGGGTTGCTATAGAGAATATGAGATCTCAGCCTCGATTAATCTATATGGTTTGATGGGTTGCTATAGAGAATATGAGATCTCAGCCTCGATTAATCTATATGGTTTGATGGTTGCTATAGAGAATATGAGATCTCAGCCTCGATTAATCTATATGGTTTGATGGGTTGCTATAGAGAATATGAGATCTCAGCCTCGATTAATCTATATGGTTTGATGGGTTGCTATAGAGAATATGAGATCTCAGCCTCGATTAATCTATATGGTTTAATGGGTTGCTATAGAGAATATGAGATCTCAGCCTCGATTAATCTATATGGTTTGATGGGTTGCTATAGAGAATATGAGATCTCAGCCTCGATTAATCTATATGGTTTGATGGGTTGCTATAGAGAATATGAGATCTCAGCCTCGATTAATCTATATGGTTTGATGGGTTGCTATAGAGAATATGAGATCTCAGCCTCGATTAATCTATATGGTTTGATGGTTGCTATAGAGAATATGAGATCTCAGCCTCGATTAATCTATATGGTTTGATGGGTTGCTATAGAGAATATGAGATCTCAGCCTCGATTAATCTATATGGTTTGATGGGTTGCTATAGAGAATATGAGATCTCAGCCTCGATTAATCTATATGGTTTGATGGGTTGCTATAGAGAATATGAGATCTCAGCCTCGATTAATCTATATGGTTTGATGGGTTGCTATAGAGAATATGAGATCTCAGCCTCGATTAATCTATATGGTTTGATGGGTTGCTATAGAGAATATGAGATCTCAGCCTCGATTAATCTATATGGTTTGATGGGTTGAACAAGAGAACTTGAGATGCCAGACCACTATTTTGCTTCTACAAAACAACTGTTTTCTTGTATTGACTTTTGTTAACATAACTGATACTATATAATCATGCTAAAATCGTAAAAAGTTAAACAAAAAAAAGAAAAATATGGCAAGCGATAAAATTATTGTGACATCGTTTCAAATTTCAGCTATTTGGGATTCATCGATTGCATTCATTTTTCAATTGGAATTTTAGAATTATTTTATTGATTCAAATATTTAAAAAAAAACGTTCTATAATTCTCACTGAGTCAACCGGAGTTGCCTTGGAAAAGTAACACAATGAAAATCACAACAACTGTTTTACTAGAAAAACAAAATGGCGAACTATAATTCTAAGATGTTATATTATTAATAATTACATGTTTGAATATTTCTAGCCTTAATAAAATAGGTTGTAGTTGTGTACCTATTTCACATTTTTTTTTTAAATGTTCAATTTTGTTTGAAAAATAAGCTTTCTGGCATTTGCACTTTTAAACCAAATTTCTAGCCTATTTTGATATATTTTTATAATTTAATTAAATTTTCTAGTCTTCTTCTCCTGCTTTTTTCCCACTTGTAATATAATTGTAATATTGAACGTGATTTTCATTCGATACAATTAAGTATAATGTGTCAACCTGTGATGTGCTATATTGGCCATTGACTCCGATTTCAGCCTGCTTTTCATTTTGGATTTGCTTTCACAGCCTTTGTCTAAACTAGAACGAACTACAAGGCAGCAGTTGTTGGATTTTGGTATTATTTCTTATATATTTAGTTGCTGTCCCTAGCTAACGTGCCTCATCTGCCCGGGGTTTCAACTCAAGATTTTTCGGTTGAGCAACCATGAGTGTAACTCCCCTTCCCCCCTTCCCTACAAAAACAACCGAACCAAACCCAGTTGATGTTGAATTCGAAATCTTGCTGACGTCTAGCACCTACCTTGCTAAATCATCTTTTTCATCCACGAGAAATTGATTGGTCCCTAAGACCACCGGCTTGGCCCTGGCCCGTTTTAGCCTGGCAATGGCCCACTTTTCCAGTCGCTGGTTGACGAACATGACGCCTATGTAGGCGATGTATGCTATGATCATGACCAGGGCCTCCCACCTGTGGACACAAGGGGCACAACTCAACACTCTCATACAAGGGGCACAACTCAACACTAGGAAACAAGGGGCAGAACTCAACACGCTGACACAAGGGGCAGAACTCAACACGCTGACACAAGGGGCAGAACTCAACACTCTGACACAAGGGGCAGAATTCAACACTCTGACACAAGGGGCAGAACTCAACACTCTGACACAAGGGGCAGAACTCAACACTCTGACACAAGGGGCAGAACTCAACACTCTGACACAAGGGGCAGAACTGAACACTCTGACACAAGGGGCAGAACTCAACACTCTGACACAAGGGGCAGAACTCAACACTCTGAAACAAGGGGCAGAACTCAACACTCTGACACAAGGGGCAGAACTCAACACTCTGACACAAGGGGTACAACTCAACACTCTGACACAAGGGGCAGAACTCAACACTCTGACACAAGGGGTAGAACTCAACACTCTGACACAAGGGGTACAACTCAACACTCTGACACAAGGGGCAGAACTCAACACTCTGACACAAGGGGTACAACTCAACACTCTGACACAAGGGGCAGAACTCAACACTCTGACACAAGGGGTACAACTCAACACTCTGACACAAGGGGTACAACTCAACACTCTGACACAACGGGCAGAACTCAACACTCTGACGCAAGGGGTACAACTCAACACTCTGACACAAGGGGCAGAACTCAACACTCTGACACAAGGGACAGAACTCAACACTCTGACACAAGGGGTACAACTCAACACTCTGACACAAGGGACAGAACTCAACACTCTGACACAAGGGACAGAACTCAACACTCTGACACAAGGGGCAGAACTCAACACTCTGACACAAGGGGTACAACTCAACACTCTGGCACAAGGGGCAGAACTCAACACTCTGACACAAGGGGTACAACTCAACACTCTGGCACAAGGGGCAGAACTCAACACTCTGACACAAGGGGTACAACTCAACACTCTGGCACAAGGGACACAACTCAACACTCTGGCACAAGGGGCAGAACTCAACACTCTGACACAAGGGACAGAACTCAACACTCTGACACAAGGGGCAGAACTCAACACTCTGACACAAGGGGTAGAACGCAACACTCGGAAACAAGGGAAACAACCCCGATTTTTCGTACTAAAGCAGAGGAAGTCACGCAACTTGATTTCTACACTTTAGTATCGAACGGAGTGGTCTAGCGGTAGAGAGCTGAACTGCTAATCTGTAAGTCTCGAGTAAGAATCCGGGTTCAAGTCCCTGAGTCCACCCAACTCTGATGGGTACCTAACTCACGTTAGGAAAAGTAAAGGCGGCTGGGCATAGTGCTGACGACACCATCTCTTCATATGTCGTAGTCACAGAAACAAGTGAACTCTACTTCACTTGCCCTATAGACCGTCAGGTTTGAAAGGGAACTTTAAGAATCGAAAGTGCTTATTTCGGTCAATGACAGAGGAAAAATGTAACGTGCTGATATAATATCATCTCCTCTCGAGTTTTCTTTCATGCGTGGCAGCATCGGTAGTTATTAGTATCCACAAGGTTACGGGTTCAAATCCTATTTTAATTAAGGTGGGTTTTTTTGTCATTAGTGCAAATGGCATTAATAATATAATTTATCCACACATTATAACATACGTGGGGTTAGGGGTTATATTTTGGTGTTAGGGGCTAGTGTTAAGGGTTAGAGTTTAAGCGTTAGGGTTTATTTTATGCTGGGTTAGCGCTAAGGAAATTGTAAGAAAATAAATATTAAGAATTTAAACAAGTTAATGCAATATGTATCTTTTGCCTTATAGATCTACGTCTTATGAAGAAGTATTATCGCTTTTCCTCTGACGATATATTCTTACTGTAGAGGAAATAAACGCTGTGTTTATTTCCTTTCAACCGTGAGGGTATATGTCTACATCTTGACAGGATGTAAGAGGATATAAGCACCTTGTGTATTTCTTCTATCGTTGGCCGCTAAAGCCATACACCCACCCACCACCCACTCCCTCCATCTACCCACATTTCTACAGTCCAACTAGCCAATGTTCCCACTAAGCTGTGCGGTTGCGCGGCCGCGCATTAATTTTAAACCTAAGGCGCATTCATTTTGTAAATTACATACCTACGAATAAGACTTTCAGAGCACAAAATACACATTGCACACAACTTTGTTCCCCTTAGAGATAATGTTGCCCACCACCCATTTATTCATGCTATTGCAATCCACTTCAAGTCAGTAAACATTTCACAAGGGAGATAACTAGCGTTACTCCAAACAATCTATATCTCATTGTTACTTCCCTTGATTCTAAAGGGGAAACCATTCTACTCACCACACGATCAAGCTGTCGTTCATGAACACAGCCATCAGGACGATGGAGATAAAATAAAAGATCGTGTCACGGGTCAGTGGATACCAGGTCAATTGAACTGGCTGGAAAATTAGAAGTTTGTCAATTAGCTGGGAATTTCGATGTTAGACAAATTAGCTAGAAAATTAGGTTAGACAAATTAGCTAGAAAATTAGGTTAAACAAATTAGCTAGAAAATTAGGTAAGTTATATTAGCTAGAAAAATTAGACAAAATTAGCTAGAAATTTAGGTTAGACAAATTTGCTAGAAAATTAGGTTAGATATATTAGCTAGAAAAATTAGACAAATTAGCTAGAAACTTAGGTTAGACAAATTAGCTAGAAAATTAGGTTAGACAAATTAGCTAGAAAATTAGGTAAGTTATATTAGCTAGAAAAATTAGAGAAATTAGCTAGAAACTTAGGTTAGACAAATTAGCTAGAAAATTAGGTTGGATATATTAGCTAGAGAATTAGGTTAGAAAAATTAGGTAGAAAATTAGGTAAGTTATATTTGCTAGAAAAATTAGACAAATTAGAAACGTAGGTTAGACAAATAAGCTAGATAATTAGGTTAGACAAATTAGCTAGAAAATTAGGTTAGATATATTAGCTAGAAAAATTAGACAAATTAGCTAGAATAGAAACTTAGGTTAGACAAATTAGCTAAATAATTAGGTAAGGCAAATTAGCTAGAAAATTAGGTTAGACAAATTAGCTAGAAATTTAGACAAATTAGGTAGAAAATTAGGTTAGACAAATTAGCTTTAACACGGCAGTTAGTCAATTTAATTAGCTTTTAAAATATAATTATCTGTGGAAATTGGTTAATCAAATTAGCTGGTAAAACAGAAGTTATTCAAATTAACTAACAAAAAAGACTTTTGTCAAATTATCTAAAAAAAACAGTAGTTAGTCAATCCAATAAGCAAGGATGAAATATAATCAAGATTATTATCAAATTGATGTTTTTGTAAAAACTGAAATATTTGATAATTTTAAAAAATCTATTATTAAAAAAAAACTCAAAATATTTGTATTAAGAAAAGTAAATTAGAAGACTTATAAGACAGGATGAACATCCTAACAAAGATACGTGTTAAGACCGCTAGAGCCTGACCATTCCAGCGAAGATGGCACTGCATCCAATGATGACCAGTAAGTTAAATATAGAGGAGCCAACAATGGCACCGAGTCCTACGTCATTTTGGGCGAGAAAAACACCTGGAATATTCGAAGGGGTTGGGTCATGGTTTGATGGCTGAAGGCTAGGATTAGTGGGGGGGGGGGGGTAGATAGGGTTGGTGTGGGTGGTTGGTGTGGGTGGTAGTTAGGGTTGGTGTGGGTGATAGTTAGGGTTGGTGTGGTTGGTAGGTAGGGTTGGTGTGAATTGTAGGTAGGGTTGGTGTGGGTGACAGGTGTAGTGTGGGTTACAGTGGGGGGGGGGGGCAGTCAGGTTTTGTGTAGTAGATGATGTAAACACAACCCATTTACACATATGTTGTTAAAGGGTAGTCCAACTAGCTACTCCATACATACATAGATACATACAATCATACATAGATACATACATATATACATATAATCATACACAGATACATACAGTCACACTTAGATACATAAATCATACATAAGTATATACAATCATACATAATACATACAATCATACATACAATCATACATAATACATACAATCATACATAGATACATATAATAATACACAGATACATACAGTCACACATAGATACATCAATCATACATAAGTATATACAATCATACATAATACATACAATCATACATACAATCATACATAGTCACATACATAAAAGTTAGCTGCTATAAGCCTCACCTATAACAGACGTACAAAATTCTGGAGCTGAACTGGCTGCAGCCATAAATGTCGCGCCAGCTACATCTGCTTGTAGGTCAAGGTCTGTTAAAAATAAATAGTTGAAAGTTTAGTGTCAAAAGTTAGTGGTGATTTTTTCTAATCTGGGTGGGGTGGAAGGGGGACGGGGTGTCTGACTATAGAGAGGGTGTTGCAAAAAGTGGATTGATATAATAAAACAAGTTGCGCCTTCAGGTTTTTTCTCAAAAAAAAAAAAAAAAAAAGAAATGAAAAAGGAAAAAATAAGCTAAAGTCGTGGTGATAGGATGGAGGGGTAAGATATTTTGCCTTCACAGGTATGATAAGGGACTGCACGAAGTAGATGTCACACACAGACCCTAGATGTTACATACACTGGATGTCACACATACTAATTGTCACACACCCTAGATGTCACACACCAAAGATGTCACACACATACAGACCCTAGATGTCACACACACACCCTAGATGTCACACACCCTAGATGTCACACCTACTAGATGTCACACACCCTAGATGTCACACACATACAGACCCTAGATGTCACACACACACCCTAGATGTCACACACCCTAGATGTCACACCTACTAGATGTCACACACCCTAGATGTCACACACATACAGACCCTAGATGTCACACACACACCCTAGATGTCACACACCCTAGATGTCACACACCCTAGATGTCACACCTACTAGATGTCACACACCCTAGATGTCACACACATACAGACCCTAGATGTCACACACATACAGACCCTAGATGTCACACACCCTAGATGTCACACACACACCCTAGATGTCACACACCCTAGATGTCACACACATACAGACCCTAGATGTCACACACACACTCTAGATGTCACACACCCTAGATGTCACACACATACACACCCTAGATGTCACACACATACAGACCCTAGATGTCACACACCCTAGATGTCACACACACACCTACTAGATGTCACACACCCTAGATGTCACACACATACACACCCTAGATGTCACACACATACAGACCCTAGATGTCACACACCCTAGATGTCACACACACACCCTAGATGTCACACCTACTAGATGTCACACACCCTAGATGTCACACACATACAGACCCTAGATGTCACACACCCTAGATGTCACATACCCTAGATGTCACACACCCTAGATGTCACACACCCTAGATGTCACACACATACAGACCCTAGATGTCACACACACACCCTAGATGTCACACACCCTAGATGTCACACACATACAGACCCTATATGTCACACACATACAGACCCTAGATGTCACACACACACCCTAGATGTCACACACCCTAGATGTCACATACCCTAGATGTCACACACCCTAGATGTCACACACCCTAGATGTCTCAGATACAATCTAGATGTCACACACACACATTCACACCTACCTTCACAGATGTGCTCTAGTGACGGCACAAAATAGATATCACACACCCCAGCGATGGCAGCAAACATGTATGAGCCAATAAACAGATGGATGAGCCAGCCTCCCATATCGGCCTGTTCTTTGGTCAGGAAGTCTCCGGGCATACTGTGGCCTGAGCTAGAGGAGCCTTCACTACAGCTGATGTTGGCGTCACCCTCTGCTAATGATAAGAGCACCCATGGCATCGGCAGGGATCAGAGATGGAAATGGGAATGGATTAAATTTAAGATGTCAAATGGTCTTAAACGGGTATGACACGGGCAGTGTTTCTTCCAGACTTTTTTCTCCGGGGGGGGGGGGGGGGGGGCACTTGACATTTTCGGGGGCGGACACTGGTAAAAGTATATGTTTACTATATAAAATCCATCTCGTTCGGGGGGGGGGGGCGGTGTAGACTTTCTTCGGGGGGCACGGACGGACGGACACACGGGGAGGACATTGAGACAAGATTTGTTTCCTTCCCCCCCCCCCCCGACGAAGGAGGAGGGGGAACTTAAGACTAAGGAGGTGAGGGGGGGGGGGGGGGCGACGACGCTAGTTAAAGTATCTATTTTTTATATAAATTATATATTTTTATTTCGTCCGGGAAGGCGGTAGACGTGTACTCCCCACCCCTCCAACTACGGAGATATGCTTGAAAGAGACTCTGCATAGAACTGATAAATGCATGATCTAAAGTAGAGATGACATGTTGATGGCTTACGGTAAAAAAGATGTCAGGTTAACAACCTTGGCTACAGAAGTTACATCTAGTTCTTTATAATTATGTAAAGCGGGGTGGTCTAACCAAGTCTTAAGGCGCAAATTGCTACGAATACAAGGTACGTTCAGCTTACATGGCACCGTATGGTGGAACCAAGCTAATGCATGACGTCATTCAATCATGCTGGGCCTGGTACTCAAGACGTTATAATTCATAAGCCAATATCACATAAACAGAAGAACTCTACTTCCACTATTATCTGAACCGTTATATCCCAGCGAGTATTGTATAACTAACTCGTATTATAAACTAATAACTACAGTATGTTGCATATTTGTGTGCTGAAGGTTGACACAACAAGAGGACGTAATGCTAACCTGCTTGCCGCCTCGTTCTTACAAGAAGGTCGTCTCCCATGTTATCCTCCAGCCCCGCGTCTTGTGAAAACATCCCTCTGTACAAACTAATACACATGATGCTTAAACAATAGGCAAGCGACATCCCTGCTAGCCGGTACATCTGCCGGTGTTTGACCCGGCGCCATGGGTACCGGCAACAGTTCCGGTTTTTCTCTTTCGCCGGATGCCGGTTCGTTTTGTCGCCCTGTTCGGCCTGGTTCGGAGTTCCGGTGACGTCATCGTCGGAGAAAGAAAACTGCTGAGGGCGTTTACTGGAGGTGGGCGTGGCTTCTGGGGTTGTGGTCTTGGGGTCGACGTGTGTGTTGGTGATGCTAGGGTAGCGCTGGGCGTACCCAGTGGCGTTGGACGTATCGTGGGTCGTTTGGGTAGAGAGATCAGGACCAGGGTCCTCTGGTGTGTGTTCTATACGAGGGTAATGTCCTAAAGTCCTATAGCTGTCCGAGCTGTGAGGACATGTAGCGGTGACACCCCTGTCTATAGACACACGTGTTGTGTCACCACACGGCGTCTCGGTGTCACCATTTGGGGGTGGTTTTAGTGTATCACCAACCAGCTCCGTAGCTGAAAGTACCGTGTCACCATGAAGATGTTGACATGAACACGGCGTCTCACCACCCACCTGTTGAAACATACCTGTGTCACCACCCAAGCTCCCGGTCTCACCATCGTCAGGTGACGTGTCACCGCCCCCGGCCACGTGACCTGACGTCACTGCCGGGACCACCCCGTGATCCCACGTTGTCTTTGTGTGGCTGGGCATCCTACCACCATGACGTCACGAGTAGCCTCGTGGAGGTCATGGGTCAGCGTTGTATCCGGTGCCAAGAAGATTCATCTCTGTCAACGGCCGGTCTGGCCTCTTGATGCACGTACAGGTACCCGAAGAGTTCCTGGTACAAACAATACAAAATTATCTATCTCACCAAGACGATATATACATAAATAAATAAATAAATAAATAAATAAATAAATATATATATATATATATATATATATATATATATATATATATATATATATATATATATATATATATATATATATACATATATATATATGTATATATATATATATATATATATATATATATATATATATATATATATATATATATATATATATATATATATATATATATATATACATACATATACATATATATGGCTG